AGTAATTCACGCTTTTCCCAGGGAGACCGCGTCGCAGCCTTCATTCCCATATTTTACGGCTGGCCAACCGGCCCTGGCGCTCTGGCAGAACACGTCGTCCTCCCCGCGCGCTATGCCGTCCGCGTCCTCCGACCTCGACCTGGACGAGAGCTATCTTAGCAAACCGCACACGCACATAGGTCAGCGTAAGTTGACCTACGATTCTCCATTTCGCCATGTCCCAGCCAGATGGGCCTGTCGCGACCGTTTCGCCTGAAGTCAACAAGGAGACGAAGGAGAAGAGACTCTCGACCGACTCTGACTCCGACTCTGATAAGGAGAATGTAAAGCTCCCCTCATCCTCCCTTAATGCACACACTGGCTTCAGCCCCCAAGCTCGACAACAAGGCGCCACTTCAGACAGGAAAAGAACGATTCGCTGACAGAACCGAATAAGCAGCAGGATGCCTTCGAAGATGCCGTCGTCGATGTCGCCGATGTAGCTGAGGTGCGTTCTCTTACTCAGCGAACGCCCTCAGTCTCCAAACAACCATCCGCCGAGGAAACGGACCCTGAACCCTCGAAAAAGGAGGAGCAAACGGAAGAAGATAGGGTGGTAGCACCAGCTCCGCCGTCACCAACACCAGACGACCACTTTGTTGACGAGGACTTTGTGAGCGACCACGAGGACGTGGATATCAAGCGCAAAGCTTCTCCCGTATCTCATCGGCTTTCCAACACCTCGAATCTGGACGACGTCAAGCTGGACGACGACCATCCTGCCCCGCACGAGGAACCAGGTTTGTTGTTTCGCCGCATGAATTGATCGACGTGTGCCAACAATGCTAATTTCAAATACAAGAAACGAAAGCCATTAGCCCGGTCGAAGAGAAACCGCTGCCACCCAAGAAAATATCTATTAGCAGCATCACCGGCGCCCTCCCATCCATGCCATGGTCGCCGCCGGCCGAGCCATTGCTTGCCAAATCTCCCGCAGTCCCAGCCGCAGTCCCACCGCAAGCACCCCTACCACCACCCCCAGGGCCTCCGACTAGGAAGCTCACAAGCCCCTTCTCCTGGCTGTCCCGAAACAGCACGAGCAAAGAGAAGGAGACCTCACCACCTCCACAAGCTTCTCCACGCCGAAATACTGCAAGTTCCATCGCTACTTTGACGAGTAACCCCGACATGTCGCTGGGCAGGTTAGACGAGGAGAAAGAGAGTGACGGCACCAACGGTGTTCTGCGACACAGTTTGAAAGACCGCTTCAAAATGGTACGATTACGGGAAGAGGTGGGCGTCACGTTGCCATCGGACGACGATAAACCTGTGCCACCGCCCAAGGGATTGGGTTTCAGCACGCCTCCCGCCCCAAATGGAAACGACAGGGAGCTTGGTGCCGACCAAGCTCCCAAGTCGCCTCTCCCAACTACCCCGAACCCGGCGTTGGCACCAGGGACAGTATCTGGCGTGTCGGCTGGACCTTCTGACATGTCAGATTCTCAGGTAGATTGGGATCTGTGGCAGTCTGTCGTTTACGAAGGCCCGGCGGTTGTTCAGCGGACCAGCGCCGAGGAATTAAACAAAGCTATTGCCAGTGGCATTCCAAACGCTATCCGTGGAGTAGTCTGGCAAGTGTTGGCCCAGAGCAACAACGAAGAGCTCGAAATCATGTACAGAGAGCTAGTGGCCAGAGGCACCGACAAGGGAATCAACCGGAATAGCCAGAGCACGGTTAGCTCGAGCAGCAACGGTAACCTCAGCATCCAGAATGACACTGTCAACTCCTCTGCCTCATCAGTCCATTCGGAACAGTCGGCCGCAAACGGCATGCCATCCCCTCACGAGAAGAGCGCGGAAGCGGTCCTCAAGGCACAGCAGGCCGCTACAGTGGCGAGACAAAAGAAGCAAAAGGAGGATACTGCTATGCTACAGAAACTGGAGAAGACGATTCGACGAGACTTGGGTGCGAGAACCAGCTTCTCCAAGTACGCCGCCGCCGCCGGGCTTCAGGAGGGCCTTTTCGGCGTATGCAAGGCGTACGCCCTATTTGATGAGGGTGTCGGTTATGCTCAAGGCATGAACTTCTTGATTATGCCTCTTTTGTTCAACATGACAGAGGAAGAAGCGTTCTGCCTGCTGGTCCGGTTGATGAACCACTACCACCTGCGCGATCTTTTTATTCAAGATATGCCCGGCCTTCATAAGAACTTGTACATCTTTGAGCGCTTGCTTGAGGACTATGAGCCAGCCTTGTACTGCCATCTACGTCGCCGCAGCATCTCACCTCACCTCTACGCCACTCAGTGGTTTTTGACACTCTTTGCCTACCGTTTCCCCCTGCAATTGGTGCTGCGCATTTACGACCTCATCCTGTCCGAGGGTCTCTCGGCTATTCTACGTTTCGGCATTGTTTTGATGCAGAAGAATGCTGCGAATCTTCTGGCCATCTCTGATATGCAGCAACTGACCGTTTTCCTCAAAGACAAGGTGTTTGACGCATACATCGACACCGCACCGAGCGCAGGAAGCATTTTAGAGAACGGCTTCTTTGGAAGCTCTAGCTCCAGCATGGACAAGGAAGTGTACCGCGCCGATCAACTTGTCAGAGATGCTTGTGATCTCAAGATCACCCCGGAGATTCTCAAAGCCTACACGACCGAGTGGGAGGAGAAGACGAGGGCAGAGAAGGATCGTGAGGCCGAACTGGAAGGGTTGCGGACCGCCAACATAAACTTTGCCATCAAGGTCCGCAAGCTCGAGGAGCGCGTTGAGGCGTACGACAGTGAGCAGGCTGCGCTTGCCACGGAGTTGGTCCACACCAAGGTCGAGAACGAGGAGCTCAAGGATGAAAATGAGAGTCTCAAGGGTCAGGTCCGTGAGCTACGAAACGTCATCGAGAAGCAGCCCGAAGAGCTAGAGAACGCATGGAAGGCTGAACGTGAGGATCTCATGAAACGCAACCTGAAAGTCCACGAGGAGAATGAGAAGCTGGAGAAGGAGATGGCGGAATTGGAGGAGGAGCTTGTGCAGACGAAGATGCAGTATGCCGAGGTAAGATGATGCTCCATTGTCACTCATGGATTGTTGTTTGACTGACTCTATGATAGATTAATTCTCAGCACGAGACACTTAATCGCAAATGGACGGACCTCAAGCGACAGTTTGCTTGAAGCGGTCTGTCAGGAATACATCCCTGGTAACCCAGAAGCAGAATTCTCTGAATATCTTAATGTACAAAGTAATCATAGCTTCCCATTGAGTATGGAGGTTTGCGTGTGTTTGCTGGTCCAACGCACATCTGGGCGGCTGGCTAGATGTATTGCGGGCATCAAGGAATCATAAAGACCCTAGAGGCGGTCAAATGTGTCTGAAATCCAGAGAACCAACACGCGCTAGGAGTGAACAGAAGCATATCGGCCTGAATAGGCCACGAGGAAGTGGCTAGAAGCCATCGGTTTGACTGCAAGACTCGCAGTAGAGACCACCCATGTGAACATGGACAGGATTTAAGGCGCAGACTCATAGCTTCCCTAGGTAGACTTGACAGCTACAATATCAAATATAGAGAATATCACAATGCAACAGGACGGCACAACCGGCAAGTGACGGTAACAGATAAATGGTGGTTGTGGCAGGCAAAAACTTGGTGGTATAGTCTTTTTGAGTCTTCCTAATAACCCGTATCCGTCCGTTGGCTCGGTTGCTTTTCCGAGCCTACATTTCATTGTAAGCTGATCACGCCCCCTGATGGCTTGCCAGACGAAAAGCAAAACCTGTTGAACACCAAGAACAACCTAAGAGCCCGATAAAATGTTTTTTTCATTCCCGTAAACGTGATCATGAGAGTCACAGTTATCTAGTTTTCCCCATCCACATCCACACGCCCACAAGGCGACGCTGTTTCGTTAGACGCTAGACGTGGCCACGCACACAAGTCCACTAAAACGAGCGATACGTTTACTTGTGGAGCTTGCGCTGGTAGAAGGCGAGCTCCTCGCCCTCGAGGACGTAACCGTCGCAGCGGCCGGATTGACCGGGACGGGAAGAGATGACGGCGTACAGACGACCGGCCTCGAACTGCTTCTCGAGGGCGTTCTCGACCTTGCCCTCGGCGGCGAAGCGCTCAGCCTGCTTCTTCTCGACGGACTTGGACTTCTTGGTCTCCTCCTCCTTGACACCAGCGGCGGCCTGCTGCTTCTGCTGGCGGCGACGGCCGAGGTTCTGGCCGTAGTGAGCCTCGTACCACTGACGGAAGGGGGCGGCGTCGATCTGGACGACGGCGGACTTGGTCAGGGTGTTTGTGCGGACGAGCTCGTTGTTGGAGGGGTGGTAGGCGACGCCGATAACGCGGGTCTTGCGGGTGCAGCCCTCGGAGGCCCAGGCGAAGTTACCGGAGTCGAGGCGGAGGGCACGGTACTTGTGGTTGCCGCCGCGGGTGCGGACGGTGTGAACTCGCTTGGGGCCGATACGGGTGTTGGCACCCTGGCGACCGGCCTCGAAAGCGCGCTTCTTCCCTGTTGAGCAGAAAGGTCAGAACGCATGCTTGATAAGAGCATACGGGCTTTCGATTGTTTACGCACGGTAGTAGGCACGCTTGGCACCGGAAGCGGAGCGCTTGTGGCGGGAATCTCTCGAGATACCCATGATTGCTTATGCTGTTCATGAGAAGATGTTAGCCTTGTGTTCTAATAGGATGAGTTCGTAGACGAGAAACATAAAAAAAAGCTTCGTGATGGCGAAAGGTCTCGAAGAGGGGCGGTGATGCTGAAAACTGGGAGAGGATGCGAAGCATTTCTTCAATGCCCACTAGAGAGATATCGCGAAATGCCTTTTCTTGCGCTGACGAGGGGAGAGCCAGGGAAGAGATTGGAAGATCGTGGGATACCGTCGTCGAGCGGGTATTTTTGAATTTACTCCTTCGTCCCGGTAACTAACCTGATGGTTCCTCAGGAGGCAATCGACTGGTGGCTGGCCGGCGTTGGGTGGTTGACTGTCGAGGTTGTCGGGAGATGAACTTTTTTCGGGAGGTTGTGAGATTCGAGGAACAGCACCCGGCAAATTTGGAGTTTGTGCGGGCTCGCTAACCCCACTGGCAAAGTTGGGAGAAGTGCACGGTCCAGCCTAGGGCAAGCTTTGGGCCTGAGGCAAAAGGAAATCAGCAGTTTTCATTGAGCAACTATGATTGGTGGCGGTACTAGGTGGGGCGTTCGGTGAAGGAATCTGACCGAGATCAACTCACCGAGGGTCTTTGTATCTGTTCTGGACACCTTTCTTTCCTGGGCTGCATCTTCAACCGCCTATTGGTATTCTGTCGAAAATTGGCACCGAAGGATTTATAACGGACGAGTTGTTTGGAATTTTCTTGCCTCCCAACTCTATCCGTCATATGAAAGGGAGCAATCTCACACTCGATAATTGCCACTGGAGCCACAACTAATCACAGTCGCTGGATGAGTAGCTGGATGTAGCTAGCTGTATCAACACATCATTCTAGAGCTAGTTTCCGGTAAAATCGATCAGGGATACGCAATCCCCCCGGCTCAATTCCAAGGGATCCTTCTATACTTCGATCAAGAGATCCCAGTGTTGAATTTGCTCTCCAAGTGCACCCCATGGCTCACATATAGCCTCTCGGAGACGGGTGGCACGAGCATGGGAAGGCCGGGTGAAGAAGAGAAGATTTTTTGGGATCAATTTGGCAACGTTTAGGCTGTTCTTGAGAAAACATTGTCAAAGTCCGAAGGCTGTTAAACTGCGACTTTCTATCGCTACCAACGTCCGGCGTCTTTTTCAGTATGCGCGCAGGGGAGCTTCGGATTGTGATTCCTGCCGAGACGGATATACCATGAAGCCAGGTAGCCGTGATAGTAAAGCCATGTACAAGACCGTGAGAGAAAGGTAGAGCAGCTAGCAGAGGACCAGCGTTACTAATCCGACTTTTCGTCGAGTTCCAGACTCAACCAAGCCTGAGGCTTAACACGTTTCCAGACATTCAAGAATCCGATTATCGTATGTCGAATTTCCCATATGCGATATGGATAATTTCAAAAGACGTACTCCTGGGACCTTGGTGATCGGCACCTGACTTTGCATCTGCATATGATCACCTCGCTATCGCGCAACCCCTATATCTAAAGCAGCAAGAGAGGAAGGTTTGCATTGGCATCTCACCAATCCTCATTCACTTCTGTCAAACTTCTGTCAAACATGATCAAACATAACAGCAGGGTGAACTCTACTACAGTTGTGCATCCCCATTCCATTTTCATCTTTCTTTGACCAAGAGACTCGCGAATTTTCCCTATCGAAGAAGATGTAGTGGGTGAAAGGCGAAGCTCATTTCAACTGTAACTCCCAAAGACGAGAGTTCAAAAGCCGACGCCCATCAGGTCCGGGATGTACTCTGTAACGGTCGATGGACGAAGCCTCCCACGTCGGGTCTCGCGGCATAACCGGCCTTTATGTGCTCTTTGTCTTTAACAACCCTCCCCGCTTGGGAAGTCGAGTCTCTCGAGCATAGACTGTGTCAGGAAGAGACGCACTGCTGGCGGCAGCTCTTGACAGCCTCTTGAACATCCGAATCGTTTGGGATACTCCGCCAATGCCCCATGCAGATTCCGTATCACCAAGTACCAGGCATGTCGAGAGACAGGCAAAAATCGCCGAGCCAGAAACACCATGAATCGAAACTTACGAAATTGCGAAGAAGTGAATTGGACCCTTCTGGTGAAGGCATCGTATTGCGCAGGGATCTCTTAAAATAGGGGCCGGAGGCAGTCAAACTTGACATGCCTCTATGCCAAATGCTTGTATTTTATATACATTAATGTAGCCGCCGAAGCTCTTCCCGCGGCATGCGTATGTACCGCTAATAGGCCATCAAGAAGCCTGCCCCAATCTTCGTCTCTCGATGTCGTGATTAGTCATTGGATATCCATCCTGTACCATCGCGGATGTTTCCTCTGCTTTTCCGCCTGGCCATTGGCCGACCCGCAGGGAAGTATGGATCTTCCATCACGTATTGTGACGGTGTCATATGTAGATGTGATGACGGAATGTCGTTCTTCACCTTGATGATCCCCATCTCCACACTATGTGCTGACGAGGGCTTGTCGAGATCTAGGGGTAGAATATTCTCCATGCTCTCGGTGGTCGTGCGTGTCGAAGTTCCATAGGAACTGGAGCTAACATAGAGCTTCCCGCCAGCTTCCCCTTGCGTTGCGCGTGCATACGCGTTTTGCCCCATGTATGGCTTCGAACCGCCTATGGTCGTTCGCTGATCGGGATAGTACACTTTGGAATATTTGCCAGTCGATAACCCGAGAGCTTTGTTGAGGGCGGGGAAACGGGATATCAACGGTCGTAACGATGGAACGCCGGAGCAAATGATCAAGGCACAGACTTCGACTTCCGACCAGAGTAGGGGGTCGGCGACCAAGACTACGAGGGTCAGTCGCGAACTCATGTGAACGACTGAATAACTTACACGTGACATCGCGGTCAAAAGCGCTGATGTAGCTCACTCTGATAACGGAAATGACGCACACCCTGTGGCTGTTAATTACTTGTCTGACAGGGAGAAGCTGTTCATGAGGGCTCACAGTAAACCCAGGGATAACATGACGATGACTCCAATGCGCTTTGCTATCGATAGTTGTAGTTTCCAGACAGTTGGAATTGGCTGAATGAACAACACTAAGTCTGTCAATAGCTTGATGGCGAACTGTCTCCTCAAGTTAGCTGGCTGGCAAACACAACTTTGTTTTTCTTTTCCTCCAAAGAAAACCTACAGCAGAGTAGTAAAAAACGGTCAGGTCCAGACACGTTCCGGGTACGGATGGTGTCCAAGCTCTTTCGATGGGAGTGCATCTGAAGATGACAACGGCAGTCTCTTCAATGCCCTCTGCAAGCAGCAAGACGATAAGAAACTTGTTGACACGATGGTAGACCTGGTCAGGGAGCAGCCGAAGGTAAAGAATTGCAAACGATATTTTTACTGTCACGAACGCCCAGATGTATGTGAGCTGTGTGGCAACTTGGAACTACAGATGGTATGTCAGCCCGGTACGAGAAAAGTGTCTTTTGGTATTTTCTACCTTCAGAAATTCGGCAAAGTCTGTTTCCGAAACGTCTTGAAAATGAGATCCCAAGCCCACGCTAGTCACTATCAGAGGTCAGCTTGAAGGTCCTCTCTAACTTTTTGGACCGGCGGCAGCTAACTGGCAAGAATCGCACTGCATAGTGCCATGACAAGAACCTGTTCCTGTTTAGCAAAATCCTCCATACTGTTGTCGCGGCTTCATACCCAGCTGATGATCACAAGTGCTACATTTGGTCAGCCTGGTCGCTTTACTAGATTATTTGTTGTCGGTACTCACTATCATCCCAGCCTAAGCTCCGTAGCAGGATACTTCGTACAAAGGTCCTCATCACGACTGTCAGCGTGATAAAGGTCATCAGCATGATGGTCACGCTCGCCGTTTGCGCGACCTTTGTGTCCGCCATATTTGCCAATGGTTACATTCAGGTCGAAGGTGCCTCCCGAAAGATCTCAGGACAGCGGGGGCGGAGTAGATATTCACAGTCCGAAGTAGAGGACCTAATTGAAGGGCGGCAGGATGAACCATGACTGATAGGTGTTCCCATACTTATGGACGTGCCTGATATAGCCCATCGAACGTTGATACATTGGACACATACTACGAATGAGGACCCAGTCCCGGCCCTTCCACTGCTGTCTGATCTCGTCAACGATGTGCCCGGACGACTTCGTCGACTTCGTCGAGATAATGTGAAAAAAGAGACGGACTGGGCGTTTAGGTCGGGGCTCGGGGTAATGCGTGTGCTGATAATGGGTGCGGATGGTCAACCGATCAGAGGCACGCTTCGTTGTGAACCGCGTTCGATACCAGCTGCCTGGGACGAGCATAGACTTTCCGCGGACGGCTTGGTAAAGGAATCTACTCGCGAGCCCCCTGTTTGGAGGTTAGACTTCCAACAGCCAAATTTCAAGTTCCAGAGCTGGTTGATCGCTGCAAGGAAAGTCGTCCAGAACACAAGGCTCTGCTGCAAGATGGCCCATGGATCTGTGACATCCAGTGGCGTGATTGGTAGGCGGAGACGCGAAGCCCAGCAGCTTGAATCCGTCGATGGGTCGCCCTTGCGGTTTTTCACAGGGGAATCCGGGGAAGATGAATCGGGTCGCCGGGCCTCGCTGCGTGGATTAGGTCATGCATGTGTCATGCAAATGCTGGCGAGCCGTGCTCTGCCCGTCAAGACAATCCAAAAGAGTTTCGAAAACATCTGGATTTGCCTGCCGAGAAATATAACCCTAATGACTCGTCCGACATGCGGCTAGCTGTCCACGCCCAAACCTGCCAGTCAGCTATAGCTTCAAACTCCAGTAAGGGCCTCATATAGCATGATGCCAGAGAAGTGTAAAAGCCATGCTCTTGTGATCCAAGCATCCAACCTAATTAGCTCTGTAGCATTCGCGAAGCCGTATGTTCGAAAGACTTGCCCAGGGAAGCTTGGCCAGGCCCAGCCGCTGTGGGCATTAGACGACAGAACACCGACCTCGTGGCAGCCTCTTCATAAGCCATGTTGGGAAGTTCTAGCGGCGAGGCCATTGGTCAAGCCCGTGTCACCCCATATTGGTCGTCTAAAACAACAGAAGGGCCACGAGCTGGCTATGACATACTTGTCTGTGCGGGTTTCTATACTCCGAATGAACCATTTACCAGTGATTTACTAGTTATGACCGGAACGACTAGTCAGGCAAACGATTCATCGTGGGTAGGTTGGTTTGTGTACGGAGACAACGTTGCCTCGTAACATCTCGGATCCGCATGGTTGAGGCACTTGCACTGCCTGGACCGCTGTGTGACGTGCCAGTCGATAACTTCTTGGCCATGATCTTGTGAGACATTTCGGTCTTCGTCCGCGGAGATTGCGAGCTTCGACGGCCGAACAACGGGGAACACGATGAGACTATTCTTCTAGTGGGGTAGACAACGGCATGTGGGAAAAGTGCGCTATCCGCCAAAGTCGCAGCGTGTTGTGTGGCAGAGGCATATCGTGTGCTCGGTTTCAGTAATCATACCGTGGGGAACCCCGATAGCTCGGGGCAGTCCCGACGTTCAGTGTGAGTGGGCGGGAGCCGAATAAGCGCCGTTGCGCCGGTATCGTCGTAACGGAAAAATAGAAGCAGTTCGAACACCCTCCCACAGGTTAAAAGACACGAAGGGGTAGCCTGTGTAGTAGCCACGACTTTGAATTCTGTGTTGTGTTTTCATTGGTGCATGCTCGGTAGACGAGAACGACGAGTGGCTTGAGAGGCTCAGCTTCTGCAAGGCGGCATATCTGACCCGCTGTTTACTTGTGGACGAAGCGAAACTCATCTGAAGTTTCGCGACAAGAAACGTCGCAGCTACTAAGATAGTCGCTGAGATCTCGTTTGGGCAGGCCTGACCCAATGGATCCAGGCGCCCGGGAAGCCATCATCCATGATAGAGCCGCCATGCAAGCGGGAAAGCCCTTTACCCTTCTACTGACAAGGTGCCGCTTGTTTGCGAAGCCGCACGTTGCGAGTTTGTCATGCTGCTGTCGACAGTGGTGGCGAGCCAAGGCGCCGGGCCATGAGTTACCTGGAGATATCTCGGCCGAACAGAAGCATTGGGAGGTTGAGGTACGTATCCACATGTTGAAGTCTCGGTCGAAAGTCAAAGTCATGGATGCCGGATGGATGGGACAAACACAACCATCAAATGCGATTGTCTGATGAGATGACAAGTCCCTCGACGCGAACCCAATTCCGCCTTGCCAGCGAAATTTTTGGGTTGCAAGTACAGGTAATCATCCGCAGACAATCGGCATCGCATTTTGAGTTTGCGGCAAGAGTGAGAAGGTTTGGGAAGATGCGAGAAAGACTGACGATGATCATCGAGAGGGAGTAGGCCATCCTCTGCCGGTTGGCTGCTGGATTGCGGCTGAGAGACCCTGAAAAGAAGGGTCCTCGGTTGTTGGTCTTCTTGTCTGTAGATGGTTGGTGATCATAAAGGCGACACAACAGATGACGTTGGCCAGAACAGTCCAGGAAATAATGTCAGTGCCAGCGAACTGATTGCCGAGGCCCGTCGACAGTCGATGCCATTCGCCAGCGGGACCAGACGCACACCTACCTTGACATCAAAACCGGGCAAGTTGTTCCTGTTGATGGCAGACAAAACGTCCTTTCCTCCATCCAATTTACAGGGGCGATTCAATCGTGACATCTGGGAAGGGCGAGTCTAATTTCGTGGACGGGAGAGGGACGATAGTGTTTTGAAGTTGTTCCAGAAGGAAAGAAGTTCGCGGTGGCCCCACCCACCGGTCCCTTCCTTCCCCAGAAATACCACCCTCATGCCGTCGGAGTCATTCCCGACGATCACCCTCTCCACCCACAGGGGTTCCTTCCGTCTTGCTGGAAAAGTGCCCGGTGAGGGACTTACACGATCGCGTTCTGCTGCCAGCACTCTGCATCGTCAAACCTCAACTTGCCTCATCACCACCTCCATTGGCTCCGCTTTGCCCTCGGGTTTCCCTCAGATCAATCCCAAAACGAAAAGATTGTATCCTTCCTTGGTATGTTCGAAGTTCCTACGGCAGAATCGCTGAGTGTCTTCTTTTAATCCGCGTAGACACTGACTTGTTTTGTTTTGGAGCAACACCTTTTGGCAATCCAAGTTCCTACGAACACCTATAACAAACGACACCTAACCACGCAAACTTACACCTACAACAATGAAACCTACACCTTGCATCGCGGCTTTTGCTGGCATTATCAGTTTTGCTGCCGCAGTCCCTCCCGCCTGTTTACTTGCAGCTTTGGGCCAGCAACGTAACCCTGCTTCGATTGATGACCTCTGCACCGATCTCATGCCCGCCATGCTCGGCAACTTGACAATCTCCTGCCAAAGCGCCAACCTCAAGGATGCCTATAATGCCTACGCATCCACGTGTATTGAAATTGGCGTCAAGGTTGACGATCTACCCTCAGCCTCGACCACAAGCGCCGCTGCTACCTCGACCCCGGGAGCTTCAGGTAACCCCAGTCCCGATGCTACCCCGACGCCGTCATCAGCCACCACGACGTAAGTAGTCTCTGCTGTTGGGTTACCATTGAAAACTCCAAACTGACACGCGGTAATAGCGATGGCCCTCAAGAATCAAAGCCTAGCGCTGCTGGCGCTATTGCTCCCCATGCGGTTCTCTTTACTGTTCTCGGGTTGTCTGCGACTGGCCTCGTCAGCATAGTATTCCTTTAGAGGACACCAAGCTGCGCAAAAAAAACGAGCGAGTGTTTGATAGTGGGATTCGGTACGGCCCCCGTGGTCAAACAGCACACGGATTTCTGGGCACCTGCCTAGCCAAACTATCGACAGATGAGTTATGGTAGAACAGGACACCAAAGTTGCTTTAAATTGAGGCGACAGGAAAAATCGGCAGTTGCCATAGCTAGCGGCGTTTCGGACACAAGGGACGGATGGTCACCTCATGAGAGCACTGGCGTTGAACGATAAGGCATGAGATTAAAGTTGAAATTTTACAAATTGGTATCTTTGCCCACTTTTCTATGTCTTACCAGACCTCTTTCTATGCAATTCTTTACTTCAGCGTAACCAGCTCTTCGGCGCTAGTCGGGTGAATGGCAACACAGCTGTCAAAGTCCTTCTTGGTCGCACCCATCTTCACAGCAACTCCGAAGCCTTGAAGCATCTCTCCGCTGCCAAGACCGGCAATGTGGAGACCAACGACCTTCTCCTCAGGGCCGGCAACAACAAGCTTATACGCGGTGGGGCCCTTCTCTTCAGGCTCCATCATGGCGTAGTACATGGCAGTGAAGCTGGTCTTGTAAACCTTGATGTTGTCCTTACCAAACTTCTCAATGGCCTGGGGCTCAGTCAGGCCGATGCTGCCGACCTCGGGGTGAGAGAAGACAACGGACGGGATGTTGGAGTAATCCAGATGAGCCTTGGCGTACTCGGCGCCGCCAAATAGGCGCTCGGCCAGACGACGGCCAGCAGCAATAGCGACAGGGGTCAGCTCAACCTGGCCGGTAACATCACCGAGGGCGTAGATGTTGTCGATATTGGTGTTTTGATACTCGTCAACGGGAATGTGGCCCTTCTCATTCAACTTGAGTCCAATCTCCTCAAGGCCAATATCCTTAGTTGCCGGCGTGCGGCCAATGGCCCAAATGAGGTGGTCGAACCCGCCCTCGGACGTTTCTTTTCCGTCAGCATCTTTGTAGGTGACGGTGAGCTTGCCGTCGGCGTCCTTCTCGACCTTTGTCGGCTGCGACCTTTTGTGCAGGTTGACGCCCAGGCGCTCGTACTCCTTGGTGACGGTCTCCTGAATGAGGGGGTCAAAGGAGCGTAGGAAGGTATCGTGGCGGATAAAGAGGTGGGTTTCTGTGCCGAGGGCGTTGAACATGCCGGCGAACTCGACGGCGATGTACCCCGCACCGACGAGGGCGACCTTCTTGGGCTGCTTGTCAATGTCGAAGAAGCCATCAGAGTTTGTGCCGAGCTCGGAGCCGGGAATGGTGGGCGGGATGGTGGGGTTGCCGCCCACGGCGATGAGGATCTTTTTCGCCTTCACAAGGGCTTTGGTGCCGTCGTCGAGGGTGACCTCGGCCTCGTTGCGGGAGGTGAGCTTGGCCCAGCCGTGGAGGTACTCAACGTTGTCGTTCTTGAGGTTGCGTTCGTAGATACCGTTTAGGCGCTTAATGTAGGCGTCGCGCTTCGTCTTGAAGGTGAGCCAGTCGAAGGGGGCGGTCTCGCTGACGGAGAAGCCGTAGGATTTAGCCTGGTGGATCGTCTCTGCAATGGCGGCGGCGTTGAACGTAACCTTTTTCGGGACGCATCTGTAGCACGGAGAGAGAAAGGTTGTTAGCACATTGTTTGCCTACTCGTTTTGTCTCCTCGAAGGGGTAGAGGGAAAGAGGAGGAAGAGGAAGAGGAGGAGGAGGGGTGTGAAGGGAGGGGACTCACCCCACGTTCACGCAGGTTCCTCCCAGCCTGGCGCCCTCGACAATGAGGGCCTTTGCGCCGAACTGGCCGCAGGCTTTGCGTGCTGAGGCGAGACCGCCGCTGCCGCCGCCGATGACGAGGTAGTCGGTCTCCTTGGTGATGGGAGCCATAGTGCGCGCTGTGGAAGAGAGGTGCCTCTGTATGGATGCGAGTCGAAGGGGTGCTGGTGTTGCTGCTGCTCGTGATGCTGCAACGGTAGATGCGCGGTAGATGGCTTGCATGGAGGAGTTGGGTCGGGCAGCGGGGGAGGAAACAGAGAGGAGGGGGAGGGGGAAGAGAAGAGTAAATAGAATTCCGATATGCACAGTGGTGGGGTCGAGTAGAGTGACGTCTTATATGCTTCTAGATGTGCGACCTCGCGCTACCCAAGGTATCTGACAAATGCAGCCGCGGTAAGACAGACGCGGAAGGCATGTGGTGGGATGGGAGCTGATGTAAGTTTTTTTCCACTTCTTTTTGGTGTCCCTAATCCAATCTGGAGGGTAACCTCGGCGGCGGCGCTGTTGTGTTTGCTCGGCGATTCGGGGAGCGTATGATTGGGATCTCAAATCGGCATATGGGGGCGCGCGACGTCAGGGTATTCCTAATGGCTGCTCTAATAGCAGATCGATGGATGTGTGTGTAGTTTTGTGATGGTGCTGTCCAAAAGCGTTGTCGAACAGAAAATGGACATGCACGGGGATGAATCATCACCAATCAAGTAAGCTAGGTAGGTAGGTAGGTACCTTACCTATCTAGGGCGCCCAACCCATGTCTACCTAAGGAGAAAGGTCCCCGCTGGAGAAAGCCATGGAATTCGGTGATAAGTAAGCACCCTACAGACGCAGTCTGGCCTGGCTTTTCTCGAGGTCCAATCTCGAATGATGGAACGGGAAGAAAATTCCAGACCCGTCAGCAGCGCATTTGACAAATTGACGTACACAGGGGGATATTCCAAATGCAACCCCGTTCGTTCGACCTGACCTCTGCCGAGGTATTACGTAGGAACTTGACTTCACGACTGTCCCCGTCCTCGCCCCCCGGCGCGGGAGCTAAGCCAGGAGCTTCGGTGGGGGAAACATGACTTCGTAGCTCTACAATTTTGGGAAATCACTACCTTACATGCATGCCTTAGGTAGACAGCCTAGCTAGCATAGGTATCGTTTCTAGACGACTTCTTCAGTCTGAGAACTGGCACCCATGGTAACAGGCCCATTGCATGCAGACGTCATGAATATTGCTGGTTCTGGCCTTTTGTGCAACCTCTTATTTGCATCTTTGACCTCAACTAAAGCTTGTTGCCTGCTTCGGAGCATCCTGGCCAAAGGAGTGAGATCTATGCAAGTAAGCCTAGGTCTTACAATAACGAAAACTGCACTAGATGTGAACAACACAGCCCCCTCACTAAGTCCCGCATGTTTCTTCTGTAAGCAAGGTCTAGCGTGTGTCTCATCAATCATTTATTTCGTCGCATCCACGTGCCGCTCGGCAGCATCTTCCAGGGTATCATATTTGACCAGAACCGTCCCCAATCTCAGTATTCGTCGTAATAACCTTCGTACTGGCCATGCTCGGCCTGCGTACTAACCCATTCCTCATCAGCCAAGCCGCGCATCATCCGCCTCTGGAGAGCCTGGGCATCTTTATGCCAGTCGCAGGCAAAGTCGCACTTGGGTGTCTCGCTCTCGCCGAAATATCTGCAAATCTGCGCGTGCCGGCAGGCCGTTGTATCTTCGCAATAAAGAGCAAGCTTCTGCAGGCTTTTGGCCTGAGCCTCCCAATTCGATCCGTCGCGGTTCCCTTTCCTGATCATGCTCTGCACGCGTTGCAGGTCTTCTCGACTGTAATACAGAAAACAGAAACTTGCGTTTCCGTCTCTGCCTGCGCGACCTGCCTCCTGGTAGTAGCCCTCAAATGACTTGGGTAACCGCCAGTGTACAACAAACCGGACATTGTTCTTGTCAATACCCATGCCAAAGGCTGTGGTGGCCACAATGATATCATAGCCAGGCTCGTTGTTTACCCAGCGGGCCAACGTCTGTTCTTTCTTTTCCTTGGTCAGTTTCGCGTGGAAGGGCAATGCGCCTACTCCTTCATCTCTGAGTGCCGCGGCGAGTGACTCGCACTCATCCCGTGATATCGTGTATATGATTCCAGAGACATTGTCGAGCCGCTCTCCGGTAGCCTCCAATTCTGACTTGCGTGGCTCTGTTTTCCTCCTTTCGTACACGCTACGTATCCAAGCTAGGAAATTAGATAGGCGGTTGTCGTCCTGGTCTTTGGTGTACCGTATCTCAATGTGTAGATTGGGCCGATGAGCGGTCATGACAAAGCTTTTCAGTCTCTCGGGTTGGTCCAGGAGACCAAGGGTCTTTAGCAAGTCTTGACGAACCGTCGGATTCGCCGTTGCCGTCAAGCACATGATGGGTACCTTGGGAAATGTCTCTCGAAACCAAGACAGCTTCTTGAAGTCTTTCCGAAAGTCGTGACCCCATTCCGAGATGCAATGAGCCTCGTCGACTGCAATGCGTGCCAACTCACACTGTTCGTGAACTAGTTGGATGCGTCTTCTAAAGGAGTCCCCCGAGCATAGCTCCGGTGTCACGTAGAGTAGTCTGGTTCGCGGGTGGCCACTAGCCAGGTCCTGATTGATGCGATCCCTTTCAGCGGGCGGCGTGTTGCTATTGAGGGAGCTGGCGTCGATGCCCGCCGATCGCAGTGCTTCAACCTGATTCATCTGACGGAGCTGTCAGTTGTCGCGCTTGAGTAAGGCTGCAAGGGATACCCCTGACCATGAGACTGAGCAGTGGCGAAACCACTATGGTGACTGCCGCAGCGAAATCACGTTAGTTGACGACGACGCGTGCATGCGAGCTCGGAGCAGTTTCGGGTACTCACTCCCATGGTCAATGCAGGCAGGGAGTTGGAAGCAAAGACTTTTGCCGAACGACGTCGCGGCCTGAACGAAGACGTCGTGGCCGTCTAGGGCGGCAAAGATGATTTCACGTTGTTGGGGCCTGCAACAGATTCGTCAGTCACCATTGCGTGACCGAGGGTATGTCCCTTTGGTGCAGCTTGTGAACTCGGCGATGGGATGAGGGAACCTTCCTCACCTGAAGGTCGACTTGTTGAACTGGCGTCTGAGAGTGAAGTCTATGTCAACGCATGAGTTGGAGCGCGACAGAGGAGGCATGACGACGATGCGTTGTCGAGAGTTGATGAGGGGCCGTCTTGACGTGAACAAGATGGTGTCCAGTCTCGATAGGGTTACGCTTGGTCGAGCTTCTGGATTGCTTCTATTGCAGGGTGTGGAAGCATAAGGTTGCAACTTGCACTAGACCGAGAAGAGGGCCCGGATGTGGTCATGTTCGAGCTCGGGTCCGGAGATGGCCCGTCAGGACTCAGATTGGTGGGCCTTGGTGGGCCTTGGACAGCCGGCTTGTCCGAATGCCTCCAGACGGGAAGCGGAGGAGAGGATGGAGATGGAGATGGAGAAGGTCCGAGGGGTTCTGAATGGGTGTGCACAGGCAGGCCGCAATCCGGTCGATTGGGGTGACGTGAGAGTTCTGAAATATTTTGACAGATGTAGTCCGAGTGACTGGTGTGGCTGTGCAGCTTTACGGCAGACATGAAAGAGAGTCGAGACAGCAAGGCCATGGAGAGATGCAGACCGGGTTCATGGAACGAAGCGACGAACAGACAGCAGATTCAGAATGGACCCCAGGGCTGGCCAATGGTATCAAGGCCTGAGGCTGCATGGTTGGGGGATGTTACTTTCCAGGTACCTCATGCTGTCGAGGCAGTCGCGGTACATTGAGAGACCGGAAGGAGGCAGAAGTGTCCGTGGCCCGGTAAAGTAGGTAGCTGATGAGGTGGAAAAGAGAAGCACACAAAGAATGTTGCCCTGAGCCTTTCGGTTGGCATTCCTTTTTCTCCACCTGGTTCGTGAGGAACAGAGACAACTACAGGCAGGAGGCGCCTCGACCAGAACACGGAGCAGATAAGGTAAGAAGGGTGACCTTTGCCGCCGTGGATACAGAGTCCTCCTTATGCTTTTTGCGGAATTATTATGAGGCGATTCGAGGGGTCATGTTTGCAAAGGCAGAGACAAAAAGAGAAACAAGCAGCAAGTCCCCAGTCTCCAGACCGACCTTCTCGGCCATTTCCTATTTTGGTGAGCTTCGCAAACGATGCTCTGCTGTCAACATTGCGCAACCCGGGCCACCCCTTCCCGCCCAGCTGGGACACGGGGGACCGCTAGGGCTACCTAGGAGAAGGAGGGGGGAGAGACTGTACACCTCAAGAATGATCAAGGTAGTTGGCAGGAATAGTGGCCGGCGGGATACCTACGCTACCTCTTTGTCGACCCAAGGCCAGCATCGGTAAGGTCATAGACGGCGCATTGTGCAGCGGGCGCTCTTTTCCCAAGCGGTGAAAGTTCTCCCAATGTGGGCTCGCTCCGGCGAGGCGTCAGTGTTACGGACTAGGGGTCATTGCTTGCTGACTCAGGACCACGGTGTGATGAATCGCACACAAATTATATGGCACGGTGTCGAGGTGTCTTCAGGTAGGTGACCTCTCTGGTAAGGAGGAAGAGTTGGGTGGGAACGGCGGTCTTCACGGTCGTGGTCGAGAGAACAATATCAAGGTAGAATAGAACCCCGTACTTATTCACAGTAAGCCTCGCCTTTGGATTCTTTGGATTGACGTCCGGCGGGATGTCTGACAGGCCGTTGGAACACACGGCCCCAGATCTACAAGAGGAGTCTTACCGGTAACTGGGCTTACACGTCGTCGATGCAGATTCACATGCAGATGCTTACAGGAGCGTAACCCGATCACCGTATCGATGCGCCCACTAGCCCGCCACGGATACATGCGTGCGAAACCATGCTGTACTGGAGCATTCTGCTCTCGCCATCGCTTCTCGGGTTTCGTAGATTGATACGAACTATCCCGACGCTGTAACACCCTAGTAACGAACTGGATGTGTTCGTTTCCATTTGCTTTCAGGCTAGCCTGTTGCGCCTCTAACTTCAGAGTTTATCTCACCAACAAAACTTGGCCGCCAAGGATCACTCGAGGGCGAGATTGATAGCGGGTGAATGTGGGGTCAAATGGAAACTGAGAAGGAAGCAGGGTGCGAAGTAATGTAGAAGTATCCGTCAATGGAGGCATGGGAATATGATTCAACAGAGTACCTTGCCTTGCGCCAAAATACTGGGGTAGGAGAATCTACCTTATTGTAGAAACCGCGTGGGAGGTTGCATGGAATGCAACGCTGGCACGGAAGACTTTTCTTCTCCAAACCTGCGTTTCCCTGCATGTCTGTTTCTCGCTCTCCCTTCGCTAAATACTCCCAGGGGCTGGGAGTTTGGGTGAGCTTCCTGGTCGTTTCCCGTTTGAACTGTTCTAGACCAGCCAGCGGCAGGCCGCCAGTGCCGCACCTGTCTTGCCAAGAGTCCCAGTCATTCTCGTACTGTGTCCAGAGTATCCATCCGTACGGAGAGGGGGTATTGAAAAGAGGTATGAATCCTGGTAGGGCGATACATGGTCTGCACAGTCTGCCACAATCAGAAGTTGTGGTGTTTCTCGGCGTGACATGAATCCGCAGCAGATTCGTTGGTCGAGGAGAGTCTGAGAGTCTGGAACAGTTCTCAGTCCTGGATGCCGATCGTGGTGTGTGTGGTCCATGTGTACTTCGTATTTGTGTGAGCCGCATGATGCCTTACTTCAAACGAGGCGTGTCATGTTGATGCCCAAGTCGACCGTGTCGTCAGTAAAGGTTTTGTTGAGGGGGCGGTGGGAACAACGTGCAGCAAAGTACAGGAAGTCGAGGGAATATGTCGATAGTCCTGTCAAACTGTCATATGCTGCCAAAAGGGTTGGTCAAGTCCTCCCGTCCGTCACTCGGTCCGCATCTGCAGCACTGTGCGACGTGCGAGATCTGGGGGAGGAAGAAACGTCACCTTACCGCGAGCCGCGATGCGTCAACTTGGGAAGAGGCGAGGTGCCTTGCGTTTTTGCGGCGCGCTACGGAGGCACAAGGGGTACAGATACTTTGGAGAGGTATCCGTACCTTCCATTGGAGAGGCGTTTTGGGGCCTTGGTCTGGGTACTTGATCCACGCCCCCTCCTTCTTGTCTCCCGCTAGGTACCCGCCTTTTCCTTGTCCCTTTTATTTTCTCTGCTTCCATCTTTTCCTTTTCCCTCCTGCCAGTGCTCAGTGTCCCAGATTCCAGCCAGTCGCGTGCTCTTCCTTTCGAGTGCCATACAACAGCTCTCTCCAAGACTTGAGTGTTGATTGCCCTTCTTATTGGCCTATTCATAATGGCATCTACAAGCACAAGCCTCTGCAAGTCTGTTGTAGCCAGCAGTCTGTGCGCCCAGCTTCAACCCCCAAAAGGGACCCCCAAAGTATGAAGCAGCGTCACTTGCCTTAGCAGAGAACGGGAGAGCTTCTGCTCGCCCTACCTAGCCCGGAGTAAGGTACTCCATGTGCGCATGTGAGGCCCAGGAAGTGCCTGCAGCTTGCCCTGCCGTGCCTGCTTATCTTTACCAAGACTGGTGCCAGAAATGGAAAGAAGCCGTCCCACCGTGGTCCACTCGCCGCCCCCTTTTCGGGCTTCCCTCCCGTCCAACTGACTGAGATCTGGTCCCCCATTCTCCTCGCCTTCTGCGGTCGAGGGAGATACAATAACGTTTCTCTCATCGACTCTCTTACTGGCTTACTAGCCCCGACCCCAGAGAAGACAGCGGAGGGCGTGCGGCTCCGACCCTAGACTTCCCAAGGGGGCGTGAAGCCAACGGATGACAACAGCGACCGTGTACCGTATCCCATAGACCTCGAAATAATCCTCATCCCTTCTCCCCAAATGCCCATCCACCTCTACCTCCTAAAAGAAGCTCCGGTTGGCAACATGACAGTTTCATCGTAGCACAACCTGACAATATCCCCACTAATATTTTTTGTTTCTGTCGCGTCCAACGTTCCTGCCTTCACAGTCTTCTGTTCCTTTTCTATTTTGCTTCCAAGGAAACACCCATCCGGGCAACAAGACAGCCAGGAAAAGGAAAGGGCACCCGCGTACCCAACCTGCCAATTTTTAGCTGCCTTTTTTTCCCCCTCCCCTTTTGCCGACGGCCATCAACAAGTTGGGGTGCAACCACCTTTTTGCCATCGTCGCCATCTCGACAGAATACCTACCCATTATCTCCAACTAGCAACCCGGATTGCAGCCATTCGAGGAAGCGAACTTTGCCTCACCCGCGCTTGCAGGATTTGTACCTGTCTGTAACTTACCCCCGTCCGTCTGGCTACCTTAGTTAGCTGTGCGAGGTGTGCCGAGACCAACTACTCTGGACCGCGCTTGGGAAGCTCGGCTCCATCTTCGGTCGCTCGTCCCCGGCTGGCGACTTCCTCCTAAATCGCACAACTCTGCCTCCACCTCCTTCTTCCTCTACACCTACCCCGACCTTCCTCATTTTGCCCGCAAAAACATCACTGCTCCCACCGATCTCGTCGCGTCCTACTCCAACGAATGTACGACCCTTCATAATGATCTCGCGCGTCTTGCAGCTCAGACTGTCCTGTTCCAAAAGTCCATTGGCTTAAACTCCCGACTTCCGTCTCCAATTGTTTGAGGATCTCGACCAACCCACGGCCGGCCAACAACCATTCAGAGGGGACCCTGAAACGCTGCAGTCGACCCAAACCTTCGAGTCTGCGACAACGATAGAAAATCGTCTCTCTTCGCCCTCCCATTCCCCTTTCGTCGATCGCCTGCAATTCATCATGGTTGAACGAATGGAACGGCCAGACAGGCCATCGGGGCCGCCCATGCCTCGCGGCTTGCCTGAGAATCCCGCCCAAGGTCGACGACAACTCCAAAAAGATGCCGCGCTCGGCAATATTCCTCCGCCGCCTCCCCTTCCGCCGATGCCCAAAGATCTCCGAAATCTGTCGACCGGAGCGAGCCTCTCGGCCTCGTCGCCCATGACCTCGGCCCAGGTCATTGCTCTTGCCCGCGATGCAATGCAGAGCGCCCTCCACGAAAATGAGTCTCAGGCCGCCGAAGCGAGTGCCGTGAGCAACGAACTGAAACCCGGCGTCACCATCGACTTGAGCCGCAAGGGTATACAGAAACTCCCAGACGAGGTTGTTGATATTATCAAGAATGAGCTGGAGCGGTTCGTACAACTCGCACACCTTCTTTCCTGGTCGGGCTGTAACTCTAACGCGCTTTTCTAGCCTTGCCCTTTCGCACAACCAGGTCAATTCCTTCCCGGCTCGTTTCTCCGAATGTACATCTCTACGATACTTGAACGTGCGGAACAATCAGATCAGAGAGTTCCCACTGCCGGTTAGTACTTTTCGAATACTTATACGATAGTAGGGTTGTAGCAGACTCTGACCGATACCCTAGCTCTGCGATCTGAGATCGCTCGAGATCCTCGACCTGAGCAAAAATAAGCTGCGAGCTCTGCCTCCTGATATTGTCAAGCTTGCTTCTTTAAAAGTCTTCTCCGTCCAGAAAAACCGAATAGAGGAGTTGCCAGTAGCTCTGTCCGATATGGTTTCATTGCAGGTGCTCAAGTTTGATGGCAATCCCATCACCTTCCCCCCCCGCGAGGTTCTGCAGGTGCAAGCAAGCAGTCCGCCAAACGAGGGCTACCTGAAAGAAAGCGAAGTCACTGAGGTAGCCGTCACTGCACACATCAAGCGCTTTCTAAGACAGCATGCCATGAACGGCCGTGCAGAGTCAGACACAGCTGGTGAAGAATCCAGCGAAGGTGTGGAAACCCCACGCATGCCACCTATCAAGCGAGTTGTCAGCGGCCGGTTCCCGATCAAAGTCAATGGTACCGATGTGCCTGATCTTCGATCCCCGAACCTGATCCGGCCTCCTCCGATTCCGAATCGGTCGCACTACCGAGGCTTGTCTCAGCAGAACACGGCCGTCCGCCGCCCGGGTGTTATGCCGCTGACCATAGGAAATGTCAATGAGCGCCTCAGAAGCAACTCAGAGACGTTGTTGCAGGCAACTCGTGGAGAACGCCCCGAATCTCGTGCCAGACGCATGGGCGTAGTATCTCAGAAGGCTACTCAGCTCGGCACCTTGGACGAGACCCAGGCCAACAACCGCTTCAGTCACTACAGAGGTCTGAGCCATGGTAGTGCCATGCAGCCACCTCCCCCAAGCATGTCGGTCAAGAGCCCCAACAGCCCGGCAGAGCCTTTCCTCCAGCGCCCGATTTATGTCAGAAGACTCTCGGTTCTCCCCGAACGCAGACGCGAGTCTAAGTTCTACGACCCTATTCTCGAGGCCGCCAAGGGTATTCTCTATGCAGTCTTCCAGATTCATCCCATGATCCAGATGCTCATGAGTTTGACGAGCGATGGCTCTTCTAAGAGATCCAGCCTCGAAATCGTCTTTTACAACACGAATTCGCACGTGGAGGAACTGGAGCAAGAAATTCAGAAGCATGACCCTGCGGTGGTTGGAGATGAGATGGCGGGTCGTGAGAATGAGAACGTCCACCGAGCGTGCCAGACTCTAGTCGGAGCCTATACCCATGTCTGCACCCTTCTCGCCGGCAACATCGATTCCTTCATTGACAATGGAGATCCGCGCTACATACGCACCCTTCTGATGCTCATTTATAACAGCATCATGGAGATCAGATGCACTCTTGCTGCGTTGACACCGGAGGCTGGCCTGATCAAACCTCCCATGCGGGCCATGAATATGAGCGACACGATTAAACCCCACTCACGCGAGAACTCCATCACACCGACCGCTGAGCGGCTCGGACTGGCTCAGCGTCCCCGACCCGGCCCCATACTGCACAATCCGAGCAACCTCAGAGTTGCGACAGACGTACCCCTTCCATACTTGAATGGAATTAGCGGTATGAATGGCATGAACGGCATGAACGGTATGAACAGTATGAATGGAAATGTAGCGAGCCGTACAGCAACACTCACTTCCGCAACGCCTCGGTCAGGAGAGTCGTTTGCCTCAGCCTCATCTGGTGGCCGTGGCGTATCCGATTTCACCGAGGAAGACAGATACTTTGAGAAGATCTTCCTCTCCCTGCAGCGATCGTCAGAGCTCGTCATGAGGACTTTGCCCATGTTCCAGAACCATATGTCGGTCCTCGCGAAGAAGGCGATGGGACGTCGCGCACCCGAGCACGAAATGATGTGCTGGAAGGGTCTCATCAGCAGATGCGGCACGGCGGTGCAGCAAACGGAGATGCTGCGAAGCCGCCTGTCGCTGGTTAAGCTCAAGGAGCCCGGTGTTATGAGTCAACCAGCCTTCAGAAGCTTGATCAGCAACTTCATCGACTCGTGGGCGGAATTCGGTTCTCAAATCCGCTATGCGTTTAATGAAATCAGTCTTCCGCCCGATACCAGGATTCGGCTTCGTCCTATTCAGCAGGCTATGAAGGAAGCAAGAGACACTATCCTTCAGTCGCCTTGGAGCTATTTATTGCGACAATCTTCAAATCCCAACACATTCAGCCCGAACGGCGGCCCTGGCTTGGCACCCATGCAGTTGCCAATGACACCTCAGAGTGCAGCTTTGGGTCCTGCTGTCCAGGCGACAGTTCCATCCACTCCGCAGAGTGCTTCCTTTGCGTCGGCTTTCAACGGCGGCGTCTTTGAGCGCGCGGATGCTCTCATATCTATGGGTGGCCTCTCAATGTCTCGAAACGGTACGATGACAAACAGCTCGGCCGCTAGTTTCACCATGTCTTCCATGTCATCGCTCTCATCGGACGGCGGAGCCATCACACCCTCATCAGTCATAAGCCCCAACGGCTTTGGCACTGGCCCGGTGCCACTGCGACTCAACGGGAGCAAAGTTGCCTTCTAGTCGAAGCGCAGAGCTACTACTCCTTGGATTCGCCGCATGTTTTTGGGCAAAAAGTACGGATCGAAATCGCAGTAGATCCATCTTGTTTTTTATACAGTGGTCTGGATGACCAACATACGCATTTTGTCTCCATCCTTCATTCACGCATAGCATTGGCGTCACGGTCGGACTCATTTACGAATGGTAGCCATACACTCATTGAGAAAGCACGTTTCTGGCCATTACAAAGGTCGAGGGGCGTATGTAATGTTATAGTCACGAAGCAAAGCTGATGCCATTTCCATGCATACAGGAATATGGAGAGCGCGGGCGCCAATGAAAAAGCCGCAACGAGTTCAAGTGCCACGGTTACACATGGACTGTCCCTGTTAGTTGTATTCGGGATTTGGCCTATTGGCAAATAGGCAAACATAACAAGCAAAATTCATCCTGAGATTGGTTTGGCGAATATGTGACTCTCATAATCTTGTCTCTCTCCTTTTCACTCTGACTACCAAGCTAGGACACATGAGGATAACATTCGCCGGTCTACATCACATACGACCACACCCACCGGAGAACTCGGGATCCCGTCCGCTCTCCCATCGATAAACCGGTGAGGGCCGGAGTAGTAGTTGGGTCGGAGACGACCAGCGAATGCCTGGTGTTGTATGTATTTTTGGTGATGCTCATTTCTTGGACCCATAGGACGAGAGATTGAGATCCAATGGTGTGCCCGCCCACCCTCGTTAGATACCTTGCGTGGTAGAGGCAGAAAAAGGATGCGTTCGAGTGCGAACAATTCACGAAGCTTCCTCGCCCGAGTCGCCAGTCCTACGCTTCTCTATGAGGCAGGAGCATCAGGTTTCTTCTCAACCTTGACGAACAAGTCCCGCTGCGTGTCGAGGTAATCAAAGGCCGTCAGGGATACGCCCAGGTGCCGGAGGATGCAGTACGCGGAGCCGAGGTGGAAGTGAAAGTTTGGGCAGGCATACTGGACGACGTACGAGTAGCCCGTGAAGCGGAAAGTGCCCATAGACTTCGTGTCCATGAGAACCTCTTCGTCTTCGCGGCCGTCCATGGAGGCCGGTTCGAGGGCGGCGAGGATGGAGATGGTGGCGTCGACGCGGGACTGGAGCTGTGGGAAGGTGGTCTCATCGTCGTGGAAGTAGGTGTCTTCTGTGCGAGCTACACGGGTGGCGAGAAATTTTGCCGTGTTGGAGATTGATTGGACTTGGTAGTCGAGGCTGTTTAGGTGGGGAGGTTGTGATGCTCAGCTGCCTAGGCAGTACAGACTTGGTCGGAAGGAAGCTTACCTTCGCATGTCTTCGATGAGTCTGAACTTGATCATCTCTTCTTGGTTGAGGCTCTTGGAAATACAGTGCTGTTCGGCTTTCGTGAGAATGACTTTCAGGTTGCCCAGGTATTTGAGCATCATGGGGATGGAGGCATTGTAGAGCGAGACCATGTTTGCGGTGTTGATTCGAGTGATTGCAAGCTTCACAAGTCTTTTTCTGGTTATGCAAATGAAATGTGAAGATGTGTAAAGACAGAAGACAGAGAGATGTAGGAGAAGAGTTGAGGAGTCCTTTTTATTCCCCATCATGTTCGATCTCAAGCAAGCTTTTCATTAATGCTAGGTCTGAAGTTGACGCTTTCTGCGTCAAGACGGCCGTGGCCTAGCTACTAGTCTCGACATTCTCAGGTCCGCATCATGCCAAAACGCCCGTTTGTGATCCGGCTACCGGCACCATGTCTCTAGACAGACGGAAGAGGATTTGCGATCCTCAAGTGCTGACGTGAGACTACAACAGAGATCAACTGTCTCATAGGAACCCGCATACCGCGACAGGGGTTTGATGCGTTCAAAGCTGGAAGTATTTAGATGAACACACTACAAGTCAATGTATCAGTGGACAAAGACGTCGTGGAGTTGTACTCCTCCCGAGACCAATCGGCCCCACTACCCCGCCATCTCATGCGGGGAGCTATCAGCCGATCCCGTCACATCCTCTGATTCGCCGTCACCACGACTTACCTGATCAAGGTAGGACTGGTGATTCTTCTAGTGTACCGTAGATCGCGTAGAGTCTCACAGGTGCAAAACTAGGCTACCCATCCCCCCGCCACCCGCAAATCGTCCTGCTTCTCATTCCACGCCTTGTTTCGGCGCTTTCTCATTTACACAACGCAACGCAAGGTGCACAAAAGAGCCAGTGCATGTGTGTAAGTGTGTGTGTGCGCGCGTATACCGTATCCAGTATCCACGAGAAGAAAAACCACACGCCGCCCCTCATGTTCGCCTCGCTATCGTCATCCTTGTCTGGGAGGAATCCGCCTGCGCCGGCGCCGACGTCATCCACGACTACCACAACGACGTCGCAAAACCTCAGCGTGTCCAGCGCGTCCCGCGCGCAGCACTCGCAGTCCTCCAACACCTCCGTCTCCGCCTCCGCCCCGCAGGCCCATCATCACCACGTTGTCGGCGCCGTCCAACAGCAACGACATGCACCGTTGGCCCCCGGCCCCGCCTCCTCGGCATCAGCCTCACCGCCGCCGCAGCAGCAGCTCCACCAGACCCTCCCCTCTGAAGACCAAGAGCAGCACATATCAGAAGCGCGCGCGGCGGTCGTGGCGTCCATTGGCAACATGCTCGACGGCGAGCTGCAGAGCCGCGCGCGGATGCTGCACGCCAACGCTGCAGCGCTGGACAAGCAGGAACGCGACGTCGTCCGGGCGACGGAGGCCCTGCGCAAGGAGAATGACAAGCTCGCCAAGTTCTCGGGGGACGCGGCGAGGCGGGTCAAGGAGCTGGGGAACGTGCAGAACTGGGCGGAGGTGCTGGAGCGGGATTTTTTGGTGCTGCAGGAGACGTTTCGGCTTGTCAGGGAGGGGAGCTGCGGGAGCGGGTGTGAGAGTTGCTGTGGGAGTGAGGGCAGTGGGAGCTGGAGCGGGAGCGAGGTCGGGGATGAGGATGAGAGAATGGGAGAGGACGGGCGTGGCGGTGCGAAGGAAGGGGAAGATGACAAGGGGAAGATGAAGCAGCAGCGCGATAAGCTTGTTGATATGGAGATTGATGGGTTGCATGAGGATTGTTCAGAGAGTCAGAGTCTGACCGAGGCTGAGTCGAGTACTGGGACGGATGGCCGGGCAAAGGAGTCCGAGACGACGTCAATTTCGACACTGTGATTTTTGTTTTTTTGGCGGTGGGGGCAGACATGATACCTTTTTCTCACGACTAAACGATGACGATGACCTATTTACGCAACGGACTGGAACACGACAACTAACTTGATGCTTGGAAACTTTCACCCTCCTCTTTTTTTTGGGGCCTTGCCGCTCTAAGTATCTTAGATTCATTTAAATACAAGTCAACCAGCACCATTTGCCATGATTCACTCGTGAAAGGAGTCGGCAGGGCAAGAAGAATGGTGCCACTGCGGCCAAGTTCGCGATCATATGCTAGACGTTCCGCAGCTTAGAAGATGCCAGGCAGCAGGACAAACGTCTTCTTCTTGTACGTCTCGGGGAACTCCTTGCGGTACGCTCGCTCCTTGCCCTTGGCCCACTGGGCCATTTGGGCGGCGCCGATGATGATGAAGACGGCAACGGCCCAGCTGCGGCTGGTGATGATTACGCCGATCCACGAGAGGATCTCGAACATGTAGTTGGGGCAGGTGACGAGAGAGAAGCCGTAGCCGCGGGGGATCTGGCGCTCGGTGCCGCCGCGGGAGCGCAAGCTGGCGAGGTTGAGGTGGACGATGGCGTTGGAGGCCTCGCCAAAGAGGAAGATGATTGTGCCGAGGACGTCGATTGCGTCGTTGCGGGCGAGGGCGGTGGGCGAAGAAGGGGAGTAGACGTGCCATGCGCTAAGAAGGCCGGCAAAGGCCCAGTAGAAGAAGGAGTTCTTGAAAATGTTGCGGAGGGGCATGGTGTTGGCCGAGAACTTGTGCACGAAGAGGGTCTCGTACTCGCGCTTCAGGAAGTGGCCGAGAAACATGGCGAGGGTGAGGAGCTGGGTCGGCGAGAGTGCCTTCTTGGCGCCTGGGCCCGAGTAGATGTAGGGGCGCAAGCCGACGAAGGCGAGGTGGATGAGAATGGGGCCGAGGTATTCGATCACGAAGACGGTGCTCCATGCCAATTGGGGACCTGAGTATATGGTATTAGTCCCGACTGCACGTGTGCGTCCTTTCTTGGAAGACGCGGTTCCAGGGGTTGGGTGCTGGAACGCAACGTACCGAGATCCTTTACCAACACCTGGCCGGCAGAGATAACAGCCTGCTCGGTGCTAATCTGCGCCTTGCGGTTCTTCAAAGTCTTCTGGGTCGAGGGGTCGAAAAGGCCAACGCGGTTAAAGTCGCTGAACCCGGCTTGGCGGGCAATGAGGTGCTTGACATCCTCGACAGTGGCATTGGCGGGGACCTCGATAGACTCGGGTAGCTTCTTGATCGGTTGCTTCGGTGCTGTGGGCATACGTATGTAAGTAATTTTCCCTAAATGCGTCTTAGAGTGCGCATTGCGAGGAATTACTTACAGCGATTGCTCAACTTGAGCGTAATATTAGCTGTCATGGCTGCTGGTTGTCCTGTGTGAGACGAGGGGTTGTCGCTGTGAAATTCAAACTGCACTTTTGTGACTGAGAAGCTTGGGAGAAGGGCTTCAACGGTGGTGGATTTTGGAGCAGTTGTTGAGAAGCTACTGCACGACCGCTCGATGTGCCTCGGGATGGGTGGGGTTCTGACGCATTGACATATTCGTCTCGTACCTTGTAGGTGCATAGTGCTCTTTCGTGCATGGAAGCCAAACACATCACTTTAAACGGCACGGACAACTAACATCATCTAGCCCTAGCCGCCTCAATGACAACCTCGTCGTTTTCGAGGCGCTGGTTGGCCCATATGGCTTTTTAATTCCAACCTCAGCCGCGCGGATGTTCAAATTTGTTTGCGGTTTGTTGCTTTCTCCTATGTATCTCAGGAGATCGCCCGAAGACTTTTAAGGATGGTGGGCTTCGAGAAGCATGTCAAAGCCGCTCGTACAGAATCCCTCCAAGGTTCTTGGGGGGAAAAAAGCATAAACTAACAATGAAGTCGGGAACCTTGATTGTCTTTCTATATCCTATCGTGCTGGATATTTGATACATTAAAGTGAAGAATCCTGTCTCCAGGCCCATTGGTGTTTCCATCAGCAACTATGTATCATGTATACAAGTCAAGTCTTTTCTAGGGCAGCTCGTTATGAGACTACTGCTCACCACGGACTTTGAAATATCACATCCCATCTGCAACACTCAAGGCTGATTAGACTGTTCAGGACAATCTCATTTCTACTGTTGCGTTACTCGTGGGTCCTGAAGACCAAGTACACTTATTATCCACCTCAGACCTAGGAATCCAGTGCATCAGAGACACAGGTCGAGGTTATGCTGCACCGCATGGTATGGGGTTTCTCTTGGCTTTGTCATGGCTTGTCTTCTCTTAGGCCCTTTTATGGTAACTTCATTTCCTGTCAGGAAAGCTTTGTAGACTACTCCCACAAAATAGTTGTTCGACGTTCTTTGTATTCGGCCGCAGTGAGAGATGGTTCTGAGGCAACAGGCATTGCACCTCCTTCAGAAGGTCCATAGCATCTGGGTTCCCAATGTGATTACTTTGCAAGTCGTACATGCAATTTTTGCGTGGTTGTTTTTCGTGGCCTCAAAATCACTGTTCAAAATTAGTCCAAGTACAACAGCTTGATTCCGGGCGTCTGGCCGGTCTGGTCCACCCAGAGTGAGCGCGGGACGGCTAGGGAGGTGCCTACCTTAGTCAAGGCGCTCCTCAAGGCGCTCCTATACCATGCCTCCCGACTCCCACTACACTGGACCACAGATGCTGCCTTCCTTTACCTCCATCTTCAATTATTACCCCCCCCCCACACCTCTCCCTCTCCTTCCGCCTCTACATTGTCCGTAATCCTCGCCGTCCTCGCCACCCCGTCCTAGTGGTTCGAGTGGTCTAACTTAGGAGAGTCAATACTCAATCACCTTCACTACTCATTCATTCATTTACGAAGTTTCGTCAATTCGATACTACATCACCTACTAGCACGATTAGATAACTTCCGTTCTCTGAACGTGGGCAAAATCCCTTTCCATTCGTTAAATCACTTACCAGCAAGCATGGCCTCACTGCAGGATCGCTCTCGCCCAACCACCGAAAACCAACCATTCTTCTCAGAACTCCTCGGGGCGACAGAAATGACCGGACAAGACGCCACCCCAGAGTTTCCCCCGGGACGTGCTCTCCATCTTTGGCATGTACAGAACTCTGCAGAGGCGAACAGCAGCATTATGCCTTCCAACCTCGAGGCACTCCTCCTGCAACGACAACGCAGTCGGAAAGACCAGCCAAAAGTCAGCGACGCCCCTACTTCTCCTACGGCCTCATCCAGCGCCAGTCAACACTCAACAGAGACATCATGTTCTGCTTTCGACGGCGTCGAGAATTGCAGAGACTACCACCATCCATCCAAGAACGGCATACCCCTCCGCGCGCCCACAGCTCCGGCGGCAGACCGAAGACGGCAGATCTCACTGCATTACGGCTCAGCCCATCATTTCAGCGACGACAACCGCCCCCCGCCGAACGCACCAACTGGCCCTGCAGCAGATCGAAGGCAAGCTGCGAAAGTTGCCACTGTACCCCATCAGACCGCACCTAGCCACTGTCAGTCTTTCACCTGGCGGAGTAGGCAGGCGGCGTTGACGGACAGGTTCAGAAAAGTACAGGCCGAAATGGAACGCCTTGGCTTCGGCAGGTCGCCTGCTGCCCCCGACACACCGGAGGAATACTTAAAAACTATTTTAGCTGAGAAAGAACGCCAAATACAACGAAAGGCTGCCTTGGTTCAGGCAATGAAAACGAAGAGAGAACAACAAAAGAGAGCACGACAGAAGGGCGCTAGCTCGGGTCATACTTCCGGCAATGAACCGGCTTCGGCTCAAGATCCGACTTCAGCGTACGAACCGATTTCAGGCCCAGAATTGACTTCAGCTAATTCCCATCCACTATATGGAGCTGATCGATGTTGGAACATTCAGTACACCGAGATGATGGACACACCACAGGACCACCATGCGGAATGGCCTACGCTGGCAATGTTCAAGGAAGCGGGCCGCAGGACTTTCGACAATCGATGCCTACCCCTTCCGAATCAGCACCATGTTCAAGACCAAGCATACATGCCACTTAGCGATGCGGCGTGGGAAGAGCGCGAATCTCTGAGTCACCAAGGAAATATCATTGACTTGGGCGAAATCAGCATTCTCTCACTAGCCGCTGGCACTGAGATCGAGACTGGTCCAGCGTGCGACATAGATTCCGAAAGTCTCAACGATTGGACTCGAGAGATCATCAACGAAATCGTCCTTGAGGGGGAGGACTGCGGGGTGACGACTGCGCACGAAAGCTAGGTAGGCATCGTTTTGAACAGGCGAAGAAAGAAATGCTGTCCAAATCAATCAGCGTTAAAAACAGGAAGAGGAGGTGGAATGAAGACAGGTTATATGGTTCTAGTGCATTGGATCAAAGTTTGCAGTCGGCAAAAGCCAATGACCAGCTAATATGGATTGAATGTGCCAGATTGGCTTTCAATGAGGCCATTATTGGAGGCCAGAGCACCTGGAAGGAGCTGTTGGGAGACAAAGACCTACGCGGCGTTGAGATCATCGACCCTCTTCTTGGTATTTTCGGGCTGGACTGAGCTGGATTAGCGGGTTTTCTCTTGAGTACTTAGCTAGGGTTGGTGAGCCAAGTCTACGTTGGGTTTCGTTTCCAAAAGCACGCAAGTAAGACAACGTTCCTCAGAGGGCAAACGGCAACCATCTAGAGGGAGGAGGCAGGTAGTGAAAGCACAATGCACATGACGTCTTTCAAATGATGATTCCATCGCAAAAGGTTCGCACTTGCTTTTTGATCCTACCTTAAAGAATATATACATTTCTATGGAAAACTGGTGGTCAAAAGTGCTTTGTCAGATTGGCAACGTGGCTCGGTGCTTATAACACGAAATGAAACTTGGAGTATACTTTTTATTGTTGTCTCCTAAAATGATAGGTTTCATTCACGTCTGTAGTCAAATCATGGATGTGGTGCTGTGATGTGATTCAAGTGAAAGTCGAATGCTGCTGCAAAACCAGAATGCCTTGGTAGAGAAAGGAGCAGCACTAGAAAGAGGAGAAAGCTAGATGGCACTCACTGGTTCACTGCCTTGACGTCAACAGCGGGAGTCTGGCCAAGCATAGATACCAAAATAGGGCTGTTTATTCCCAAAAAACCACTCCATCACATCATGTTGTGAATCGAGGTGGTTTGGAGCAATGTTCTGTGAATAGCGACGCCTGCCCCTCCTTGAGCTGGAAGAAGCTCTGTCCAGGCAGGAGCGACAGCCAAGGCCGAAGCTAAGGTAAGGTAGCTCAGGAGCTCCTTTCACCGAGGTTCAGCCGTAGGGTGCAGGGCAGGAACGAGGAAAGGTGGAGGGCTCCAACCCAATGCGGTGAGAAGTGGGGATCTCAGCCTCTCGCTTTCTGTTTGCTGTCCTTCCACCTCCCGCCGTCAAACCTTTCCTCCACACAAATACCTTACCTGCTTCGCTCTCCCTCCTCCTCCTCTCTCAACGACCCCAACCACCCCCAATCCCATCTTCCTTCCTCTTGCGCATCCTCTTCCCGGCATTGTATTTACTTTTCTCCAGGAGCGCATTGGTTCGCGGCTTAACTTTCTTTCATTTCACTCTCCCAACGACGTGAAATACAAGCTTGGTTGCGTGTTTTACGCAACCCTCATAACCGAGATGTCAGAATTCTTAGGGTACGAAGACCTGGGACCCTCCCAATCTCGAGCGCAATTTCGCTCGACATCCTTGCTGACCACAACTATATAGATCTCGCATCTCACTCATCTCCAAGAGCGACATTCGGTAAGGACTTGGAGGACTCTGCACTGCTCCCCAGTCCCCTTGCTCATCGCCTCTAGATATGTCGGCGTTCTTCACGAGATCAACTCGGATGAGTCGACCGTCTCGCTCGAGAATGTTCGCTCCTTTGGAACCGAGGGTCGGAGAAACAGACCCGAAGAAGAGATAGCGCCTTCCGACCAGGTTTACGACTACATCATTTTCCGTGGCAGCGATGTCAAGGACTTGAGGATTGAGGATCACCCAGGCATCAAGGAGAACAAGCCTCCTGCCATACCCGAGGACCCAGCCATTGTCAACGTAAGTCCTACTTCTACGTCTCCCCTTCCTTGACGACGCCTACATGATGAAATATTGCGGATGTAAATCTTTATCGTCTTGTCGGAAAAGCGCAACTTACACGATGTCGAAATTTCCGTTGCCTTCCTTCTGATTTGAAGCGTCTACTCGTCTCAAAATGTTTGATACAGCGTATTGAAACACGGCTAATTACGAAGCGCATTACAGGCCCGTCCTCGTCCTGGCCAGGGACCTAACAACCAGCCGCCTCCTGCGCCTGGCTTCGGTCAGCCTCCATTCCAGAACAACTTCTACCCACCACCCGGCCCATGGGGCCCTGCCCCTGGTCCTGGCCGCGGGGGTCCCGTTCCCGGCGCTGGGATGGGCGGCATGCCATACCCTCCTCCTCCAGGATGGTTCCCTCCCGGCCCTCCGGGCCAAGGCTTCCCCCCTGGCCCTGAACAGTGGAACAACTATAACAACTACCCCCCCGGTCCCCGTGGTCCTACAGGTCCTGCAGGTCCTCTTGGCCCTGGTGGTGTACCTGGCCAGGCTCCCGAGAACCGTGGAACTCCCGGTCCTCAAGATGGAAAGCCTGCGCCGATTGGTGCTGCTGGTGACAAGCAGAAGCCCGCTACTCCGGCCGCTCAAGGTGCACCCAGCGAACCAAAGACGGCACCCCCTCCTGGTTTCCAGGCACCCGCGCCGACACCTCCAGTCGACTCGAAGCCTTCTGTGGCAGAGGTGAAGGCGACCGCTGCGTCTCTGAACACGACTGGCCCCTCGAAGCCCGTTGAGCTTCCGGTGCCCACAGGACCTAAGAACGTTGGTCGCGTTCAGCCGGTTATTCCTCTGGCTGGATCCATACCCAAGGCATTCCCCGTCCCTGTTAGCGACGGTAGCGCTGCTCAATCTGCGCCCAAGGCTGTCGCGGCTCCCACGGCTGCTTCTGTACGCGATGCGACAGAGGCAGCAAAGGCCGCTGTCGCTTTGGCCATGGCCAACATGAACGCTGGCAATGTTGCATTCCCGGCTGTACCCCAGGGCAACGGTAATGCTATGGATAACTTGACCAAGAAGGTCAACGAGATGAGAGTCAATGCTACCCGAACTACCCAGCCGGGAGGAGGCCGGGGCCGAGGTCGTGGCGGCCGACAGGGTCAGGCCCAAGGCCAGGGCCAGACCAAGGTTGATGTCCCAGACGCGGACTTTGACTTTGCTCAAGCCAATGCGAAGTTCAACAAGGACGACCTGGTGAAGGAAGCGATCGCAGGCTCGCCTCTGAACGAGACGCCCACCAGCGGACCTGCAGCTGAAGTTCCCGCTCCCGAGATCCCAGGCACAAACCCACCGATTGCCTACAACAAGACCCGATCGTTCTTCGACAATATCTCAAGCGAGGCTAAAGATCGGGCAGATAACAACGGTCAGAAGCCCGGTGGCCGCGAGTGGCGCGGTGAGGAGCAGCGGAAGAATATGGAGACCTTTGGCCAAGGCAGTGTCGACGGTGGTTACAGAGGCTACCGGGGCAGAGGTCGCGGCCGCGGCCGCGGCTTCGGCGGCAGCCGTGGTGGAAGAGGTGGGTACCGTGGTCGTGGTGGCCAAGGTGCTGCGTCTCCGGCTGCGAACTAGGCGCCTCCCGAGCTAGGGCATCGCGAATGGTCCCGCGTGCTGCTTTGAGCAATCTGTCTCAGGACACGACGATTTCGGATTGGCCGACGAACTCACGATTTGAACGGACGCAATTCGAACTTTGAATGGAGAACGCGTCTCTTCAAGGCATCCCTTTCAAGCAAGACTTTATACGATGTATTATCACTCCTCAATTCTCGATTTTTCTCGGATTCCCTTGGCGACGGAGCACTGGGCGGGCAAGTCCTCTGCGTTGGTTTTGCCATATGGGCAGGAATCATAGGACTGCTATTTTGAAACGCATCGGATCGGAAGGAGTTTGGCAAGTGGTAGCCGCAAGCGACGGGAGCTGCGGTCTCATGATTGTGCTGTGACGACAAAAGGGGAATATCAGGCGTGGGTAGCAAGCATTGAGTTCTCGTTTACTCGTTGGATCGGGGAGCAACCCGGAACAACACGATACGACGGCAGAGACACGTCTTCCATCTTGCGATTGACAGGGAGCATGAACGTCCTGAAGGTGTGAAAACACATGATCAGGAATGAAGGAGGTACGAGAAAAAGAGGATTTCTTTGGCGGTAGAACCCTAAAATCAGGCGACGCGGATAAGACTCGAGGTCTTACCTACGAAGTAATGCATGCACGCCGACCACTAATTTGCAAGTGCATCTATTCTATCGTGAAACATTGACAAAAATTCCACTTGAGCACCAGTGAAGTGCCAAGGAAAGCTTCCCAATCAACGTTCCAATGAAAGCATCTCGATTCATGGATCTGACTTTGTCAAAGTGTTGCTCTGCTAGAAATATCTATCCAGTCAAAAGTCTGGGCACACCACTTAGCACCATGTCCAACCACCGCCCACGAATTGCACCTGCATTCGCGCCCGGGGCTGGTATAGCAAATACGAAACCGCTGCTCCTAGCATTTGATGTGATATAAAGGAATCTTTTCGGTCGATGATTGGAAATGCCGTGCGTGGTTGACATAATAGTTGGGTTTTGGGGACTTTGATGGGGGAATTCTTAATGGTGTAACCAGACTTTGGGCCGATGTAGGTCCCGCCGTGAGCTGATGTATAAATTTAGCCCCTCCAAACCCCGCCAAACGTCATGCACCTCAGTCAGACACGTTTTAGGCGTGACGCACTTTGCTTGGCTACCTTACTTGCAGTAAACAAGATCTCCGCCCACATCGCCAAAGAATTCTGATAAACCCCCCCACAACATCAATACCTACTCCTCAGCTCCCTAACATCGGGAAGTTTACCTTGGTTGAAACGTTAGGCAATGTCGAGCCGTCAGCTACGAAAGCTGCAAAAGCAGCGGGAGCTCGAGCAGCTCCAGGAAGCCCAGGCCGTCGCAGACGAGTCCAGCGACGAGGAACCCGAGCCCGCGCCTGTCAAGCCCCGGCAAAGTTTGTTTGCAGCTCTCGGTGGCGGCGACGTTGACGACGACGACGGCGATAAAGACGACGAAAAGTCTGATGATGCGCAAGACGAACCTGAGCCAGAGCCTGAAGCAGTGCCGCAGCCTGCGAAGAAGAAGAGCAAGAAAAAGAAGAAGAAGAAGGCGAAGAAGGCTGTGACGCAGGACGGATCCCCCAAATCAACCGACTGGAAGGAAGATGAGATCGATCGGGCTCTTCAGGAGCTCAATCTGGCACGCATTGCAAGCTCTACCGCCTCAGACAATCTAGCGCAGCGGAGCCGCGACATCGACGACCTGTTGCAGATCAACACCCAATATCTAAGAGCGATCAACGAAATGCGAGCGCTTTTCGGCAAGGAGGCCATCCAAGCTGCCCAAGATGAGGACAGGGCTGAGCAGGAGGCGGCGCGCCGACAAAGAGGTCCGAATCAGCAAGTCGATTTGGAGACAGCGCTTCGAGGAGACCCACGCAAGAAGCTCCCCGAGATATCGCTCAGACGTAACGTCTTCATCCAAGGCAAGGAAGCCTGGCCTCGTGCTACTGCTGTTGGCCTGGTTATGAAGGAGATCAGGAAGGGCTCCGACGGTCTCACCGAGTTCGCCTTTGTTCACGAGCAGGCCTACGACAATGTTCAGGTCATGTTCTTCAGCTGCGTTCAGCTCGGCGATCCCATGCAGATGGTCCAGTTACTGATACGGTACCCTTATCATATCTCAACCTTGCTCCAAGTAAGCAAGGTTGCCATTCAGGACCAGAATCAGTCACTGGCTGCAGACCTCTGCGAGCGAGCCCTATTCACATTCGGCCGGTCGACGACATCTGCTTTTAGACAGAAACTGGAACAGGGCAAAGCTCGGATGGACTTCCGCCGTCCCGAAAATCGCGAACTCTGGTTGGCAGGATATACGTATCTTAAGAGCTTGATCCGTAAGGGGACGTATAGGACGGCCCTCGAGTGGGCGAAGCTCCTCTTCAGCTTGAACCCGAACGATCCTTACGGCATGAAGTATTTCATTCACACCCTTGCAATCCGAGCACGTCAAGCTCAGTGGCTCATTGATTTTCTCAAGACTGGCGAGTTCGTGGCGGACGAGACGGACGATACCTACATCAAGCAGACCATGGTCCTCGCCAAGCTTCAGGTGGGTGACACTGAGGGAGCGAAGATCGCTGCCGTGGCCGGCATGGAGCGGCTGCCGTGGCTGTACTGCGCTCTCTTTCAGGCGCTAAATCTGGAAGCGCCGCCTCCGCTGTGGGGAGTTCGACCTGACACCGACGAGCGCGAATTCTGGACGAAGCTGTATGTTCACCAGGCCAAGGACATTTGGAACAACGCGCAAGCCGTCGATCTGCTCAAAGCGGCCGTCAAAATTGCGCAGAAGCCGACGAAGACGCTCCCGGAGGATATGCCGGCAACAACCCGTACGGCGAGATGGACGTGGTTGGAGGACACTCCAGCTTTGTTGAGCGGCATTCCAAGAGCGATACTCTCCCAAGAACCGAACTACGCCTTTGATCCGCTCCCGCCTCCGAAGGAAGAGAACATTTTCACGAGCCAAGGAGTTCAGATGCCGTGGCGGCAGAGCAATGGGCCGGGTGGACAGGGCATGCTCGCACAGGAACGAGCGCTCCTCAACATGCTCCGCAGACAGCAGCTGCGAGCCGAGGCGCGGGGAGCTGGGGCGGGTGCGGCTGCAGGAGCCGGTGCTATGGCAGGAATCATGGGTGCTTTCCCAGAAGACGACGATGACGCTGGCGATGGCGAGTTTGGTGACGCGTGGGAAGGTGCGTTTTCGGATGGTGAGGACGATGAGTTCACGGAGGGTGATGGACGGCAGCCCCCTTCGGCCGGCGTGGTGCAGCGACTCGCCGATTTGCTAGCGTCTATGATACCTGGCGGCTGGCCGGCTGAACCGACTCTTGAGGACGAGGAGGGAAGCACGGATGAGGAACTTCCGCCTTTGGTTGATGGCGACGAGGATATTGGTAGTGATGAGGCACGTCAGCAGCCTGGTGGAAACTAGCTGCAACGATGAATTGGGTGCGTACTTGGGTAAAGGGTACATGCTGGGGAAATGTACTTAACAACCCTGCCGCATTCGATAATTACCGATAGGTATAGAGCGTCAATACCCAAACAAAAAAGATTGAACAAATGATATCTAACTCTTCTACTTTTGCTGTATTATCATGTATACGCCCGACATCAACTTGAAGCCGTCTTGAAAAGCACACGGACCCCTGTCCTAGCGCGAACCGGCTAACTCGCGGGTTCGACCGGACACACCATCCATGAAGGACGATCTGCCAAGTGTGGAAAGAAACGGAGGCTTTCTCTGGATCCTGGGACATTGCGAGTATGAAAGGTTGTTGCCGGAACAGAACGTCTGTCCCAAATTTCATTTGTATTGCTGAATTACATCTGCACCGCCTTGAAATGAAATGCGCTCGCTCAGTACGGCGGGAATGGAGTCTGTTTCAGGGGGGTGATTCGGGAGAGGGAGAGGGAGAGCTTTTCGCAAGTGGAAGGGCTGAGGTGAGCAAGTTTCAGAAGCGAGACTCTTCTCCGAGGGTGTGATTTTGGCGCTAGCGGCTACTGGGGTTCGGTGGGAGGTTCGGATGTTAGTGAGCAGCGCGGCCTTGCTCTTGCGCCATCGATGGCGGTTTCCAGAGGAATTAATAATGCGGTTTTGGCAGCACAAGGTTATTTCGAGGACAGATATATAATCCAACCAGATGATCCCGTCTTACCCAAGTTCTTGACGCTCTCTCTTGTACACCTGCAAATCAAAGATACCCCCCTTGTTCAAACCAAAAACTGTTCTCGTAATACATATCAAGCGATTCACCGCACTCCGACCACCTCATCTAAAAGGCGTGTGAACGACTGTAGCTTCCTGCCCCTCCTTAATAGCTCTTTACCCCGCCAAACGCCAGACCGCAAACTTTCCCACCTGCAAACCACCAATTTCCGTTCCGTTCCGACCTCACCTCCCCATTAAACAACACCAACACTGTATTCTTCAACCCGATAAAATGGCTGAACATACCTACAAGTTCAACGTCAGCATGAGCTGCGGCGGCTGCTCCGGCGCCGTCGACCGTGTCCTGAAGAAGCTGGATGGTGAGTTTCTGACAGATTTCCCCTGCATCCCAGTCCAAGGCCGCAAGTTTTCCTACCATCGTCAGTGTTCCGCCACGAATCCGAAATGATCGGTGTTCGGTAGTCGGTAGCTTCGCGCGGATTTTTGTAACGTCTTGTCTGTTGAAAGAAATGGTGGCGGCGAACACAAGCATAAACAACTTCACAAAGCGCATTTCCACAGATTGAAAGAGAGGAACACGTGCTGACCTAAGTTTTGTTGGAAACAGGCGTCAAGTCCTACGAAGTATCCCTCGAGAGCCAGACTGCCACCGTCATCGCCGAGGAGAGCCTAGCGTACGAGAAGGTTCTCCAGACCATCTCCAAGACTGGCAAGAAGGTCAACTCTGGCAGCGCCGACGGCGTTGAGCAGAGCATCGAGGTCACCGCATAAATGGTCGCAATGCGACGCGATCCATCGGAGTCGAATCAGGTTCGAGTCATATGGGGAAGAGGTGAAAGAGCGGAAATGCATGCCGATTCTTTGGGCGAGGAGTTTTACCATTTGGGTTCTGAATCGTTTGCCACCGCGACAGTACGTTTTGCGCGCAGTGCTTTTGCTTTACGTATTTGCGAGATCCCTATCAAAAATAGATATACTACGGGCGCCTTTGTTTCTTTTCCCCCCAAGTGTCTTTGTGCCATCCAGTGTCAGGTATCCAGTGGTTCGAACTGTAGCTGGCTCGATTACTGTGGTGTAGCTTGGCTGTGAACTCGGATGGGATAGCTTGCCACGGCCAAAGGGCTACTGTCTGACCGAGTATCCTCTGAGTGTACTCTGAGTGTCCTCTTAGTGCCCTTTGAGTGCCTCACGCCACGCTCTCTGACCAAAGCTAGATCCGGTGATGCCTGTCAGTTATCGGTCATTATCTCAGCAGTCGGGGATCGAAGTCCTCGGGTCTTCTGGTCTCGCTATCATATATTGCGGCATATTTGTGCATTTTTAGCTCCAAACCTCTTGAAGCTGTGGAAGATATATGCTGCGGAAGGTGACTATACCCTCTTCCTGGTTTAGATTGAGTCTCCAAAGAGTCATTGTCCCCCAGGTCTCGCTCCCCAGAGATCACACCAAGCTCCTGACAAGTACCATTACTGGAGCTCTGTCGGTCTCGTTGTGGAACTATATATGGCACTCGGGTATTTACAACTACCTATGGAGGATTCCTTCTAAACCGTAGCTAATTATACCTTGAATGAAGAAACCGCCGATGACAAAGTCAGCGGAGCATAGTCTACCAACACTATTTTGGCATTACTGACCCTGTGATGTTTTAGATACTCTTAACGAAGGTCCGCAGCAATGTTCCATGAAAGCTTTGTTGGAACGCAGATTGTAGCCTATCAGGCCAACTCAGCTGCCCCTCCCGTTCTGGAGGCTTCGCTTCTGGACAGGATGGACGTGCCCCTCCATGTACTGGCACGACGGGGTAATTATGCGACGGAAAGCAGCCACGCAGAGTCACTAAATCTGCTCGCATCAAGCTCGCCTCCGTCTCATCAAGGGAAGCATTAGAGGAGCCTTTGGGGGTCGCCCACTGCCGATCTTGATGCCTCGTCCAATAGAACCCATTGGATCAAGCATGAGACGGGAAGACACGTGAAGTAGGGACCCTGAAAAGAGATGCAGTCATCTTGATAGAATACGTAGGGCGGGCCATTCGAGCCTATTCGAGGGGGGCTGTCGACATCTGGAGCTCTGTCCCAAGGGTGCCCACACCCGCGAACGCCACCCGGGGAGCCGGGGAGAAGTGCCTACCAACGTCATTTTGCGCCGTGGTGGTGGGGGTGATGGGAAGGGTTGGGGTTACCCGCACAAAGCGCCGTTCGTCGGGCAGCTGGATAGGGTTTTGCGTTCTCCATCTGAGAGGCGGTCTTTGCTTTGCGCCCCTCAGTGTGTCGCGGGGTCTGGGATGGTGGGAGACGAGGAAGGATAGAGTCTCACACAGATGTCCGACCGGCTTGCCAGATGACGACCGGACCCAAAGTGGGTGGCGGTGCTTGTTCCCCGTTTTTTCTTCTATGTCCGATCCATCTATGTCCACGGGGACTTGCCAAACGAATTGTTTGGTGGGTATTATTACCTTACTCTGTAGGGAGCACGTACCCTTACCCTTAGTTACCAGCCTGAACTTCTCATAGCTTCCTTGCATCAAGATGAGACCGCTGAGCTGCAGTTTTCGACCCTAATGCATTCTCAACCTTTGCAATACATGCTACCTCGAAGTCAAAACGGGCACTTTCAATTCATCCGACTACGATTATATTTCAAACTCACTGGCAGCACTACTTGAAAGAAGAAGAACCGGCTTCCAGAACACGTCGGCCACCTCCATCATCTCATCTCCATTACATTGGGAGAAAAAGTTTTGATATTCGCACACCAAATCATATACTAGCCCTTCTACGCTTTCGCAATGGGAACACCGTTCGTGTCCCTCCTCGAACCGACGCGGCTCGACGCCTACATCCGCGGCGCACCTCACGATGAGCAGCCAGCGACCATACCAAAGGAGATCTGCGACGCTATGGAGGTGCGCGAAGCCGTCTTCGTTCGGGAGCAAGGGGTCCCCTTCGAGAATGAGTTCGACGCCGACGACAGTCGCGCGTGCCACTGGGTTTCGTACGCCTCTGTCAACAAGGTCGTGGAGCAGGAGGTCCTCGACGATGCTGGCAACGTCGTCAAGCCCCGCCGCAGCAGCACCCGCAGCACGCCCATCGGCACCATCCGCCTCGTGCCTTTTCCCCACGCCCCGCACCCCAAGAACGGGGGAGTCTACTGGGACGGGGTTCTCAAGGAGGATCCGGACGCAGCGGGGGATGGGGAGGAGGCGGAGGACAAAACCAACGGGCTGCCCCCGCCCGAGTCGACGACGAGCCCGATCGAGGAGCAGACGGAGAGCGCAGCGGAGCACGTGGGCGAGGAGAGGCGGATGTCGGCAACAAAGGTGTTTGCGCCGGACCGCGCGACGGAGCTCCACAACGGGAGGGAGCCGTACGTCAAGCTGGGCCGACTGGCCGTGGTTAAGGAATTTAGGGGACACCGAATCGCGAGATTGCTGGTTACGACGGCGTTGGCGTGGCTGAGGGCGCACCCTAGTTACTTTGACCCGAGCATCAAGGAGATGGGCCTCGAGCAGATCGGGGCGACGAGCGCCGAGGAGGTGCCCAAGTGGAGGGGCCTCGTCTGCGTGCACTCGCAAAAGGCCGTGGTGGGCGCATGGGAGAAGTTTGGGTTCAGGGTTGACGAGGAGATGGGGACCTGGCGGGAGGAGGGTATCGAGCACAAGGGCATGTTTTTGCGGTTGGATATTGGGGAGGAAACGCCGACTATCTGAGATTGGGCAAGTGGATGTTGGGCTGGAAGATAGCTGCCAAAAGGACAGGACAAAAGGCGAGCACCTTATGAGCCTAGAGGTGGTTGATCGATGTTGGGACCTGGCTGGTCGAGCTGGGGGAATCTTTGATGGCTTACGATACCCCATGATAGCTTTCTACTTTTGGACCATGGTCCGTAATACTTTTCTAATCAGTTTCATCTCGAGATTCAGGGCCCATCGACATCATTAGCGGCCACGTTTTGGAGGCCTTGTGGTGCAGGATGAAGACGACATGATACTAATTCTGTTCCGCCGTGGCCATTTTCACCTTGTCGAAAGTACGAGTATACTGGAAGAAAAAAGAGGTATATCATTCTCATTTCACATTAGACACCGTTGGGAAACGCCGGGGGTTTGATCATTTGCTCTGATGAGCTTCGGCTTTTATTGGAAAAAAACCACCTTTGAGCCGTTTAGAGACAAGATGCCGTACCCGCGTTCCCCATTTCCCGAACGCGCAAATGCAAAGGTCACCAGCGCAACACGCTTCTTTTCTTTTCGTCATGTTGAAGAAAAAGACGTTGATTGCCCTGTTATGTAATACCACGCCTCCGTTTGATTTGTCCCCCAGAAAGCAGTTTTTGACGTCTCAAAGAGCAAGAAGGGGGAGACAGATGGAACCCCATTTTTTCAACAGGCCCTCACATTCCCTCCTTGTCATTCTCCATCTCCAAATAAGCGTGTTCAAGGGAACGAGCAAGGAAGCTTTCCACATTTCCCGGGAAAACACCCCCAGTCCCCCGACACACGCCTCTCCAAATCCCAATAGAGTTTCATAGCCCTTTCCACGAGGGGTAAAACAAGTAGACAAAAGGAGCGAAACCCTTTACCGGTTGGACTTGGCGACACGCTCGAGCTCGTCCTTCTTCTTGATGGCGTAGGAGTTGCTGGAGCCCTTGGCGGCGTTGATGAGCTCCTCGGCAAGGCACTCGGCGATGGACTTGACGTTGCGGAAGGAGGCCTCACGGGCACCGGTGGTGAGGAGGGAGATAGCCTGGTTGACGCGGCGGAGGGGGGAGACATCGACGGCCTGGCGACGGACGGTACCGGCGGAACCGATACGGGTGGAGTCTTCGCGGGGACCGCAGTTGACGATGGCGTCGACGGCGATCTGGATGGGGTTCTGGTCGGTCATCAAGTGGATCTACAGTGAGGGAACAAGTTAGTCTTGGATTCTTGTTTCTCCTAGTGAAGTCTGTCCCATTGCAGTCGATTGGCCGAAGGGGTTGGATGGCTTTGGGTGTGGCTTCGGGGGGTCGTGGGTGACATACGATCTCGAAGGCGTGGGCAACGATGCGGACAGCCATGAGCTTCTTTCCGTTGTTGCGGCCGTGCATCATGAGGGAGTTGGTGAGACGCTCAATGATGGGGCAGTTGGCCTTGCGGAAGCGCTTGACGGCATAGCGGCCAGCGGAGTGGGTGACATAGACGGGGTTGCGGAGGGAGATGTAGTCACTGTTCGATCCGGTTCGCGATTAGCTTCTTGAATCCAAGTCTCAATTCCCAATCGCACGTTCTCCGTAAAATATTGTTGTTGTTGTCGTCGATGGCGTTCCTGCGCAAAGGGATAGATAACTGTGTTGGAGGGGGACTCACGTCAGAGAGATGTCCCGGACCTCAACATCGTAATCCCACTTGTTGAAGAGCTTGACGTTGCCGACCTCCTTGACAACGTCCTTGGGGAGGACATCGTAGTTGCCCACGCTCTCGACCTCGATATCGCCGCCGTCAGACATTTTCGCTCGACCTTGGGGGGTTAGTAGACCTTTGTGGGAAGGAAGATCGAGAGAGCTTGGGTGGGAAAATGTGGTGGTCGTGGGTTGAAGTTGTCCAAGTGCGAAAGTACGCCGTAGAGTGGGTTTCGATTTTTGCCAGCTCGCTCCTCGAAAACCGACTTTGGTGCAAGGAACGGAACCACCAAGGGCTTTTGGTCCGGGCCGCCTCGCTGCACTCGAAATATTTTTTCACCAGCGGCGGTGGTGGTGTGCACCCAATCAGGAGCCGCAGTGCAGAGCGTCCGGACCCACCCACGGGTGAATTGTTAGGGTTGGCCAACCCTCCAACCGAAAGGCCTGGAGGGGTGGTTCTGGAGTGGCACCTCTTCCCGCATCCTCATACCATTGAAATTCCTACTCACGACGACCTAGGTGCCTTTGGTATTCCGACCGACGACATCACAAATCAGACAAAATGGTACGCCCGCGACGACGCCCCTCCCCGTGTGCGCGACGCACAATTCGCGACTTGGCCGGATCATGATACTGACTTGAATGGATTAAAAGGCGCCAGCTGCAGGAGCTAAGAAGCAAAAGAAGAAGGTTCGTCGCAATCCGAGTGGCCCCCATGTGTGTATGCTTGCGTGACAAAATGCTGACCTTGTCGCGATAGTGGTACGTATGATTTATGCACACAGTCCGAGAAGAACTTGTCGAAATATATCCCTCCGATATTGTGCCCTCGGATGCCAATGCATCTCTACCATCCACCGATCATCCGACTTATTCATCGTATAGGTCCAAGGGAAAGGTCAAGGACAAGGCCCAGCACGCCGTCATCCTCGACAAGGCCACCTCCGACAAGCTCTACAAGGATGTTCAGTCTTACCGCCTGGTGACCGTCGCCGTCCTGGTCGACCGCCTCAAGATCAACGGCTCCCTGGCCCGCAGATGTCTTGCCGACCTCGAGGAGAAGGGCATCATTAAGCCCGTTGTCCAGCACAGCAAGATGAAGATCTACAGTACGTCGAGCTTACCCCTACAAGATCACGGCTGTCAGCAAGCTAACATACACGACTAGCCCGTGCCGTCGGTGGTACTGACTAAACCCGCTCAGCCATGGACGTGGTACGCGTGACGACAAAACAAAAAGCAACGGGAATCAGGGACGGATTTGGTCGTATCTGCCTAGTCAGGAGGCTTTACGGATGCTCGATGAAGCATTATACCTTGGGCCTTAGGGATCGGATTTGCTTAGCACCGCAAATGGAACGGAGTTGATCGTACATCTGCTGCGTCGCCAAATAGACCATGATCACGTCCTGACGTCCCCATGATACCGGCCCAAAGGTTACTGTCCCAGTGCATATCACCTCTGCGTTGGGCTTCTCCCCCAAACGTCATAGCCGAGCTCTCTGCCTGCTCTGTCTAGAGGTCCTGGCAACGCTGGCACGCGCATCGAAGTCCACGTGCGAATGGAAGCGGAACTTGCCGATATGTCCGAATTGTGCGCCCAAAAGTGGCTCTGGAGTGAGAGCCCGGACTGCTGTACTCATCGCCGCGCGAAAGATTCCATTCGCCAGTAAGATGCCGGTTGCAGTGAGGACTATGGTTCCTAAACACCAAAGAGTGATGCGGTAATAACTCTCGCCGGCCCACAGGCCCACAGATCATTCCCCGTCCGATGAAAGACAACCGCATCTGAAGCCGTAGGGCTGTGACGCACAGCTCAACATTGCTCGCTCCCTGTTTCCACTTTCACGATGAGCTGGGAGGCTAGATCTAAACGTGGCAGCGGCTTGCCATGGGTCTTGGCATGCAGTCAATCCAGCCCTGGAGGTCACTGTTGAATGCCCGATGTCGCGCATATGAGTATGACGATTGCTGGGCTGAGATGACTTGTCACTGCATGCCATCGTAGAAGGACCTTTCGATGGCTTTCTTACTACGGCCTCGACGACGACAAAACCAGTTGAGCCTCGTCGAGTGCCGTCAGAGAAGCTGACGCTAGAATAAAGCCATTGTTCATTTGTGGAAACCAATTTCACGATTTGTGTCCGTTGGCCGACTCATCTGCCGTCCATCGTATTTTGGTAGTAGTGTCAACGTAATAATAAATTTGTGCATACAGAGTGGAGGCTTCCTTTAATATGTCACTCGCTTGACGAATTACTCGCGCTCGTGGTTCCCAGAGACATCAGCGGCAGCGTTGTATTGAGTACTAGCGTCATGGCCGCCTCGCTATCCGTACCAATCTGGCTGCCACTATGACAGAAATATGCCGTTCCCTGATCTTGCGCTTAAGAGGACGCATTCTTTAACACGATATTGGAGGCGCAAAGGCCGGGTGTGGGGATACAGTCTAAGAGTTTCTCTGCCGGGGCCCAAGCCCGGAGCCCGAGATGTCGGACATGTCAAGGAGTGGCCAGTGGAAAGGACTCGGAAGTGGTTCGGGCTGATGAGATTAAACCAGTCGTTGGCGGCTGGGCGCTACGGCGGGACTTCCCAGGCGCTTTGATCAAGTTTGGGGGTGTTTGACCAGGAAGTCAAATTGATTAGGGCGGTCCGAAATTTGATGTGACGTCGAAATTGGCAGCGTCACGAACTGCCCCCCTTTTCTTTCTCTTCTACTGCGACGAGGGGAATTGGAGTTGGATATTTTTTGGGGGGAGGGGTTGATGGAGATGAGAAGTGATCAGTCCAGGAGGTAACAGCGGTTCGCGTGCCTGCGTGCATCGTGTCTCTGAGGGATAGGGAGTAATAAGTATGACTTGGTTGAACGGTGATTGGGATTCGGGAAGAATGCCAACCCAAAAAAGAAAAGAAAAAAAAAAAGAAAAAAAAAAAAAAAAAAAAAAGAGGGGAGGGAGAGAGGGGAGAAAAAAACAGGTAGAGAGAAAAAAGGAAGGGAGAGAAGAAAAAAAAAACAAAAAAAAAAAAAAAAAAAAAAAAAAAAAAAAAAAAAAAAAAAAAAAAGAAAGGCTAGATGGTATTAGTCGACAAGGGGAGGTTCCAGGGTCTCATATGAACAAAGGAGCGGCACATGATACGGCTGTATGTCAGACGTGAACGTCATGTGGTGGCCGACGAATGACAGGCCGCAGAAACCGGCAGGCCATATGCACCGGCATCGAGATACAGCTGACTGGTTGACGAAACCCGCAAGAGGGACATGACGAGAAGTAAAGAGGACGGGGAGGTCACTTGGTTCGTTTCAACTTCAGAGTTGGAGCGTAGGCCCAAGATGAGTGTAAGTTTGTCGGCATGAAGGTGAGCAGTGGAAAGGGACTTTAAATTAGCTGTCAGGACTCGGACGAGTTCGTGGACAGCGGAGGAGCATGAGGAACCTTGGTTCGCGATGTTATTCGAGCCATGGTTTGGTTGGTGCATCATGCCACCTTTGCTGCATAAGGTGGGCTCCTATTGTGCAAGGTAGGAAGTACCTTAGTTGCCGAGAGTCGTTTAGTATCCTGAGCATCTTCCCCTACTTGCTTACCTTAAGATAAGGTAGAGAGGCATCTTGAGTACATAGTAAAGTGACGGAGGGAGGAACGGAGGGGCCTAGAGTAAATAACCTTGTCTTGCTGGTCGTAGTGACGGATGTGGGAAGTGGGATTTCCAGGGTCGTGGACTCTAGAGAACTGCACATGGAAGGAGGGAAGAAAGTTGGCTCCCACTTTGGATGCCGATGCCGTCAGGTACAGTGCCTTTGTCGTCTATCTTAGTTGGTGGCCGGGTGGATAAGGTAGGTGCAGATGCAGATGCATAGGTAGCTAAGGTAGGTACTCTGCAGTACCTACGGTACCTTAGGTACCTTATGCATGATGGTGTCGGGTACCCTCACCATCAAGACGCGGACTATGTCCATGTTCAACCATTGTTCTCTTCGTCCCATGTGGCAGGTGCTCTAGCGTTCTTTTACTTTGAATGAGAGGAATCGGCCACAGATATTCATTGGACCAGGTCTCGAGGTGTATTTCAAGGTCAGTGTTGGCAAGAGTTCAGCCATTGATGAGGCTGCTACATGGTCTCAAACATGCCCCCTCCACTTCATGCTTTGCATCCATCTCGCCGTCTCGGGGGTCGCCTGTCAAGCCGGTTCCTGACGTTGCTGCTGGCCAGGTTGGCATCGAGAAGCTGAGGTGTCAGGACTCAGGACTCAGGAGCCTGGTTTATGCAGTTCCATGCGGGCCACAGCCACCTCACTCGGTACCTGTAGAGTGCATCCGTAGGTGCTCTTTTAGATTTGGATCGCCTGTCCCGGTCGGTCGCATGAACACTCCTTCTGCGCCCAATTGACTGGGTCTCGAGACCTTTCCCTTTGCAGCTGATTCCAGACGGCAACCTGGTAATTGCACACTCCACCATCGGACCCAAAAAGAAAGCACGAGGCAGGAAGGAGCTGCAGGTGCAGGTGCGGGACTTGAGGAAGTTGAGGTACCTGATTTCCTGCTTGAGTGCGGAGCCCCTGACGTTCACGCAAAGTAACGTACCTGATGTCTTTTCAACCTCCGGCTTGACTCCGTCCACTTGCCTTGGGGCAATCGCAACTCACTTGCCTCCTTCCTCCAGCAATTCGATCACACGGGCTCCTCAATCTCAAAGTGAGCTGTATCCGTACCTGCCTTAACAAATGGTCCTGTCAGATAGTCCCGTAACATACTGGGCATCCAAGGTAAGGTAGGTAGGTACCTCAAGGCGATACGGTGAGCTTCCATTGCTCTTCGTCGTCGCGCCTTCCCACCTGCAGCAGATACGGCATCCGGTACACCGTCTCCAGACCCCTCCCTCCTTACTGTGTGTGTGTGTGTGTGTGTCTGTGTGTGCCGTACCTGGCCCCTTCCCCTTCCTGGCCTGTGATCTCCATGCCTGCCAGCCAACAACCCAACCACAAGTGATGCGCACCAGCAGATGATGGCCCTGATATCAGGCATCGCACCCGCCCTGTCTTACATCTCCTCCGCCTCCTCATCGTTCTGACTTCCACTTCTCCTGCTCAGTCCTCCTTATTCCCAACTTGCACTGTCTTGATCTGACCCCATCTGGATGGACCGTGACCAGACCAGGTTCACCCACATTCGCTTGTCTCGCCTCTCCTCTTGTTGCTTCCCTCGACCTTACAAAGTCCAAGTCCATCCCGCATCCAAAGCCTCCGCCGTTCCTGTCCCGACTTGCCTTCCTTGTTCCTCCTCCCCTTCCCGCCTCCACCTCTCCCACCATCACCAGATCCCCTTTTCCCTGCTGCGTGCGGACAGACAACCACAGACGAAACAAATACTCGCCCACATCCGTCAAGGTCCTTTCTCCTTCTCTCCGGCACATCAGAGATACCCCTCTCTGCTAGTGCCTTGCTCCATCTATCCTCCGCGACAAAATCACCACAACCCTTCTGCGACATCTTCCATCTTGCTTCTAGAGCATCACATACTGTAGCCAACTTACCGCCTTTTTACCCACCACACATTACCACCCGCTTGCTTGGATTACCAAATCGGTGTAACGAGCACCCTTTCGACACTGTCAGCCGCTAATCGCGTTGATCATCCTCCCTTTTTGGTCGACCACCAACCAAGCCGTCTCCAGTCCCAGATCGCAAGGCTTCCTTTTTACCTTTCGCAACCTTACAAACCCGTCTCCTTTGCCTGTTTAAAGGTCCGAATAACACTCGAAATGGCGCACAACATGACTGACGCTGAGCTCGACCTCGACTGGCAGCCCAATGGCCGCCGCCCGCAATCGTGCGTCCCAATTGCCCACCCCAGTTTACCGAAACCCTTCTGAGCTGCGTTGCTGACCCGCGGTCGCCCAGTACTATCGCTCGTTCCTTCTCCCAGGAGCTTGCCGACATCTTCCGCCTCGACGAACCCGTCACCGACGAGAAGCTTGATCAAAGGTATATAGCACAGAATAATCCTCTATCTTCCCAGATACAACATTATACCCAAATGAGTAAACCAAGAAAACTAACAGATTCGTCACAGAAAGCAGAATGTACAGAGCCAGACAAGCGAGCTCGAAGCTCTCGAGCGTCGCATTCGCGAAATGGAGGAGCGGTTGAAGAACAACAACGCCATCAAGCAAGCGACGGGACAACCCGCTGCTGTCCCAGCATTGTCAAAGGAAGCCCAGGAGAAGGCCAGGTCACGACCAGGTACGGCGCGCCAGAACCAACCTCATGCCCCGTCTTCGGCAAACATGCCGCCCACGCCTACTGCCAGCGAAGGTGAATACGAATTCGTCGGCAAGGATGACCTTGACGACCACCCACCCCGACACTAGATCGCTGCATTTTCCCATACAAATACCCATGATAGCATGTCCCGCTCGATTCTTCTCTCTTTTCCAATACCACCGCCTCTACCCAGCAAATCACCAGTCAATTATGTACTTGAGATCACGAAATGCTGACTGTTGCTCCTTTACGCTCACTCAGACGGCGACCGCGACCAGGCATGAGGGTAAATTTGTCTTTTTAGATTGCACAACCAGACTACTAGCACCGGCTCGAGCTTACTCTCGCATATACCCGCACTACTCGATTTAACGCCTTCGCCAAGTTATAGCGGCAATGTTGCATTCCCCGGTCTCCGCATAACTGAAAATGGTCTTTGCCTTGCGGCATGTACCCATGCCTGCTACCACAACCCGTGACGGGACGTCGCTCGCTACATCCCCCAGAGCTGTACTAGGCTTAGAAGCATGAATTTCTGATCACCCCGATATGTTTTGCAGCTGGCTTTTCTTTTGCGAACCTGAGTGGGTACGCAATTTTTTTTTACCAAGTTTGTGGAGTTTGAGCATGCCTGAGCGGGATCGTCCGAAATGGACCGACACCCTCTGGTCATTGATGGCACGTCCTGGAGAGAAGGGGGGACATCTGTATATACCAGACGAGAAGTGGAAATTCACCTCTGATTTGCCTCCAGCGATTGGAACGCGCAGGGAGCAATTTCACGTTTGCCAAATCGTACCATGTTCGGGACTTTGAACAGCATCATCGTCTTCATCTTAATGGAAGGCTGAGTCTGGAGGAGCCTTGGGTGTACACAGCTGTTACTCTTGTGCTAGCCCTCTATGACTGGAGATGTACACCTGCGTGGGTAAACTGATTATTCTAGCAAAACTAACATGTCAAAGAACTCTAGGTGTAGAACCACGTCTAGGTGACACGACGGACACCACCTCCAAAGCTGGCTTACTCAGAAGCCTTAGTCCCGAACTTCTACACGTCACAGGCTGTGGTCGTCGAACAAACATCGAGCGAGCCCTTTTCCCCAAAGCTAACGAAACTTCCAGCCGTTCCATAATTCAATTGAACGTACATGCTCCTGAGGGCCACTCCTCCGAAGATGGCCCGGCGGGCGTTACCGCTTCCTTGTATCCCACCAAAGCACATTTCGGAGTTTCCCGGCGCCGGGCCAAGATTGATGGACTCCTTGGAAATCGTTCCTACGTATCCACCTGCAGTCCTGAACTGCATGTCAGGAATGCTTGAGGCCGAAGAGCACGGGAAGACCCAGGCTTCCAGCTTTGGGTCGTGAGCCGAGTCGGGAATGTCTGCGTAATAATGGGCGACAATATCGCCAGGAAGAAGGACAAAGCTGCTACCAGTATCAATGGTGGCAATGGTACGCCCTGTGAACCTGTACCACACCTTGTCGGGCATGGAGCTCGTGCGCGTTTGTTTGAGCTCGAAACTCCAGTGCTCATCGTCGTCCATCGGCGGCTCCTGATGGTCCGCGGTGCCCATGGAGTATCCAAAAGAGAAGAATCCCTTGTCCGAGTTGGGTCGAAGGTCGATACCGATCTCTTCAAAATGCAGCTCCGGCTTGAGACGATCGATCATGGACGGCATGCCGGGTTTGACGGACGAGGGCTTACTCTTGGCGAGTCCCATGACACCGCTAATCTTGGGTTCGATGGCCCATCGCGGGGCGACACTGACGACGGATTGGATTGTTACGTTGGCGATGTTGAAGTGGTTGTTGTCCGTCATTAGACCGAAGTAAACAGTATCGAAGTACACCTTGCCGGAACTGGTGGAACCATCAACTGAATTGGCGTTGTCAGTAAGCATATTCAATCGGTGTGACGAACAGCGGGCGAGATGAGTGAGACGCACTGTACGATGACTCCCAAGTTGCCCCGGGGGCTTCTTTCCTCGACCCTGACTTTGAGGGGTCGTACAGCGCGGGCATCCCATTCACGGCTGCCGTGCCAAAGTTGGTGTCGGTGGTCATCAACCAGCTGTAATCGTGTGAGTGGGGAAGGTTCAAGTGTTCGAGAGACAAAAGACTGACAAGTCAGACGATGCCGTGTCGATAATGACGGGCAATTTCTGCGGCTCTGATCCGACGAAGACGTCCGTCAGCCAGTAATAGTCATTGCTGCTCTTTGCGGCAACGATGGCGGCTAAAGACAGACAGTCAGCTTTGAGTGTAGCTGGGGTGCGGTTCCGAGATTGAGAGGTGGGAAGGGGGAGAAAGGTGCGGGAAGGGCAACTTGCAGGAGTATCCCTCGCGCCGGGTCAACATATGTTTGGCGAGCGACTCTGGAACGGGCATGTTCCACCGTTGGTAGGCGGCTGCGAGAGCGGCCGGGCCGTTCGAAATGTAGTTCGGATTGGCTCGGACGGGGACCGTGAGGGTGCGGCGTTCGAGCTCCGGCTCGGATTGTTGAAGAACGGTCGGGACGGCGTATGCCGACGCCGACCACAGCAGCAGGAAGACGAGGGGAGGGATCATCGTTACGGTCAGACGTTGCAGTGCAGTGTTAATTGGAGTCGTGATGAAGTTGTTTGAAGCTCGATCTGATCTAGCTGAGGATGCCAAAAGCTCATCTCTTAGAAAGGGGGTTTTCTCCCTCTATTTATATTTTACTTCGTCCCACGCTGCTTTATTGATGCTATATTTTTATTCCGGAATAAGAGCCGAAATCATGGCAAGTGCCAACAGGTAATGTGTTTGTTTCGTACCGGAACGTTTCTGCTAACTTGTTAATCCGCGATGTCGCAACCACGATTCTGTTTGTTGCTTCTCGTCTTCCTCTTTGGCCCCCCTTTGTTGGCTGGCTGACCGTTCCTTACATGAGAGTGCAACATGTGTCACTCCGCGGATCTTGGTCTGCGGGGGAAAGCCGGTTGTGCAGATATCCGTGTTTGGTTTTCTTTTCGAGAGGAAGAGAAATACCGGAAGGAAAGCCGACGGGTTGAGGTTACCGAGTTGTTGGTCATGGGTCTCAGTCTGAACTACCTTTCCCCCTCCCCCAATCCTCCCTTAAATCTCTCCTCATTGAGGATGACTCAAAAGAGAAATTGGGAGTATGCATGGTGCGATTGTGATGAGCGGTCGGAAGGAGAATTCAACACGAGGGAGGTCTCACCTTACACTACCGTACACCGAAGGTGAGAGGGCAAACAACAATTTAGCTGCTCCACGATGCTGATGACCAGGCTGTAGTGATGAAATTGTGAGAGACAGAGAAGAACCTGACCATGCGAGAGGAGGAGGGACACGAGGTGCGCCAAAGGGTACACTGCGATATTCCACCAGAGAAGAATTCCATTTGGGGGGGGGGGGGAGAATGCCCGAGAATTAAACCGGGTTTTCTCCCCCCTTCTGAATGAGGCTGACTGACGATATCCGGAAGCTACATCTCTTCTTCCCCGGGGATATACAAAACCAACAGGAAGCTGACTGGCCACAGTTATTACTTGGAATTTCGGCGAGATTATGGGTAATGATACATACGGACGAAATATGCACTCCGCCGACGGGAGTGGGCGATGTTGGTCGTGTCACGTTTGCTCTCTTACCTCTCGAGGTTTAGGATTGAACATGTGTGTTTATTTTTATTTTTGAGACTGTCCTCACACGAAACTTTGGGCGCCTTGTTGATCGTGAGACCGAGGGTTCCTTCAGCGAAGCAATGTGGGGAGGGGAAACGAGGCGGACAGTGAGTGGTGAGGTGGCGGTGCCCCCCTTTCTGTAGGACGTGGTTTAGAAAACATTAATGAGGTGACCGCCGTTTCTATTGATCGCGATTGTACAAAATCTGCGCTCCATTGTCCATGTTTGCTTTTTCGTGGCCGTTACAAGGTGGTTGATTAGTTGCCTGACTCGACCAATGTAGCACGATTCAAGGGTTCCTGCTGCTGCTGCTAGAGCATGTGAGCAGCAGGATTCGCCAAGATCGAGGCAATAATAGAAGACGCCATCAGTAGAAGGCAGCGAAAATGACGTTCGTTCATAATGTTAACCGCCTCTGCATCACTCAGTGCACTCGGTGCGTACGGAACATGTCACGAACAAGCGCAAATCTGGATTTTGTCTTGATTTGTCTGTAATTCCATTTCATCTGTAGAAACGCCTAGGTATGGTATGCGCAAAACTTCAAAGTCGATCTTTCTGTCCCCCACTCGTCCTCCTCTTCCCCCACCCAACAACAACAATCTACAATCCATCGCTTGGCGGGATAAGTAGTCATGTCTAAAGCTCGTCGTGCTCCAGCGAATCCTCCTTCTCCTCCTTGGCGGCGGCCTGCTGGGCCTGCTGAGACTGGTCAAACTTCTTGAGAATCTCCTCAATCTCCGCCTCGCCGGGCGTGTCGCCGTCGCTGCCGCCAAATTGGACGTAGCTGCCGCCACCGGGGAGCTCGACGGTCCGGCCGGCGGGGGGCTCGGAGGGGATGGTGGTGGTAGGCTTTTTGCCGTCCTCGGGGGTAGCGGTCGCAGAGGTGGAAGCCGTGGCGGTGGTGGATTTAGTCTTCTTGGCCGCCTTGGCGCTCTTGCTGGCCTTCTTGGTCTTGCCCTCCATGTTTTTGACGCCCTTCATGGCCAGGTCCATGCCCGCCTTGTCGAGCTTGTCGCGCTTGGCTTGGAGGTCCTTGATGAGGAGGATGGGGTCTGCCGTCGCGGCGAGGGCGTCTTGCTTCTTTTCCATCTCTTTAAGCCACTTGCTGGTGGACTCGTAGACATCCTCGACGACCTCGATATCCTCTCGCTTGTACAGGGGCGGGACGGGACCCTTCTCCTTCACGACGTCCTCCATCGTGCGCCCCTTGCCGGCAGGATCCTCGTCCTCGAGGCCGTCAAAGTCACCAGAGGGAGTTGCTGAGGGGGTCTCAGTGGTTGTGCTGGACAAAGACTCGGTGGACGCAGAGGCGTGCCACTCGTCGTACTCATCAATCTGCTTCCTGATTGTGCCGACAAAGGTCTGGGTGGAGTTGAGGGCTTCCTTGAGAGCCTTGACCAGCTCAGGGCGCTTCTCGGCCTCCTCGCTCCTCTTCTGGATCTTGGTAACTGGATCATGGAGTTCCTTGTACTTCTTCTTGAGGTCCTCACGGGACGCGTCGGCGCCTTCCTCGTAGAGCCAGTCGCTCGCCTCGCTGTTCTTCTTCTCCAAGGTGGCGCGCTCCTCGGCGGTAGAGGAGGCGATGAAGGCGTCGCTCTCGAGGAGGTCGCGAACCTTGTAGGTAAAACCCTCCAACTGGTTGAGGGCTTCCTCTCTTAGACGGCGAGCCTTGTCAGAAGCCTCGAAGGCCTTGAGGCGGTCCTTGGACTTGACGAGCTCATCGCGGGAAAGCTCAGGCAGACCAGCCTTCTCAAGGGTGAAGTCAACGTTGATGGTGATGAGCTCCTTCTTCTTGGGGGCCGGCTCCTTGCCATTAGCGGCAGCGTCGCTGGGCACGGGTGAGGACGAGGCGGTAGTAGACTCGGTCTTAGTCGAAGCGGTGGTGGAGGACTTGGATTCCGTGGTCGACGACTCATCGTCTTCCTCTCCATCAAGAGGCTTCTGGTCCTTCTTGTTGCCAAAGCCGAACAGGTTCTTGACCCCATCAACAAAGCCCTCCTTTTCAGGGGCATCGGCCTCGCACTCAACAGTGGCCTTCGTAACCTCAACCTCGCCGCTCTCGCCGCTCAGCTTGACGCCGACCTTGAAGTGAATATCGCTGTCAACGCAGGAGTACTTCTCCTTCAGCTCCGCGACGGAGGCGGTGAGGTTTTTGGTGGAGAAAAGCTTGGTATCCTTCTCAGCAGAGTCGATCTGCTGATAGAAAGTGACATCAAAGTCCTCGTGGTTGGTGAAGGTAACGTCCTTGGGGACACCGCCCTGGGGGGAGACGGCGGACCACAGACGCTGGTGCTGAAGCTTGTTCTTGTTGTTTGTCCACTTCATGCCCGAGGCGTAGTTGGCACCTTCAGAAATGCGAATCTCTTTAACACGGAAGCTAGGGCTCAGCTCGGCAGCGCGGAAACCGGCACCGAAAACGGCGGCCTCGTCCGAGTTGACGTTGCTGCGAAGCTTGTCGGCGGAGCCGACTATCTGCTCCAGCTGCTTCTGAACAAAAGGTGTTCGGGAAGCGCCGCCGTGGAGAATGACAGAGGTTAGGTCAGAGAGCTCAAGTTGAGCAGTCTTCAGAGCGCTGAGCAGGACGTCGTCAACACGCGTGGCGTGAGTCTCGGCCATCTTCTCAAAGTCAGCACGGGTGAGCTTATACTTGAAGTCGACATCCTCGTAGAGACCCTCAAAGCTTGCGCTGGCCTGCTGGTTGGCGCTGAGGACGTGGCGCAAACGCTCCGCCTCCTTGGTCAACTTTGCGATGGCACGGCCGTGGGCCTTAACCTTCTCGGCATCGGCTGAGATCTTCTTTCCACCCTTGGACTCGACGAATTGGGCGACCATGTCGTCGACAATGAGGTAGTTGAGCGCGTCACCGCCCAGCGTCCTGTCCCAGCCAGAGCCGATCACGGAAACCTCCTGGATGGTCTTGTTGAACTTGCCAACGTCCTTGACCGTGCGGCCCTGGAACTTCATGACTGTAGCCTTGGCGGAGCCGGCACCCATATCGAAGACCAGGTGGTACTCGGCCTTGCCTCCCTCGTTGATGTTGGGGAACTGGCGGGAGGTGGCATAGTTGAGACCAACAGCAAGGCCATCGCTGATGAGGCTAAGGACCTTGAGGCCGGAGAGATCGGCGGCGGCTTGAATGGCGCGCTTCTCCTCAGTTGTAAAGTAAGGAGGGACCGTCAAGACCATGGAGCGGACAGAGGTACCAGCTCCAGCAGCCGACTCGGCGTTCTTCTGGATGCTCTGCAGCTCCATGGCCAGAAGCTCCTCGACCAGCCATGCCTCCTCTTCCTCAGTGAAGACCTTGCTCTTGAAAGCAGCTGTCCCTCGCGCCTTGTTCTTCTCGAGCTGCAGCGCAGGGTGTCGGGCAGCGTATTCTTGGACAATCGGGTCGTCGACAGAGAGGCCGAGAAGGGTCTTCAGGTTGGGGTAGACATCGTGGGGGAAGCGGGCGGAGAGAGCAATGGCATCGGAGCCGTAGAGTCTCTCAGGGTAGGATCCGGACTTGGGGCCACCCTGGAGGGGCTTGAAGGTGACGGCGGAGATTTCCTTGCGGCGCGAGTCCTTGGTCAGGACGATATCGAGAGGAATGCCTGGTTTGACGAGGGCGGCCTTGATGTACTCGGTGCCCAGGTCAACACCGAGTACGGCAGAGACTGCAAACACGTGTGCAGAAAAGAAGAAGACGCAGCCAAGGGCTATCGTCAATGGCGAGAAAGTTCGTGGCGCCATCATGTGTGATTTGCGCCCAATGGCGCTGTGGAGGGTTGTCTAGGCAGGGTCGTGTCGGAGTGACAAAGGCCGACGATACTAACTCGGATTGTTAGACAAGTCCCAGTGTAAGACTTGGGGGAAACAATAGTATCGTGAATCTAGGTAGAGAGCGAGGAAACCCCAAAGTCAAAGAGGGGAGTAGTAAAAACAAAAAGAAGGGGAAACTCTCTAAAAAATGGCGACCCAGGAGCACAGATATGAACAACGGAGGGGTCGTTGAATAGAGATTCGTGAAGGTGTCCTCTATTGGGTTCGGTGTCATTCCCACCCCAGACCTGGTCGTCTCGGCAGGGTACCTTCTAGGTGGATTACCTGTCCTGGCGAAGAGGACAGCTGTAAGGAAAAAAAAGTTGTGGCGCCTAGCCCCAAGTGCAAGGCTGACCATACGATAAGCTTTCCATTGGTGCGATAAGAACAAGCACTAGATTTTGTGGCAGTTGTCCCGAATGAAGTGGGGCAACAGGTCTGAAAGAGGCGATCAAGCCACAGTAAGGGGCCAACAACCACCTTCCCAGCTTCAATTCTGGTTTGAGCAAGCAACTCATAGATGCTCTCACAGCCTGCATATTACCTAAAGGTTACGTGAAGTATGACACCATCATGAGAGCGGTCAATCACCGCAGGTCCAACATCGAACCAGAGGCCTACATGGGGACAAGTGTCCCAGGTCGCTTATGCTCTGTCCTGTCACTACCACCGATTATGCTTGGAAAGGACAGTGTTGCATCAGATCTGCCTTCCATGGTGAGGCGCTTGCGAGGGTAACATGTCGTGTCAGTCTCAATACAAAGTCTTACTTTCTCCAAAGAATGAAGGAAACGAGACAACCTGTGTTCTTTGTGTCAATTAGACACATTGCGCCAGATATGGAAGGGCTCGCCTGACTCGATTGCTCTATATTTCATCCCGAGCATGGTATCGTACAGGATAGCAGACTTTGGGCCTAAGAGTCTGATTTATACGGCGAAGGCCAGGCAGGCTTATCACTGCAGCTACTAATGTCAATCACTCGATATCATCCGAAGTCGGAATATCATCTCTTTTTGAGTTCCCGTTTCCATTTGCATCGTTGGAGATCGCGGGGTAACAGGGCTACAGTGGGGCAACTTATGGCGGGGTATAATCTAAGTAGCTTCCCTTGCATTACGTCCAAACTGCAACTTCATCCAAACGACAGGGCCATCAGCACATAACACTAGAATATCGTCGTGAGAAGATCCCGCCTGAGGGTTTGACTTGAATCGTTGCTCAAGCGGAGGCCGATAGACCAGATCTCGACCACCATGGCTCCTGTGGACAACGAAGTCAAAGGCAGACTGGCTCTGGTGACAGGTGCTTCTGGTGGGTGAGTTGAGGTGACACCTCATCCGGCGAGTCATGCCTGACAAGGACAGAATTGGAGGAGCCTGCGCTCGAGAGCTTTTCGTCAATGGAGCTCGTCTAGCTCTGTCATGTTCATCAGATAGAACCGTTGCCAAAATCTTGGGCCTTGCTGCTGATCTTCAGAAGACAACGAACCAGGACATCAAGATTTCATGCCACGTAGTGGACCTGTCGTCCACCAAGGCAATCGAAGAACTCTTTGAGCAGATCAAGGCCGCTCACGGCCAGACCCCCGATATCCTCGTCTCCAACGCCGGCACGGCAGGCTTCGGCAACAAAGCTAACCCCTACCTGGAGAACATCTCCCTCGAGGAGTTCGACTTCACCATCAGCATCAACCTCAGGGCCTCTTTCCTTCTGTGTAAGCTCGCTATGCCGCACATGGTCGCCCAGCGCTGGGGCCGCATCATCTTCGTGTCGTCCATCTCGGCCATTGGTGGCGGCATCAATGGCTGCCACTACGCCGCGAGCAAGGCCGGTATGACGGGCATGATGAAGAATCTCGCGTCGAAGCATGCCAAGGACGGTGTCACGCTGAATGACATTGCGCCGGCCATGATTGGCGATACGGGTATGATTCCCGACGAGAAGCGTGTGGAGGGCACGCCTGGTGATGTGAAGAACATCCCCGTCGGACAGCTTGGAACGCCGCAAGAATGCGCAAACGTGGTTCTCATGCAGTGTAAGACTGGGTATTTGACTGGCCAGAGTATCTTGCTAAGTGGTGGGCTGAAGTAAAATCCTAGACTTCTTGCTCCGTGTGTCTTCCTTTACGTGTAGTGGAAACGCTTGGAGTACTCTTGACACAGCTACGAAGACGTAATCGTAAAGTATCGTGATGGCTTGGTCGGATGTCGAAAGTGTGAAAATCATGTTCGCGGCGGACACGCTCTGCAACACCACACTTTCGGGCTTTCATGATTACTCTTCCAGAATGTGAGCGTGCACTGCCTGGGACAGATTTTATGCGGGGTCGCTGTCAGCTGTCAGGCCGCGGCGTTTGTTCCGATGTGATTACACATGATCTAAGGTACCTAATGTAGTGTCCAACGAAATAGGCCGAACAATATTTGTTGTAACGGCTCCTCGCGTTTCCTCCACAAAATTCCCTTCCAGAGGGCTTTTCTTCTTCTACTTCAGCTTTCCCAATGCCAGAAATCGAGGTCAAGTGTTTGAGTGTCCTTTTGTAGTAACCCTCTACAACATCTGCAAGAAATGCCTCTCTACGAGATATCTCACGCCACCCCTCTAAGCCAAAGCCAGAGGGATGAGCTCGCTGAATCAATCACCGCCATACACAGCAAAAAGTTCACCGTCCCTAGGATGTTCATCAACGTCATATTCACAGACTCATCAAACACCCCAACCTACGTCGGAGGGAAACAGGTGAGACTCGTCCTTTCCTACTTCTATGTACGGGAGCATCCACTAAATCCGCGAACCGGGAACCCAGCGCCAGTCGAATCGCATCGTCGGGCGCGTTCGGCGAGGATCTTCCCGGACGCAGCAAGACTTCAATTCTCTATGCCACGAGATTCGAGCCGCGTGGGCCCGGATCGTGCATCCAGAGACTGCAGCCGGGGAAGGCCAGCTGCCGCCTCAGGACCTCGAGTTGAGGGCGGTATTCATCACGGGAGAGCTAATAGCTGGTTTAAAAGCCAGCTTTCCGGTGCCTATAGCTGGGGATGAGCTTCAGTGGGCGCAGGAGAACCACGCAGCCTTCAAGGAGAGGGCGGAGGCGGGGGATGAGGATTTCGCGGATCTCGTTGCTGAGATTCAAACCTGGCCTGAATTTGATTCTTGAAACTTATGGGACGTGTTGATTGATTTTAGTTTACCAATAAAACCCACAAAGCTTGTCTGTTATTTCTCTTGATCCATGATTCCCGCATATGATTCTTCTCCTTCAGAAAGTTGATTTGATTCCTGCTTGGAGACTCCCTCAGATTCAAACACAAGAACAACATCTCGCCCTCTACCCCTGGCCACCGAACTTCAGACCAGAAGCCCATTTATAACACCTGGTATATCCGTGACAGGGACATTAGGTACTAGAATTTTACTCCAGGTCAACACTTAGAGAATATGTGAATGAGGCTGCCGGCCCCTGTCCCATCAGTCAAGCTCGTACATTCCCACTTCGAGACCCTTTCCATATTAATCGGCCATGAGCCATTGCTTTTCACCTCTTGCGTCGATTAATCTTCTCAAGACCTTTCGCGGTGGATGCGTTTTTCCTGCCTTTCGCAGAGCTGGCTAGTATGTCAATAATGCCGTTGACATGGTAAATACACAAATCGGTCGGCGGACAGTTGCCGTGAAAGATCGAAAACAGCTCCCGCCCTACAGCCGCCCACCGCTGCCCTACGCTTATTCTATATATCAGCCCGTAATCACGGACCGGTACCGGCCGCTACCTAGATTATGCAAGACCGAGAGCATGTCACTAGCAGTCCTGTTGAGAGGTCGCAGGGAACCGGGTTTCCTGCGGTACTTTGAGATAAAACCTCGCTTCCGTTTAACGACAGGCCAAAAGGTCCCCTTTTGCGCCTCGACCATGGTGTACTTGCTAACCTCTCAATATTAGAGGATTTCTCCGTCGTAAGGGAAGAAGTAGGATTTGACGCTGCTTCAGCGTTGTCGTCGACTTCGAAAACATCCCTGAGAAGCTGTATGAGACTCAGTGAAGGATTACTGTCAACTTCCTTGCTGATGAGTCCAAGGTACGTAGACATGCAGGTATTCGATCGGAGCTTCTTTCACTTTATCTGCTTGATACGCTCAGTCTAGAGGCTCACCACTTGTTCTACTTACATCAACGTACATGCATATTTGGGAAGATGACCTTAACTGCGCAAACGTCATTTCACGTACAAATGAGCTTAGCATCCAAGAAAACGACGCGTGGCATATTTCAGCATCTTTCAGCATCATGCACTTTCAATCAATTCCATATAATCATCATCAGACGTAATGATGGCATCTTTGAATTTACTAATGTCTCTCTTGCGGTCTCGCACCTTGCACGATCGTGGGGTCTATGAGGCGTGCGTATGTCTTTTGGGTTTGCTGATGGGATTTATCGTATAGGGTGTTGGAGTGTTTCGCTCAAATCATACTTCGTGTCCCTCCATCGGTCCAAGGAAAATAAGACAAGAGTACAATTTGGCCTCGATCGGCTCGGATCGTTCCAAATATGAAGGGTACATGTAGAAAAGGGGGCACGCTCAGATAGATAAACAGGTTTCGATCCCCTTACACCGAAAAGCACCCGATTCTCATTGCAGAAGGCCTCGGTGGATCAAGGTCTACCGGTTCCCTGTTGGTTTTTTAGTCTTTACGACTCTCTTGGTCATTTCCTCCATCCGTATTCCGGCTATCATGCGACACCGGCCGCTCAACAGGCGACAACCCCCCAACGCTCGCCGCAACGATGCCAGGCATTCCCAGAGCCGCCTTCATCGGCGACGAGTTATGCCTGCTCGACGATCGGGAGCCGCTCCGGCTGCGCGTCCTCTCGCGATACTCACGGGGTTTCATTATGACCTCGCTGATCTGGCTGATCCTCCCTCCCTTGATGCGCTTGAGGAAGGCCAGGTCGTCTCTGATCTCCAGCAGAGCATCCTTGACGCCGCCGGCGCCCAGATGATCGCTGTCCTCCTCGTCCGTCTTCTTCTTGCGCTTCCACTTGGGGATCTTGGACCACACCCACGCGAAGGGGCTGACGATGGCGACGAACCACGAGTCGGGGAAGAGGCGGATGAGGACACCCATGGGAATCGAGAGGAGGCCGAGGATGATGGAGATTCCCCACTGCGGTCCGTTAAGGCGCTCGACCTTGAAGGCAGCGCCGCCGACGAAGACGATGAGGACCTGGCCGCCGGCCATGATGGCCAGCATGACGGCGAAAAGCTTGTTCTTGGTGATGCCTTCCAAGATGTTGAGGTTGTTGTCGATGCGTCTGCTGTTGATGAGCTTGAAGATTTGCATAAAGACGAAGACATTGAAGACGAGCGTCTTCTGCTGGCCAGAAGGGTAGTTGAGGAAACTCGGGCCGACAAAGTGGAGGATCAACGTGACGATGAGCTGGTAGATGGACTGGCCGATAATCATCTTCCACATGGGTGTATTAATTAACGCAGCGGTCTTGGCTTCGGGCTTTCGGTGAAGCATGCTCTCGGTGGGAGGATCGGTGGCCAGGGCGAGGGCGGCAAAGGTGTCCATGATGAGATTGACCCAGAGAAGCTGGACGGCGTTCAAAACGGGCTCTTGCGTTTCACTTCCTACAGCAGTGACGAAGGTGAGGACAACGGCAGTGATGTTGACCGTGATCTGGAACTGTAAAAACTTCTTGACGGCGTCATTGATAGCACGGCCCCAAGCCATGGCCTTGACGATCGATGAGAAGTTATCGTCCATCAGAATAATATCAGAAGCTTCCTTGGCGACTTCAGTTCCGGTGATACCCATGGAGAAACCAACGTCTGCGGATTTTAGGGCGGGGGCGTCATTCGTGCCGTCTCCAGTGACGGCAACGACCTCTCCCAAACTTCTCAAAGCCTTGACCAGGATTCTCTTGTCCTCGGGGCTGGATCGCGCCAACACGCAAAGGTCCCGAACAATGTTGACGCGCTCGCGCTCGTCCATGCGGCGGAACTCGATTCCCTCCATGACCTTGCCCGTCTCCGTAAGAATGCCGCAATCCTTTGCTATGGCTCTCGCCGTCTCGACATTGTCACCGGTAACCATCTTTACGGAAACAGAGGCAGTGCGGCAGTCCTCCACGGCCTTCGGAACGCCAGCTCGGACGGGATCCTGGATACCCACAACACCAAGCCACGTCAGGTTTTTGAAGATGCTAGAGAACTCAATGCTCTGGGAGCCTTCTTCCCTGCGGGCGTTCTCGGGGGGCCACTGCTCGAAGTCGCGGTAACCGAGGGCAATCGTGCGGAGGGAGCGGCGCGCGTAGTCGGTAATGATTTGTCGGATGTGCTCCTGCTGATCCGATGCCATTGAGGCGCTCGTGGGAGCCTTCGTGGGGTCGGAGATGGCGCTGGTGCATTGTCCCAAAAGGATCTCAGGGGCACCCTTGACGAAGAAACGGTACTTATTGTTTGGGAGACGCACAACCGCACCCATGGCCTTTCGCTTCGAGTTGAATGGGAAGAGCTGCTGGATGGGGCAGTTCTCACGTTCGATGGCAATTTGTTGGAGGGCAAAGCATCTGCGAGCCCAGTCGAGCAGGGCGGTCTCGGTCTTCGTGCCTACAAAAACCTGCTTTCCATTCTCCTCCGTCTCGAAGGCCGTCGTGTTCATGGCCACAGAGTATTTAATAAGATCCCTGAGATTTGCGTCGATTGCTGATGAGAGCTTGGACATTGGGACTTCTGTGGAACTGGTTTGGGACTTCTTGTCATCTCCAGTGACATGTACGTGAGACTCTTCGTCCACCTGGCTAGTTTCGGTGGATTGATCGTCTGAGGCGACAAAGCGGAACTTGCCCGTACCCAGAGTGCCGGCGACGACAGTCATGACATTCTCCGTCAGGGTGCCAGTCTTGTCGGAGCAAATGACGGTCGCATTGCCCATTGTCTCGCATGACTGCAGGTGGCGGACGAGATTGTTCTCCTTTGTCATCCGCTTGGTGGCGTAGGCGAGGGCGAGAGTGACGGCCAGCGGCAGACCCTCTGGCACTGCAACGACGATAATGGTGATGGAGGTGATGAGGATTTGCAGGAAGCGTTGGCCCTTCTCCTCCGGGGAATCGTTGTTGTTGGGAAGATGAGCTAGGAATTCGATCGTCAAGACACCAAGAAGGAGAAGACCGGCGCCGCTTCCGAGCTTCGCAATGTAACCTCAAGGTGTTGTTAGTGACCGACCTAGCGAGACCAGAAAGGCAACTTACCCGCAAGAATGTTTAGTTTGAGCTGGAGAGGAGTCATTCCAGGGTCGTCGCGAAGAGACATCATGGTCTTGCCGTGGCTAGAGTTCTGACCAACTGCAGTAACCAAAAACGTTCCAACGCCGTCCAGGACTCTGGCTCCAGAGATGATGAAAGGGTCAAGCTTCTTGGGATTCACTTCCTCCTCATGCAGCGCTTTCATAACAGTGTCCGCCGGTACCTTCTTGATAAGATCCGACTCTCCCGTTGCAGACGACTCATCACAGCTGACGTTGTGACCATCGATGAAAACACCATCCACAGGGATGATGTCTCCCTGCTCCAATAGCATGACGTCTCCCACCAAAATGTCGTGAACCGAGAGGTTGGCGGGCTTTCCGGATCGAATGACCTTGACGATGCGGTTCTCTTTCTTCTGGTTGAGCTTCCGGAACTGGCGCTCCTTTTGCCAATCGTTGAGTGAACCGACGACGACGACAATTGTAATGGCTACGATGATGGCAACACCTTCAACCCACTCCAGCTTGGCAGTGTCGTCTCCATGATGAGTTGCCCCAAACGTCTGGTACAGTCCCAGTGCCAGAGAAATGACGGCGGCCACACTCAGCAAGATCAAGACCTTGTCCTTCATCGCAATCCATGCGAGTTGCAGTAGTGACAGCGACTTCCTCTCGGGCAGAATATTTTGCCCGAATACTCTCTTCCGGTCATCAAAGCCTTTGCCGGCGCCGTCTTCATGATGGGCCGCATCCTGTTGCAGCGCATCTGTTGGCACAGCATCAGAAGAAGATGGGAGCTTCTTTCCTGCGGCGACGGCCTCCTCGAAGCTAATGCTGCCGTCCAGCTTGGATTCGTCGAGACTCAGACCGGCACGCCTGTCCGTCCGCAGACCCTTCTCCAACCCAACGAGACCTCCCACGGCGACGAATGCATCTAGACTCTTGGGGTTAATAAGCTTCGACACCTGGCCAGGTGTGTAGGCAAACGGGTTGTTCTCGACGTCAAAAGTCGACTCCTCGCCCGGATTCGGTGCCAAGGCATCGTCCGGATTGGCACCATAGACTTTAGGAGAGTCCGAGAGGTGTGCAGTTGGGGAACCCTTATCAGTGCCTTCATTTGTTTTTGACTTGGCTAATGTCGTATTGTTCGAGTCCCAAGACTGGGACCGTGACTTTCTTGTGGGCACTGATAACGTATTATTGATTTCGTCGCCGTGATCCGAAGAAGACGGTGATGATGTTATTTGGTGTTGGTGCTGGTCGCCTTCTGTAAGTCGACGTGCCGTGGTTAGTTTGGCCCGGCTGGACGCGATGGGAGAGGATTATTTTCATGACCGGTCCAGGGAGGAGGAATGTAATTTGGCGTCATACCTTGGTCGTTCACGGCTGAAGTATCCAGCGTGATAGTAGGCGCCCGAGGCCGCCTCAGCGGAGAGGGATTCCGCGGCATGGCGTTGCTTTGGTGTGATTATTTGTGGGTGTTGTTCGTGTTTCTGCCTCTCCGGTCCCAATGTGGTAATCTGGATGGCGATGGTAGCCTGGAGGACAATGTAGAAGAATTAAGAAAGTGACAGTCCGTCCACTTCGATTGGGGAGGAAGGTGCAGCGGTGATTGAAAGCTGTTCTTCAGGGGGAACTGGTAGAAAGGGTAGCTGCAGAACAAGTTTGGATGCCCAGGTTGTGGTGCAAACAAAGGAGGGCGGTGATGTTACACACGGAGTACATAAATGGACCCCAAGAAGAGGGAACCGGATGTTCAGCGAGTGGCAATGGAGAGTTGCACCTTTGCGGGCTGAAAGATGATAATTCGGGTGGGTTTGCGGAGGCGGTGTAGTTTAGGTAGTGTCGAAAGGGAGGCAGGGAGAGAGGGAACAATGGATCGAGGTGAGGGAGCTTGTTGAGCTTAAGCTTGCTCGCTGCTGCTGCGGGTGACGGTTTGTCGGCGGTTTGTCGGCGGTTTGTCGTTTGCCTGGCGGATGAAAAATTAAGATTATTGGTGCCAGCCATGCGGGTTGCGCGATGGGACATCGATGCACTTGATATGCCCAGACGCGGAATCTTCTCAGCCGAGGGTAATCTGGAGAAGGCGGTCCAGTGGATTTGACCATAAAAGAGGGCTGTGAAGCGTTGACTTTTCTCTTGGTCCGTTGAGGTGTGTCGATTCGGTACGTGTCTATCGACAAGGTATCCGGACGGCAGACAATTAAAGTTGGATGAATAGTGGAAATGGAGAACGGATAGAGAGGTGGGCTGTGGCAGGGCAGGTTTGGGCAGAAAGGACCACTGTCGTTAGGGGCCACGATACCGAGGATGAGGAAGTGAGAAGTTTGTTATGTAGTAGTGACGTGGGTGGGTGGGCGAGTGCAAGAAGGAGAGGAGGAAACGTGTTGGTAGTGGTGATGATGACGATGATGATGATAATGATGGATGGATGAATGGTCGGTCGTGGACTGACAACGGACAGCAATCGATAGAGACACAACGAGCCACGCGCTCGCAGAAACGGAAGCCGCAAGCTTCAACCCACGTCAAACAGCTGATGATGGCACAGCGTTGCGCGCTCGGAAGAGAACATGGGGGAGAGAAGACACCACACGCCGCGGAACATCTCAAGTGCCTCATCAGCTGGGCTTGGCAGGTCTAGGCCGTCTGGCCAACGAGTGCTAGAGGTGAGAACATTCAGGATAGGAGAGACTTGCGGATACACAGCCACCATTGTCGGTGATTCGATCAAGGCCAAGAAATCCCAAGATGCCAAGACGTCGCTCGCGCCCCGTATGTAGACGTGCAGAGGCCAGTGGTCATCTATGGTAATTCGCGCGCTCCGTTGCTGTTCACTGAGAAAAGACTACATCAGCAGGGCAAAGTATACGAGCACTGACGGGGCTGCTTCCATCGCCGAGACTAAGAGCAACTCATTGGCTATCTCAAGTGCCGTTCGACGTCGAGTACCTCAGCACCTCAGCACAGGGGGTGCGCCAAGCCATGTCTTTGAATTGCGGTGGACGGTGGAATTACTCTTAATAAAAGCATTCAAACGGGTTGGATACGAGGGCCTTGCTCTCCCTCCTGACCGCCCTCACCACGACCATTGCTTATCGGCCATATACTTGGCTCACTTCGGTAATGTCGCAACCGTAGCATTAGAGCCTGATGTGCTGACCTTCGTGACTTCGTCTCACTCATTTTTCACACTCACACTCTCACTCACAATCACTTTTACTTTCACCTTCACTTTCACTCAGACACTCTGGCCCTGGTCCATGACCGTTGACCGAGGTGAGAGCACTCGGACCAGATACCGCCCCATTTACCATGGGACCGGTGTTCGCTTCACGGTTCACCGTGGGAGCTTAGGCCACTTAGAGCCCAGTAGCGGTGGACTGATCCATTTGTCGCCAGAATGCTGAAGACAGGAAAGATTGGATGCCGCCGAGACAATTTTTCCTGAGCCTTGGCAACAACAACAACAACTGAGGAGAAACAAGGAGGCCGCCAACCGCAAAAGACAGATGAGGCACAGTCCAGCCCCCTCTTGGCAGGAACCTAACAGTGGCCATCTTGATTCAGCACCCCGAGCTGCACCAGCGACAAAGATGTGCTGAGGGAAAATCAAAGCTTTGGAGCGACATCTTCCATCCCAACTTCATCATAGCTTGTCCACGTTTAGCGTAGCCTTGTTGGCAGAGTCAGGTCGGGAAGCAAAATGAAAAAGGCAATTTGGATTTTGCCTTGCCATGCCATGCAGCCGCCGGGGCTGGTCTGATCTGTCCCAAACTCAACTCTCAATCATGAGTCTCATCATTGGACTCTGGAGCAACTATATCAGCCATCCCGCGTCGAGGGATTGACATTGTGGCACCCACACCGGAAGAGTCCAATGTTTCTGCATACCCGGGGCGGGTAACAACCCTGCGACTATTACATCCCGGAACAAGAATCCCGGCAGACAAAGGTCGTTCATTGCCAACCCCTCCCCCCGGGGACAGGTCGATAACTACCGGCTCGGAATGCGCCCACCCTTGGGCTCATTATGGCTCGGACGAGCTAAGAAAGACTTGGCCATCGGCGCTCTCGAGAGCAGAGACTGATGACCGAAAGATGCACTGCCACGCTTGGTCGCCTCACTCCATCGTTTTCCACCTCTTTCCACCTCTTCCGATTTGTCTCCCACTTTTGCTTCAGTGATCACAGGCAACTCAAGAAACAGAGAGATGGGGCGGGGTATGGGAAGACTGCCAAGACATCAAACTGACATCATCAAATCACACAAGAACACACACCCACCCACTTCTTCTGCCACGGAAAGAAGAGATAACTATCCATATGCTTCGCGAAGCAAAGCCAGCCATCCATGTGCCTACGTAGCAAACGCTGCGAGGAGTATGAGGGGACGGAAATTCCAGCGAATGCGTCAAAGAGGTGGTACACCCACATGAACAACAAGACCACTTCAACGTGCTGCAGCTAGAGAGGAGGCGCAGCTGTTGCAGCAGGAAATGCCAAGAGACGGCCTAATTTGGATTTGTGTTGGAAACCCCCATCACCCACCCCCGGGAAAACGGAGAAGCAAACTTTAAGCAACTTATTCCTTGAGGAAGCTCCCAAGCACAGTTCGATGCCAGGGGTGGTCTTCCCTCTGACGTCAGATCTGAAGCTGAAGGCGGGCTGGAGCTTCCATTCGAAAACCTGCGCCGAAACGGCATATTCCAGCCAGTCACCTCTTACCCTTTTTTCTATCTCTAATCTTTCTCCAATCATCTCAACTTCTTGACTTGGATTTCCATCCGATCCATGGTTCCTCCTCCTGACGAACGGTTCTTCGCTTCAGACCATGTAATTGGGGAGTTTAGGTTCATTGTGGCTGACTCATTAGGGTTCCGTGGCGGCCTGGTCTTCCAACTTCACCACCCAACACCTCCCTGGACTACAAGCAAACGAGGTGAACTAAAGTAAGCTCATCTTGACAGCCAAGCCCAATGGGCCGACCGCCACTTTTGGGCTGCCACGCTGCTTCTTCTTCTTCTCATAGCAAACACTGATCGGCCGCCAAGGCATGCGAGGTGATGGACATGCAAAATATACGCCCAATCAGCGCGCCAAGCAACGCGAAACCAGGCCGCCGCTGCTCCACGAAAATACCAAGAAAAAGCATGGCCCAAAACCAAATAAAATACCGCCTCGAGCAAAACCTGCAGCTGGCCAGCACAAAGGCTTTTGCCGTCACCGTGTCACCATCTTTGCTTTCTTTCTCAGGCTCTACTCCGTAGCTAGCTGTGATATCTTCTGGCAAATCGCCCCCGTTCGCCCCTGACTCGGTCTTGGCGCTGGCGCAGCAATTCCAATGACTCCCTCATATTTCGCCTCCGTAGCGTCGAGACGCCACGGGCACGCGCAACGCCGGGGCCATCCCGTTCCTATGATTGGCCATGCAAGATGCTCCCTGGCACGGGTAGAGAGGCATCCACTCCGGACCGGACTGTGACGTCCGAAACCATCTCCGACAGTGTCTCCATAATATTTCCATAATTGCCGGGCGCGTCGCCGGAGGCTCGCCCAGTGTATGCAACCTATTCATCTCCGTCTCTCAAATATACGCGCGCTCCAAAGAATCTTTGCTCAGCCAGGCTCTAATATCTTGCGTAAGCTTGGATCTTACTGGCACTGATAATGCAGGTGCATTTAGGCAATTCAAATGTGATCTCCCCGGAGCTTACTGAGAACTCCGTATTACCAATCCATCTTGACTGTCACTTGAGGAATATAACGCTCTCCTCAGAAATGTTGCTCTACAAATAGGCTAGTGATTCTTGATATGGTGGTACTCCGGTAGACTTCGATCGTGAGATGACCAAGGCCCCAAATATTGGGTAATTGGTGTGGTGACGGTCCCTTTCAGACAGTGTAAGGGTGACTATTCTCGGACTAAATCAAAACCTGACCTCTCCTCATTCCCGTGCATCAAATCATGCCAACATACGTAATCACCGGCGCCAGGGGCGGCATCGGCCTCGAATACGTTAACCAGCTAAGCAGAGACCCGTCGAACACAGTCATCGCCCTCGTCCGCTCCACCTCCACCGCCGCGTCCGCAGCCCTCTCAGCCCTCGAATCCATCAGATCCTCCAGCAGCGCCACGACGCACATCATCGAATGCGACGTCTCCTCCGAAGCGTCTATCGCTGGGCTCCCCGGGCGGCTGTCAGCGGCCCTCGGCCCGGGGATGGCCAAGGTGGACTTCCTCATCAACAACGCCGCAACGCTACAGTACGCGCACCAGACGAGCCTGACGCTTGATGCGGAGGGGTTGGATGTGCAGATGAATACCAATGTGCTCGGGCCGGCGAGGATCGTGCAGGTCCTGCTTCCCTTTTTGGGCGCCGCTGCTGCGAGTGAGGGTGAGGGTGAGGGTCAGGGTGAGGGTCAGGGTGCGGTCGAGGAGGAGGAAAGGATCGCCGCGGTCGTCGCCAATATCACCTCCGGCGCGGGGAGCTTGGGGTGGGCCAGCGACGGCCGGGTGCACATGCTGGGCGGCTACTCCATCAGCAAAGCGGCGCTGAACATGCTGACGGTCCAGCAGGCCAAGGAGTTGAAGAGCAAGGGGATCGTCGCGGTGGCTGTTGATCCGGGACACGTCAAGACTGCTTCTGGTGGGCTCGGGGCGACGGTAGAGGTTGAGGATAGTGCTCGGAGTATACTTCATCTGCTGGCCGGGCTTAACAGCACTGACACTGGGAGGTTCTTCCTGTACAATGGGACTTGCGTGCCATGGTAGACTTGAGGTACTTCTCATGAGGTGAGGGAGGTTTCCTTCAATATTCGACCTTGTGTGTCCTCTTTCGGGCTTACACTGCCTTATTCTGCTTATCCGTATATTCCGAAGATTGGAAACGTTCATGGAATATCACTCGGAACCTACTCAGCCCACAGTCGCGAGATGTCTAGTTGCTCGGGGAGGCCGATTGTCGGCCAAGTCGTCTCAATGTCGAAACGCACAATCCTGTCTATAGTTTTTGTTCTATTCTCTTTAGGAGTACAATCTTGGAGAAATCCAAATCGAAGAAGTTTTCAAATGCCACATTTGAATTCAAATCGTAGACTTCTTCTGAAGTCAATAAACACACCATATTATTTCTCTGTGGATGCGCATCCACTAATGAGAACTACGTATACACAGTTGTCCACTGAACTCAGGGCATCCAAGCACTTTTTCGTCGTCCTTGGATGGAATAGATTTAGAAAGGAATAGGGGAGAAAGCACTCTTCCAAGTCACTCCTAATACCACTGTCACGCCACATTGCTCATACAATCATTTGGGACCGCAGCTGATTATCTAGACAGTTGATACAGTAGTAGGTAGCCAACGAACAACACCTTGATTTTGTCGGTTGAAGCACCTGTGAAGTCAGCCATTGTTCAAAATCCTCCAGCATGAGCAGGGAAATAATACCTGGGGTTTGACACCCGATATCACGCTTCAACTTCAACGCTCAGTCAATGTCGATGAGGGGGCCCAACCCGCAACGAAGCCCTTGGAAGTCAGTCTAGATCACATTGAAACGGACAAACCGCGAATCGTGCCCTCGTCACCAAGAGGTCATCCAAAGAGCTATTCACTGATTCGCAAAGGTACAAAGTCCTGCAAAATTTTACAGACTTGCTAACCTGTCATGAAAACAACTTCCTGGAAGAGGTTTCTCTGGTGGAATAGGGCAGTAAAACATGACTAGACTGTCCATTTTGATAAGCACAGCGCGGGCTTGGCAGTTTCAAGCTAGGAGCTTGGCCACAAGACGCTGTCAACGCCCACCTATTCACAATCTACATAGCAAATGTCCACAAATCGAGCAGACTTGAGGTAGCGAGCTTAGCCGCACTTGGGCTGATTGGTAACGTTATCATACGAAAGTAGACCCTCAGGTCTACTAAGAGTATCCTACACACTTCTTTCTTCAGAGACCATTTCCTAGGTTCCCTGAATATCCTTGAACGCGGAACAATAAAACTTCAATCAACGGAGTTCGCGTGCAATGCGTGGTAGCCTCTAGTTCCTCGCGCCCACGCGGCGTCTCCTGGTCGTTGAGGTCATGTCCGCATCACCCGCCAACTCATCAATATCATCTTCCGCCATCGGTGTATCCTCACCAGTAGCGACGCTAGTCGGCCTCGTGTTGCCAGAGTTCGAGGCAGGTTGACCTGTGCGTTCCTTCTCCGCATTACGGAGCTCGCCTATGATCTTCTCGACCTCCATCGACATCATCCTCGTAGAACGGACCACGGCGTCTTCGTCAACTTCGTATCCCACCACGTCAGCCCCATCGGCAGCACTCCCACCTTTCATGAATGCTGGGCCAGGCCCGCGACTGGGGTTCAGGTTGTACATGATGGCATTTGAAAACATGTGCACGAGCTCTCGTTCGAGCTGGGCGCTGTTGATAATGCTCTTGGGAGGCACCAGATCGTCACTGATTGGCAAAAGAACAGAGCCTGTGCCTGGGTCACCGTCTGGCAAAGCCTTGGCGGCCTCAGTGGCTGCTCTGTTGCCATGCGTTATGGCTGCACGAATGGACTTGATGTCCTGCGGCTGAATGATCAGAGTCTTGTAGCCAGGGGCGTCTCGCTCTCGAATCGGATTCGCAAATTGGTTCGCAAACCTGTGAGCGCCGATCTGGTCTAGAGCGGCAGCGCTTACACGACCAAACTGACGTGTCCATAGCACGTGGGTCGGAGCTGTAGGCGGTGCGAGTGGCTCTGTTGGAGTGTCTTGACGTTTGCGCTTGTGAGCAAGCCGTGATGACACGCTGCTAGGTGTGATCATGTTGCGTCGACTCGGTACGCTTTCATCAGCAGTCGTGTCGCCCGTATCATCTTGCGGTTTGGGCGTCGCTCTGGGAGTCACTCTAGGAGTGGCGTTCTCGTCCTTAATTCTGGGCGCCAGCTCATGGTGATCCATCGATAACTCGTCAGTTTGCGACACGACCGACTGGCTTCTACGCGTGCCGGCAACCGAAGGTGTGCTGTCAGCACGGACCTTGTTCGCGCTGCGCGGTGGTCGGCCTCGGCCTCTAGGACCGGGAGTCTTCATCTCTGATTTCGGCACCGGAATGGGAACCGGTGTCGGCTTAGGACTGGGTCTCCGTGGTGCTTGTGTCGGGGTTGGCGCGGGGGGTAGCGGCGCAACTTGCTGCACAGGACTCAATGGTTCAAAAGCGGGACTAGCTACTTCCCTGTCAGACGCACCCGGTCGAGGGGTCGAAGGCGTCGAAGTCACGGTCCATTTGGTTCCGGAGCCAGTGAGGAGGAAGGTGGGGGCCGCTGTGACAGGCGTCTGTGGCGGTGGAATAGGGGTGTTCGAGGCTCTTTTCGCCGGAGGGGGGGCAGCTGTGACTTGAGGAACCAGGTGAGGAGGAATGGCAGGCCGAGGCTGTTGCTTGTTGAGCGGAGAGCTGACACGCTTTTGAGCATCATTTGGCTTAGCATTCGACTGGGCTGGCGCTGGTGCGGGCGAAGGGCTGAACTGCTGCTGCGCGTAGGGAGGGGGGTAGGATTGCTGCCATCTTGGAGGAACGGCAGTCTGGCCGGAGGGACCGGTGGACGGGGTAGGCGATGCTGCAGCGAGAGGTCGCGGGTGGTTTGACTGGTAGCCTGTAGGCGGCTGTGGTGGATGAGGAGGCTGCGAGCTGCGAGGAGATTGAGAGGCAGTCGGTCGAGGCGGCTGCGAGTGCTGAGCGGGTTGTGGTCGCACAGAAGGCGCAATCGGAGTCGTAGACGATGGCCGGCCTTGAGGCGGTTGGTTCGCTGAGTTCTCTGGATGCCCCTTGGTCGGCGTTGAGTGAGTTGATGCCACCGGCTGTCCCTTGGGCTGAGAATGAGGCGGCGGGGGTTGATGATGCTTTTGAGGCTGAGGTTGGTTTTGGCTTTTGACTGGGGTCTGAGTCTGGGGTTGTGTATGAAGATGAGCTTGATCCTGAGCCTGAGCCTGAGCCTGAGCCTGAGCCTGAGCCTGAGCCTGAGCCTGAGCCTGAGCCTGGCGCGGCGGGGGGGGGGGGGGGGGGGGGGGGGGGGGGGTTGTGGTGGGGGTTGGGGGTGGAGGTTGGTGCGGCGTTGGATGCTGAGGATGCGGCTGCGGCTGAGGTTGCGTCTGAGGCTGGGGCTGGGTCTGAGGCTGGGCTTGAGTCTGAGGCTGAGCTTGAGCCTGAGCCTGAGCCTGAGCCTGAGCCTGAGCCTGAGCCTGAGCCTGAGCCTGGGCCTGAGCCTGAGCCTGGGGTTGAGGGGCTACCAGCACCGGCTGCGACTGTTGGACATATCTCTGTGTCTGATTTGCTTGCATTGGAACATGTGGAGGTTGCGGAGGACCATGGTATTGCCCTGTCGGTTGAGGATACCATTGTGAAGGATGATGTGCCTGATTCGGGGTGGAGGATGCAGAAGTTGCTGGAGTTTGTGATGGCATAGGGCGACCCTGTGGTTGAGGTGCCGGCGCCGCAGGCTGATATGGCTTTTCCCACTTCAGAGTTCCCGGAGTTGAGGGTTGAGCGGGCGTCCCTGGTGCTGGAGCACGAGTCTTGGGTATGTTATCTGGCCGTGGTGATATTGCTGGTAGAGGAACTGGCGAGGTCGACTGGCCGTGCCGAACTGGTGGATGCCCAGCACCAACAGGAGGCTGCAAGACCTGTCCCGCACTGCTGGGAGGCTTAAGGTTTTGATGCTGCTTGACATCTGGCCCATTAGCGGGCGCCGCAACAGATGCGGCGGCGGCGGACACAGCTTGCGTCGGAGGCACAACAGGTGATGGCTGGAACGCGCCTGCTGGCGGAGCCACGTCTCGTCTCGCCTGTGCAGGCTGTAGGGTCGGTGGTGGAGCTGGCGCAACGGTTGTTGGTGGTCTCGCATGGGTTTGGGGCGGTAGAGGAACGTGTCTGGGGATCGGTACTGGAGTCTGCGTTGGAACGGAGCCTGGTCCGTTGGCAGGCCTGATCGGTCTTGGTGTTTCAACAGGCGGCGTCGGAGTCGATCGCTTGGCCTGTAGTTGCGCTGCGGTCTGGGCCGGCGTCGGAATCAAAGAAGGAACCGGGACAGGTGTTGGAACGGGCTTTGGCCCGGAGGAGCTGTTTGGTGCTACTGGACGGGGTGTATTCGCCTTGGCTCGGTCGATAGCCTCTTGCGTTTCCAGAGCTTTAATCTCTCTGGCGAGTGTCTCAATGCGCCGCTCATCTTCCCTAATATCCTTGACGATATTTTCCTTATACCTTGCATAGAGTCGATCCACCAACGCGGGGAATCTGTGCGATTGCTCCTTGACTTCCCTAAGCGTAGGCAATGGGGGATGACTGAGCTTGCGCTTCTTCAAGTTTGGCGACGCGCCATCGGGCTTATCGGTGGTCGCATTCTCGCTCCTCAACTCTTCCTGCAGCAGGTGCAGGAAGAGTTGTTGAAGCGCATCCGGGCTTAGTCGTTTAGCGTCGTAGGTCTTGTCATCCTTGATCAATGAGTTATTGACAAGGAGATCGGAGGCCTTTATGAAGGCAGGAGCTTCGGCGCCGTGCTGAAGGACGGCTTGAAATAGAAACAGGGACTCGAGAGGAGTGTAGACGGCCGGGTTATTCATGCCCCAAAGCCCGCCTCGCCAGTGATCGAGGGAGCTGTCGCGTCTCGGTAGAAGATGGATAGGCGCCAGGGTCTGCATCTCCGACGTTAGACAAGTGTCATCTTATCAAGACGTCGCAAGGCTGAGAGTCGCGCGTCGCGGGACGTACTGGCAGCCTCTAGGAGGACCTCTTGGTGGGCCGAGGCATCTACTTGCACGCGTTCAGGGGTGGAAAGGGTGGCTATCTGGGGGCCACAAGTCGTCGCAGGTAGAATTCGTGTCGTAAGGTTGGTGTTTTGAGTCGTCTGCTCGCCAATTTCGGTCACGTGATACAAGGTGTTTCGAGGTGGGATTTTTGCTAGTATTGTTTGCAGGCGGGCCGCTGGGCGGTCGATGAAATTTTTTGTTGGTCGATTGGCAAGGTTTGGAGAGAAGATGGGGAATTGAGGACGGAATCTGGAGCGCAAGGCGAGCGAGATGAACCAAGAGCGTAGTGCAGCACGGCGAATCAGGTTTGACATTGGCAAGGCTGAGGAGCTGGGAGACGTCACGTGGTACTCTCCAGGCTACACTATTTCTCGTCCCTCCAAATTGTTTCCGACGTGCAGGCACAGCAAATCCGATGCACATAAGAATGAGGCGCTAAGGCATCAATGAAATGCACGGGTGAGAGCCAAAGACCGGGGCTGCTTGCGGCCCGCCGGCGCTTCTGTTAGCCTCAGCCCGCAGGTGGTGTTAGCCAGAAAACGGAGCCGGTCTAGGAAGCTGCAGTATTGAAAGCAAGCGTGGCAAGCACGTCGGGAGGCTGGCAGGCCATACGCTCCTCAATTCATCCCTGTTTCCTCGCTCCTTAGTCAGACCGATCGGTTTTGGCTTTTTTTCTCCTTCACGGTTCCCCATGTCAGAATAGGAGAAGCTGAGCTGGCAGAGAAGCAATCCACTTGAAAGCCTTCCGTCCAATCGTCTCCATCAATGCCTCTTCCCGGTCTCCCGGCCTCCCGCTCTTGGGGCCCCGAATCTTGCGAAATCGTATCCAAGCCTGGAAGTTCTCTTTGTCCATCGAGGAGACATCGGTTCGCCCAGCTCCATCTGTAAATCATCCTCAGCTCTGGTCCAAGCGAGAAGCTGCCAACAGCCATGCTGCTCACAAGCGCCTCAGTATAACAGAGCTGGCAGCTTCCCAGACCGGCCCCGCCGCTTCAGGTTTTGGATGCCGTCTATACGAGTAAGGACGGTGTGAAGTCTCTGATGAGGATACCTACTTGAAGTCGGGTACCTACGCAAGTTGAGAACAAACTCTCAGCCACCATCCGTGCTTGTTGCATGTGTCTTGGCCGAGTCTCTGCCCGGCCTGCCAGTTCAGCGTTCTAGCTATCCTAATGAAAGTCAATTGCTTCACAGGTGCGATGCTGACACGCAGGGCATGTCAAAAAAGGAGAGCCGTGTCAAGTGCATCTGCGGAGGCGAAACTACATCCCTTTCTCCCTTATCAAGGATGGCGAAAATTTATATTGGCTGTCGTGGGCCGTATCCATAGATCTGCCCCGTCATTTCCAAACGACGGTTCCGTCGAGCCTGTACGAATCGAATCAAATGTAAACAAAACTCCTCTAAGCACCCTGACCCGAGAGCCGCTTGCCCAGCCTGAGGCATGTGAGTGTCCCATCTGCGGCCCTCAGTACGGATACGGACACTACCGCATGTCACTGTCTTCACCTAGTCTGCGGAGAGGGTGCGCGAAGCAAAAAGGATGCGCACTGGGAGACCTGCCAGATTCGCTGAATGGACCCGGAGCAAGCGAAGGCCTTGACTCGGCCGGGCCAGGCTTGCCGCATGCCCCTGGATTCTGGAGCCAGTGAATTGCGTCTCTTTCTTTTTTTAAGCTCGGCTGTCTGGGACGGCGGATGCAGGTCGATTGGCGGATTGCGAATTAGCGGCGGCGGCTCAAAGAATTGGATGCTGCGCTTTTGCAGGCTGACAAGACCCCAGAACTTAGAGGTGCCCGGCCCAGCCAGCCAATCTGGGCGGCTCAGCCCCGGGACATGGAGACAAAGTTCGGGATGAAGGAGGATTTTGATGACACGGGGCCGGATGAGATATCCGTCGGTCATGTCTTGTTGCCATAGCAGACGGGCTTCTGGGCCTTCGATTTTGGAGCATGCGGCGGCAGCGGCAGCAGCGATGCTTTGCTATGCCATCCAATGGTTATATCGCAGACGCTAATGACGATGTTTCTGGAACAAGAGAGACGGGATAACTACAGTGGCTTCCTGATGAGCAACGAGGCTTGGAATGAAATCTCATTAGGCCTGCTGTTTGGCACATCCACGCCTCTTCCGCACCCTTTGCCTAGCCCAAGTCGGGGACACCTTGATGCCACCAACTCTCCCGGTGCTAGAGACACACATGGTTGCCCCTAATTATTCATTATAACACCGTGACTGATGCGGAGTATTACAATGAAGTCTCGACTTTGGAGCTTTGCTTTTCGGTGACAGACACTCCGCAAAGTGCCCGGCTAGGTAGTGAGCACTAAAGACCTGACGGACGAAGCTGCCGTCCAGCTTCCCGACAAGTGCAGGAGAAACACAGGCCGCGGAGTCCCCGTGCAAATCTCGGGGTGAACCGGTATCTCAATTCCATGGCAAACTAGCGCTTTGGCCTGAGGCAACAGAGCTGGCCTGAGTTGCCGGGCCAAAGAAAAACTTCGTCTCTGCTGCACCTTCCCACAGTGATCTTGGGGGTTGGAGCAATGGAAGGGGGCGACCCACCCGCGCCTGCCCACCCAAGAGGACACTAACGGAGTCTGGAGGGCCAGCAAAGAGACCCACTCTTGTCCACTTCTTACGCACCCTGAGCCCGGCTGGGGTGGTCGGTGCTCCTTTCTTAGCGCAACCCGGAAAGATTCGCTCAAAAGCTGTTCCTTCTTCGGCCACCCTGCAGGAATTTTTTTTTCCCTCCCTCAAACCTGCTGCCGTCGGAGCACTTAAATTCTCTCGACTCGCTCTTCCGTCTTCACATCCCCTTCTATTCCTCCGTCCATCTCCGCTCATTCTTTTCTCTGAGGTTGATCTTTTGAGAAGAAACCCACAGCCAAGATGTCTGTTCCTGTCGAAAAGCAGAAGGTCCTGGGCATGCCGGTAAGCTCCTGTTCCTCCCCCTGTCCGTTATCCGAGGCTGCGGGAAAAAAAATTACCTCGCCGGCGACGTCGCTTCATTCCATCACCGATGTACCATCAATAGCCATCGTATCCTGCCATGGAATAACCGAGATGCAATGAGTCTCGACCCGATGGACTCGGTTGGGCGCGACAATGGTCAGCTTCTCGGCTTATCATCGTTGGTGGAAGACCCGACGCGCTGGACTGAGCATTTCATACTCTACCCTCGATATGGACGTCAACATGAGGATGAATCAATTTGCTAACTGCTTTCTCACAGCCTTTCGTGGCCGACTTCCTTAGTACGTTGCACAAACCACCACGATGCCGGCGATTGTCATCAACCAGCTTCCCGACCTCGGCAAGCTGATCTTGGCAATGCGATAAACCCATGAAACATTCACTAACAATATCCTACAGTGGGAGGTGTCTCCGCCGCTGTCTCCAAGACTGCTGCCGCTCCCATTGAGCGTATCAAGCTTCTCATCCAGAACCAGGTTAGTAAACACTGCCATCCATTCACTCTGGACAGGTAGCCGGCCAAGGTCGGACCGGGTAACCCCGGTCAGAAAAGTCATCGCGATATTACACGTGACCTTGGCCACCACCGCTGCTGGAGCTACTACTCAAGATTGCATCTAACAACTTCATAGGATGAGATGCTTAAGCAGGGTCGTCTTGACCGCAAGTACGACGGTATCGTCGACTGCTTCAAGCGCACCGCCGCCGATGAGGGTGTCATGTCCCTGTGGCGTGGCAACACTGCCAACGTCATCCGTTACTTCCCCACTCAGGCCCTGAACTTTGCTTTCCGCGACAAGTTCAAGCAGCTGTTCGGCTTCAAGAAGGAGCGTGACGGCTACGCCTGGTGGATGGCTGGTAACCTGGCTTCCGGTGGTGCTGCCGGTGCCACTTCCCTGCTCTTCGTCTACTCCCTCGACTACGCCCGTACCCGTCTGGCCAACGACGCCAAGTCCGCCAAGAAGGGTGGTGAGCGCCAGTTCAACGGTCTCGTTGACGTCTACCGCAAGACCCTCGCCTCCGACGGTATTGCCGGTCTGTACCGTGGCTTCATGCCCTCCGTTGCCGGTATCGTCGTCTACCGTGGTCTGTACTTCGGCATGTACGACTCCATCAAGCCCGTTGTCCTCACCGGTAACCTCGCCAACAACTTCCTTGCCTCTTTCGCCCTTGGATGGCTCGTCACCACCGGTGCCGGTATCGCCTCTTACCCCCTTGACACCATCCGCCGTCGCATGATGATGACCTCTGGCGAGGCCGTCAAGTACAAGTCTTCCTTCGACGCTGGAAAGCAGATCGTCGCCAAGGAGGGTGTCAAGTCTCTCTTCAAGGGTGCCGGTGCCAACATCCTCCGTGGTGTCGCCGGTGCTGGTGTCCTGTCCATCTACGACCAGCTCCAGGTCCTGCTCTTCGGCAAGGCCTTCAAGGGTGGCTCTGGCTAAATGCCTTTGACACTTCTTCGTGTATAAACTCTTCACCGGTGGCGGGTTGGGCAGTTGGCGAATACCCGGGCTGTGGGGATTCGTTGCTGGTTAGGATCAGATGAGGAATCGGTTGATAAAATAGGGAAGATGGGATGTTGTGGAGGGGCTATGGATGCAGGCACCACGAGACGTGGCACGCCTGGATCGGCCAGTCCTTCGTGGTTTAGACTGGCATCTGGCAAGGCGTTCTCTTACATGACCTGAAGAGCTTTGCTTGCTACCTAATCCACTGTAATTTGTACACTAAAGCAATTTCCGATTGCACTCGTTCACGCAACACCTGTCCTCGCTGGACTTTACCGGCTTCTGGTCGATCCTGGGGTGGATTTTCCTTGGTATTGCATGATGATAGACTTCCGCGGCACAATAGGAAGATTTCTTTGATTCTATAATGATGCTCTCATCTAAGCCTTGAATGTTTTAACATGCGGTCTTTTCGAGTTTTATGGCAGTGTTAATGGTAGTCTGACTCGATAAGGCGGCGTCCATTGGTGTCGTCGTTATCCTGCTCTGATTGGTCAATGGCCTTTTTGTTGCTAGTGGACTCAAACACGCCTGCACTCCGCAGTGACAGTGACAGTCGCGTCCCGCTCTAAGCTTTAAATCACCCCACGTGCTCCCCGCTCTAATCGCCTGATTACCAGGCCAGATCGAATCTCGCCGTTCAACAGATGCACCTCTGACATCTGACAGTTTATGTTTACTTGGAGAAGTGGGCTATCACGCAGTCGACACGTGGAATCTCTGTTGCCGAAATTGACTCGCCAGCTCTATCGATCTGACGCACACCTTGGTCAAGCTACCACCTCGATGCAAGCAATTCATCAATCCTGAAGCAACATCAGCAGACAACAACCACGACAATGCCGAGACAAGCAACCGAGACAGCGAAGCGCGGCGGCCCTACCAAGTCTCAACAGCAAGCTACTGGTACGAAGCGGAAGGCCACGCAGCAGCCGGCACGTAAGAAGTCGGGGCCCTCTGAGCTCTCCGACAGTGACGCACCGGGATTGCGGGCACGGCGCGAAACGGACGATGTGGAGGAGGAGCAAGTAGAAGAGGAGCGAGAAGACGGCGAAGAAGAACCGGACAATACGATCCCGCCCGAGCTGCTGACACGGCTCCTGCATGAGTTCTTCGAGAAGGACGACACGAGACTCAGCAAAGACGCGAACTTAGCGGCGGGGAAGTATATGGATATCTTTGTGAGGGAGGCGATTGCGCGATGTGTGCATGAAAGGCCTGGTGGATTTCTTGAGGTTGGTTTGCGCTGGCTTCATGTCTTACAATGAAGAAGGTGCTAACTGACTGGTTGACAACAGGTTGAGGATTTGGAGAAGATTGCACCTCAGCTGCTCATGGACTTCTAGCCTTGGAGTTGAGACTTCGTGAAAGATGAGGTAACGAAAGGTGACACCTCTCATATACTAGCTCCTGAGGCATGGGAAATGCTCTTCGATCGGACTTGGAAGACCTCAAGCCACATTCTTCAATCTTTGTGTCGCGCACGACGTACGTTATTGAGGCCATCGACTCAACACTGCCCCGCTACCTTTGCGTTGACGAAAAGTCGCTACCGATCCCGCATGTCTCAAGGTGCTCGCCGAACCTACGCCAGGTCATCAGCGAAGGACAAATCAGTTCGATCTCGGCATACTGTGGCACGGAGATGGAACACAAAGATCGCGCTTCGCGTAACAGGAGTCTTGCAGCATTTTTTGTCAGATCTGCATGACACAGTGTCGTGATCTTCAATCCATCATCCGCCATTTGCCGTTCATGTTCGCGAAGTAGATGTGAAGAGGCGTTGCTGCTACCCACGAGAAAGTAGCACAGTCTCTGAGGAAGCCAAGACTTTTGTTCCGGTCGATCATGTGGAGCGCAGCCATGCTCTGATGTTTCAACATGTTTTCAACGGGGCCACGAGGGTGGAACACGGCACTTTGATACTAGAATCTACGCTGCCCGACGCATTACAGACCAATCTTTGTCTGGATCGCCTGCCTGTGCATGACAGACAGCGCCAAAAGCAGGTATCTATCGCTGGCGAACCGTGGTCTAGTTGAGGTTGCCACAGCCGGCCCGGTCAAAGGGACGGATAAAGATGCCGAAGTCGAAACTGCATCCAAATGGGGGCTCAGGTTTCGACCCCGGGCCGTCATCGAGACTGGAGGTGTCAAAGGGTCTCAATGCCTTCAAATCAAAGTCTGCCCACCCTTCCCCCTGCATCCCACAGGCAACTGGTACCGAGTTCACTGGGCTACCTACCTTAGCTACTGTCGTCACTAAAGAAAGGGCTGAATGGAACGGACAACTCTCCGCTCGTCTCCCAGTCCAGACGAAGCTATAACAGCAGTAAAACCAGCAGCGACATGAACTGCCATTCGAAGCCTTCCCGTGCCTCAATGTTGTATCTGTGGGTTCAGACGAAACGGCAGGCTTGACAGCAGAGATGTCAAAGACCTGGAGGGGTAAGAGGGAAGGTGCATGGCTACCTAGACAGACGAAATTGGAAGAAAGTCCGAGAGGATTCCTCTCTTACATGTCTCTTTTACCCATCGTGTTGGGCCAGTTGACTGACTATCGGCAAACATTGCACGGTATCCGATGATGAGGGTCGTCGCGTCTGGGGGAGGGTCTTGGGATGAAACCTTACGCTGACACAATGATCTTCCCCCTCCCTCTATCTCTCTGTCTCTTTGGACTCTGCAGTTCTTTCTCACCTGGGTTGTCTCCTAAACAAATATCCGAAGGTCGGGGTAGCGAGATAGTTGTTCCTAGAGACGGGTGACGGCTAGGGATTTGCTTTAACCGGTTGAGCCGCATTCCCCATATTTTCCTACCTTGAAGCAAGAGTTTGAAACAAGTTCCGCGCTCTCTCTCTCGCTTCACTACAGAAATCAAAATACAATGATAGCTCAGTCTACACGAAGTGTCTCGACCAAGTCGCCAGGGGTTGTTACCTCTGGCTTGATTCAGCTTCCGCTTTCCCAATCAAGCTTATTTAACACTAGGAAGCACATTAATTGTAAGGCAACTTGATTGGTTTGCACTTGGCCCCAAGACCATCAAAGTCTCACCCGATATCACGTCCGTCTTTGTCCCGGACCGCCTTCCCTTTACCATCTCTCGTTTCTTACTTACAAGCACTCTCCCAGTGCGACGTCGCTGAACGGACATGAGAAGCTTGGTCAGTTGTCATGGGCTCTGCTTCACGGTAATTCTGATTTGGCCGTGGACTGCTAGGCCCTTGGACCTTTCTTGGCCACGTGGGAAGTCTACAGATGAGGTGTCGCAACCTGTAAAGTTGTAATTAGATGAGATGAGATGAGATGAGATGTAGAGGGACAATTTGTCTATGCAAACTAGGCGTTTGTCCCGGTTTTGCCCAGAAAAAAAAAACATTTGTAAGTAGATGTGAGTATGCAGCTTGGGAAGTGAGTATTTATGAACTTGTTCCTGGTCTAGTTGACATAAGCACCGTCTTTGTGGTCGACACTTGACTAACTGCCAAGGCACTGAGTATGGCTTCTAGGACTCTCAGGCCATGTCAACTTGAGGTGACGAGGCCAAGTGGTAGGAGACCCGGGTGAAGAGTCTCCAGAGAATAGATAGTCTCTCTGTCTTGGCAAACTGAGCAACGAATCTTGGAATCCCGCCTTGCGATCGGATGTGCCTTCTGATACCCTTTTTCACTGGGATCTAGCATGTGGGGTGGGTGAAGCCTTTGCGGTCAACTGACACCTCGGACACCTGCTCAGAGAAGGCGAGTCGGTCGTGCGTGTTAAAGAAAGGTTTGGCCCCATCTTTGCCGTCAATCGCCTAGTGCCTGCTTAGGAAAACGTTAATAATCGAGAGTGCTTGGCGAGGAGTGATTGACACAGGTGGCCCTGGACTCATTGTGAAGCCCTGTATACGCCCTAGGCTGGCCTTGCATGTCCTGACAGGTGGGGATAGAAGAGAAGTACGGGACGGTGACCGAGATCTAGGGTAGGAGCGGCGGTGGTGCATTGAAGGAAAGATTCTCGTCTGTAAAGAGAAGAGAAAGGAAGGGAACGGATGTGGAGGAGGCAAGATGGGATGACGCCAGAGGAGAGGAGAAAAGATCAGTTCAAACACGGTTTATGGTTTCTGAATGGAGCGAGAATAACCTGCCATTTCACCCATGGGTTGAACCTTCGACAACGACGAGGCACTCAGACTTGCCCACAGTCGTCCACTATTATTAGGCCTCTTCTGAGCTTTGTGAGGGAATATTTGACCCGTAGAGTGTCATTGAATGGGCTTGATTACTTGTCGATACAAGCCAGGAGCGTTTCGTTTCTCTGCCTGTGACGGATAGTACTGACCCCGACTGGCCATGTCAAAAGGATTGTCTGGACGACGAAACGTGTTATTCGGATAGACGGCGGGCGAAAGAGGGTCCCTGCAAGTATATCAGCAGGCGGCTATATGGTCTTGGCGTTGATGTCCCAGGAGCGGCCATGTTTTTCAGTGAGCTTTCTCCTTGAAAATTTGTCAGGCGTCGAGGTTTCGATGGATGTGAATTGAATGATCCGCGCGGATGAGTGAAATAGCGGACAAAGGAAGCCGTGGGACCAGGGAAAGAGGGAACATGATCATATACGCGCAGGTCCAGGGAAACCATATTTTTCACTAACGCACACTGCGGGCTGCGATGAGCAAGGCAGAGAGATGCAAGCCAGGCGGGCTCAAGAGCCACGAGACGAAAGAGTCAAGAGTCGGAGAAGCCGTTGTGGCAAAAAGAGGAGCATGAAGAAGCGCCTGATTGGGAAGAAGAAGACGAAGCAAATGCCGGGGCGGTGGTGTGTGTGTGTGTGTGTGTGTGGGGTGTAGAGGCCGGGATGTTAGATCTCGGAAAAGCGAATCTTGCATATCCAAGACTGTTTGCCGCAGCTGCTACGACTGGTCGAGGCAGCATTGCTGTTCGTTGAGTGACAGCGTGAGACAGAGATGCTCACCTTTTCCTTTTCCTTTTCCTCCATGGGTGAAGAGATTGTCGTTGGCCGCGGGCAAGACGGCCGGGGGGAGTGGGGAGATGGGAGGAAATGGAACGAGAGCAGAGCATGAGCAGGGTAGACCGTAGAGTGGAGGAGAAGTAAAATATCAGACGCCGATGTCCCTATATGGGCATCTCTCCTGCGACAACCGAAGCAGGGCCGCGACTGTGACAGAACTGGGATACGACGATTCTTATTGCTAGGCGAGTGGAGGGTTGTGGAGGTGTTTGTGTAAGTGTGTGTGCTCAAATCGTTTAGGATGAGGCTCACAGACCTGATAGGATGATGGGAGCAGCAGTCGAGCAATGACAAGCAACGGCGGCGCACCGGGACGGTTGACCGGCATACACTACAACTTGGAGTCTCGGACAGGCTCAAAAAGCCTAGGCGAGCAGGGGTATGGATTGGTTGTTGCTTTTGCTTTTGGTGGGCAGTTCATTTGTAAATCGGGCAATTCTTTTTAGAGCCCCCCAGACTGGCGGAGACACGGAGACGGTAGGCATTTACGGATACGCCAGGGCAGAAAGGGTGCAGTGGGATGACGGACGACGTCACGCCAACACTGGGACGCAATGTGGTCCGGGATGGGGACGGACGGGAAGGGTAGCCAGGCCTTGTCATCCATGGTGGTGAGGAAGACCCGTCAAGGTGGGAGGCGAACGCGGAGGAGAGGATGGACAGGCCCTGGGGGAGAGAAGCAACTGGGAAGTGACGGACTGGGTGAAACAGGGTACGTCGCGAAACTGTTAGAGGGCTGAAGGAGACGTGGAGCAAATGCGAGCGCTAGCCTCTTTTGGCCGCCGGCAGCCCAATTGCAGCCAATGAAGAGGAAGGAAAGTTGAATAAGCGGGTCATTTTCGGAGGTACTTGGTCGCACGGCGGGCTGTGCGGGTCTAAACCTTATTTCGGCTTCGACGTTGTCCGACTTGGTTTGACACGCGCTACCTCTCCTCGCCAGTCTCAACTTCTGCTTCCTCCGTTCCCCCTACCACCACTCGACCAGCAGTACCCTCCGTCTCCGGGGGCGTGAAAACGTTGGCTTGTCTTGGTCTCGTTGCAGAGTTGCGCCGTGACGCCGGGGGTTCTCAATTCGAGTCGTCGCGAACCTCGCTTCACAGTTCACACACACACACACACACTCGTCTGACAAGTTGGGTGGTAGGTGTGTGAGTTTCTCTTGAACCGAATGCGCTCTAGTGGTGGCCTGTGGTTTGACGGGCAGAACGGGCTGATGTCTTGATGAGATGACTCTTCCCAACAGGACTCGAGGCGGACGAACTGCCGTTGCAGCGTGTGTTCTTTTCTTGTCTTGGCCGCTGTCAAGATCGGTCTGGTCCCAACTCTGCCGACGTTACAACCCACCGCGAGCATACCAGAGCTTTTGCGTTTTGCGCCGTAATTACGCGTCTTGGTGCTAAGGTGGCTGGTGTCGCGAAAACCCAATTGCCGTCTCTTTCTCTCTCTCTCTCTCTCTCTCTCTCTCTCCTCTCGCTCCCTCTCCATTGGTCTCATCCCGGCCCGTCATCGTCAATTGACGTTGAGCATGCCGCGGTGTGGCGTGGCATAGTGCATCAAACCATGATCCACCCGCAACTAGTGCAAGCTCTGAGCAACTCAACCATGTTGCGACTCTTCGGATCTGCTTATCCAGATCCCTTCATTTCTTTACTAGAAAGACGTCGGCGGAGGAGAAGGTTCGGCTAGAACGGCTCCCCCCAATCCTTCCTGGACTCTTGTCCTTCCGCGCGTCTTGGCTCCGAGGGTCTTGGGTTTCCCCGTACTACTCATCCACGCTTCTGGCAAGTCTGGCGACGGGAAACAAGGGCTCCCTACACGGCACCTTACGGAAAACCCATCATATTAGCTACGAGGTGGTGTAAGGCAGAATTGACCCGCATGTCCTTCCTGTCCGCCAACCACTGAGGGAAGAATCCACCGACGGCGACTGAGGGCAGCAAGCAAGTGCAAGGCAAGGCCTCTCCATGGCAGAGAAGGCAAGCAATCTCCTGCAAGGTCGGGTGCTAATGTGTTTCTGCTTGTCCCGGGGCTGCACTCAACACGTCCATCATGGATGGGCCTACTCTTACAGACATTTTGGCACAGAGAGACAAGTGACGGTACGGCGGGTACGCAAGGTGGCAGGGTAGGCTCTCACACCCATGGCCCGGCTGTAATGGTCAAAACGTGTTTCAACCACTGCTGCATCAGCCTCCCTCACACCCCCCCCTTGCCCTTTTCCCCTCCTCGCACACAATGTTGAATGTCCATTCGCCTCGCCTCGACTCGCCTCCTCCAAAGGTCCTGCTTACCGAAGCCTCATCCCTTCGCCTCGTCGCCTTAAGCCCCCTGTCGGCCCTGTCGGCTATACACTGATGTCGCGTCGTCGGGGTGGGGCATTTTTGTTCAGATGCAAGACGACCAGGACGGTCGCCCGAGCAGGGGTCTGAGGGTCCTTTGTGGCATCTCATCGTCGACGTGCAATTCTTGGGACGATCCCGAAGGTTGCTTAAATTCATGCCGTTCCCTCGCCACCCCCCTCCACTTCTAGTCTTCCTTCCCTTAGATGTTCAATCACTAGCAATTCTGAGGCGGATTTTCCTATTTACTTCTCTTTTTCTATTCTTCCGTTTACGTTTAATTTTGTTCAACTTCTTCAGAGGCTAGTCCTACCAAGCGCAAGTCGCTATTACTTCGAATATCTCCAACTTTCAGTAGTCACTCTCTGGACTCGTCTTTTCGATAACACTATCCACGACACTACTTACCGATTTCTTGCAACTCGAAAAACTCGAAAAAAATCAAGATGCATATCTCAGCTATGGTTGTTTCGGCTCTGGCCGCTGTCGCTTCAGGTAAGACTTCACGGGGACAGACGAGGGAACACAATAGCGGACTAACACGCAAATCACAGCCGTCGACGTCCAGGTCGTCTCCGTCGCCTCGACTAACAACTCCCTCAAGTTCTTCCCCGATAAGATCAACGCTGCCGTCGGTTCCATGGTTCAGTTCCAATTCCGCGGCGGCAACCATTCCGTCGTACAGTCCAACTTCGACAACCCGTGCATCCCCATTTCCAGCGTCAACACCTCTGCCAAGGGCATCTACTCTGGTTACCAGCCCGTCGCCGCCTCCGCCGCTAAGGGCCAGATTCCAGTCTTCACCGTCATGATCAACTCTGCCACGCCCATGTGGCTGTACTGCTCTCAGGGCAAGCACTGCCAGAACGGTATGGTTATGGTCATCAACGAGAAGTGAGTCGATACCTCTACTACTCTTCTGAGATTCTTCCTACCCGTCATTTGCTTTTTCCGCCGCATACGTCAAGTTTCTCAAAAGGTGTTGGCACTCCCTGGATGAAGTGTGCTTCCCTCGTGGCAGTACCACGTTTCAGCCTCCGGACGATGAGACGAGAAGCATGAACACCCACCATACCACACACACCTCGCACAAACACACGTAAACTTGGAATGACAGATTATGCTGACCTGCTCCGCCCAATTACAGCACCAAGGCGAACGCCACCCGCAGCATTGAGAACTACGCCAAGGCCGCGAAGAAGGTCGCCCAGGCCCAGGCCCCCGGCGGCGGCGCGGCAGGCGGCTCCAACGGTGGCGGTTCCGCTTCCCCCACTGGCGGTGCCGGCGGCGGTTCCAACAATGGCGGCGGCTCCGGCAACGGCGGCGGCTCCAACAACGGTGGCTCCAATGGCGGCGGCTCCTCGACTACCCCGTCGTCCCCTCCCACCGCCGGCGCGGTTACCCTCAGCGCACCCGGCACCCTTTTGCTCGCTCTCGGCGCTACCTTCTTGCTCATGTAAGAGGTGTGATCGTCGATGTGTGCTTCAAGGGTGTGCTTTTGGGCGGGAGGCTAGGTTGCAGGCCAGGAGTTCGGTTCTGGACTACCACTACCACGGTGTAAACAAACTTTTTGTGATGATGAACTTAATACCATTCACTCTTCCTTTTTATTCTTCAAGGTTGGCTTATTGTTTTGCCACTGGACGTCCGTAAGGAATGGATTAGCACTAGCTGGCTTGGATGCAGGGAGATGACAAAGGATGGATGTGATGTATGACGAGAGAAAAAAAAACAAAAGTAGACGGGTCCTTTGTGTACATGAGCCTGTGTTGGAACGGCGTGATCGTACACTTGGTATAGCGTCTAAATCGAGTTTCTTGGTTCTGGTAAATCATGTGCGTGCCGAATAGGGTATTGAATCATTGCGTTTCGTTTTCCCTATCAGCGTTGCTGCAGCAAGGAGTACCGTATCACCGCATAGTATCTAATTTGTACACAATTTGCTTGATCTAATTAGATAGGCGCAGCCGATGGCATGTGCAGAATTTTGCTGTATGACTCCTACATTTGCTACATTTGCTACTAGGAGTGTATTGAATCATGCCGGAAAACCTGATTATTACACATTGGTTTCTCTGAAGCAGTGAGGATGAAACCCTAAGTTGCGTGAGGATGTGCGTAGTCTAGTATCTACCACAGCTCGAACCAATGTACTTCATTCCAATCATTGGTCTCCCGGCACGTCGGCAGAAACGCGATGAACGTCTCAGTCGCCTACTAGTAGCTTGTTTTTGAAATGCCAGCAACAGCAATCAGCAATCTTATTCGATAATTAAGTTGCACACTTGAAGGTTCTCCAATTGGTAAGGAATCTGTTGATTTTAAAACTTCTTTCTATTCTCGAAGCTGCTTCGAGTCGGTAGCCATGTATGGTATTTCTCCAGCGAAGTATATTCGAAAGGATAACTAGGCATGGCCTTTCCTGATGGGGATTACCCATATCCCTCGGATCCCGACAAGCTTGTCATTGAAGTTGGCATCATCGCTGGCCAGACACCAAAGAAGAACGATTGTCGCATGTGACACAAAGCGCTGGCACGAGGCATCCGGCAGGCATACTGCTCTAGCAATGATAAAAAAATGCGACTTGTAACTCTTTGCGAACACAATACACATTTGTTGTCCACTACAGGACAGCAAGCCGAGACGAGAGCGCCCGTACACACGGCGTGACTCTAGTTGGTCTCTTCTCCGGGGAGCTTCCTCTTGACCCGTCCTTTCTGCGCCTGCTCGCAGAGCGTCTTCTTAGCCTCCTTTTCCAACCAATCAGGCTCCCTCTTGACCTTTCCGACCTCGGCGTACTTGTCGCTCTTTGTAAAGAAGTCGACCCAGTGCTTGAGGGCGTCGTGCACCTTTTGCTTCGCGGCCTCGCGCTCTTGTTCCTGCAGCTTCTGCATGTCGGCGTAGGACCAGTGGCGGTCAATCTCTGGGTCGTCGAGGGGGATGAACATGTCCTCAACGCCGCGCATGTCTGGGGTGCGGTCCTCGACGAAGCAGCCCGTGACGAAGCCGCGGGAGGCGTCGCGGCCAGCGAAGACGTTGTAGGAGCCTCCCGGGCCGTAGATGCGCGGGTTCGCGGAGACGTCAAAGATTGTGTGGTTGATGGCGAGGTAGATTGGCTTGTCGGGGTTGCTGCCGTCATACTGGAGGAGTTCTTCGGGGGTGAGGTAGATGGGGCCGTTCTGTTGCGAGGGATATTAGCGTTTGTCCGATTGTCTGTTGCACTTCACGGAATGGCAAAGGGCATGGGATGGGAGGAGGGGGGGGGGGGGAAGCGATGTCGCCACGTACCCATTTGGCCTTCCAGTAGTCGGGCCTCATGTACCAGGGCTTGTTCTTCTGGCCCCAGAAGAAGCTCTCGCCGCCGCTCTGGAGGTAGCTCAGGGCGCATGAGGCGAGGAAGAAGAAGCTCAGCAGGCGCAGGACGTCGACGTAGGGGCTGTACTCGTCCGTGTACGTATTGTCCTTTTTGGACTTTTTGCTCTTCTTCCCTCCTGCAATCGGGGTATCCACAACGGAGTTGTCCTCGTCTTCGACGACTTGGACGGCTTTGCGTTGCCGCACACTCGCTGTGTCGTCTGCCATTGTGTCTGAGGAGGGTGGTGTACGGTATGCTCCGTTTCGTGGAGTGTAGCTGGCAGGATATGTAGAGGCGAGCTACCCCAAGCTATCTGTACTTTATGTGATCAACACCCTCGCGCTAAGAAGCTACAATTAATCTGTAGTGATGCTGATGTCACGTTGTCAATGTGGCCTGCCCAAGCCTAAGGTATGGGACAATATTCTATAAATAAGGACACAACATGCGAGGATGGCAACAAATTCGCCTACATGTACTTGCACCCCGCCGGAACCTGGCAATGGCAATATGACCGGACGGGACGGCGATGAGGTGGAGGCCAAGAACGAGCGACTCAAAAAAAAAAAGTGACTTTTAGACGGCGTGTGATAGGTCGCGGCGGATCCAAGGCATCCGAAGTGAGTCCCCCTTTTCTGGGTCCTCTGATAAGTTGGGGGCCCTTGAGTTCCCTTTAGGGAGTTACTTTGCAGCTTCTGGAGACTCTGGCAAGAATGCAGGAGGGTTCCCTGGAGAAGGGCGAGTTACACCTAAAGTGATGGCCCCCTTCGGATAGGCTCGAGGCTTAGAGCTGCTTACGAAAGCATTCGAGGGAAGGAAAATTTAAAAATCCTCGAAAAGTGCTCATGCACGGCTGCATACAATGTACTGCTTGGCTATGCTTACTACGGAGTGCTATGTATGGTAGAGCTTCCAGAAGCTGTGACCCTGGATCCCTCAATACTTTTGACCCTTGCCTCCGTACGGATAGGAGCATCCACTTGTGCGACACAACGCAAGTTGGGGAATCTTCGGATGCAACAGGCAGAAACCCTCCAGCTCTGTGCCGGGAGCTAAATTGATGTGCAAAGTGTTTGAGCGAGAGGCAGAGGCTTGCGGGCAAAGCCATTTAATCCATCGCCTTCCCTCCTCCCTCCTGCCCTGTTTATGCACGTACCCCATGTGTCAATTTTCCAAGGAGACCTAAGTACCAGCACTGACCAAATGCACCGGGAGAAAATCGTTATACCGAGTGACTCTTTACCGTATTGAGCAGCTGCTCGACGTCGAAATATTTGGGCCAACGTCTTTTTTTTCCATTCTTCGCCCAAAGGTGGAGCTGGCTACATATGTCGCTCGTCCCAACCAATCCCATCGTCAAATGAGCCATTTCGCTAGACCAATCCGCCGCGTCACCCAGACAACCTACCTGCAGCACTCCAGCACCCGCACTGTAAACAGCCGTCGACTTCCAGGTTGCTCCTACCCACAACCTAGACTGGGACACAGCTACATACATTTTTAACTCGTCTTGCCTTACATGATACCGCCTGCATTAAGGCTTTCTTTTCAACCCTCAACGCCGTCATTGTCAAAATCGCACGTTTGCGACATACCTATGCAACCTGTCTTCGAGCACCGCCATCCGAAGCAGACAATTAGCCAGCGTACACCATAAATCATACACCCTGCATGATAGACGCCTCGCCATAAACACAGAACCACCACCACCACCATCACCATGGCCGACAGCGCCGATCAACCGTCCTCGCCGGGCGGGCCACTCAGTCCAATGACTCCAGACCGCGCAAACAAGACACAGCAAGCCCGCAACCTCTTCACCTCGCCTCGCAGTAGCCCAGGTGGTCGAGACAGCTCCGTCCACGACAAGATTTCCCAGTTTAACAACCTCGCCATGCAGTCAAAGACTCTCGAACGCAAGACCGCCGACGCCGCCCTTAAGCGCGCCATGCTGGGTCGCGAAGAGGCTGAGACCGAACTGCGCAGGTACAAGGACGAGTCCAAGGTCTTGAGGGTTCAGCTGGAAAAGGGGAAAGAGCGAGAGCAGCGCGTAAGCGAGCGTCTTGAGACCGTCATGGTAGGCTTCATCTCCCACGGCTAAGGGGTGAAATCGATGATGCTAATGCCTCCCCAAGGAACAATACGGCCGCGCAAAAGAAACGTACGCACACACAAAAGCAGCATGGGAGAAGGAAATCAAGCTTGCGCGCAAGAAGACATTCAAGAACGAATCCCAAATCATCAAGCTCCAAGAAGAACTAAAGGCCTCCCGCGAGGGCTGGCGCGCGGCCTCCGACAACATCGACGCTGAGAAGTTGCGCTCCAAGGCCCGCGAGGAGGAAGCCTTCCAAGCTCGCTATCAGATGGTGGGCATGGAGCAGGAGCTCGGCGAAGCTCTCGAGCGCATCAAGATGCTCGAGCAGGAACGCGACGTCTACAAGACCCTCGCCAAGGAAGAGGAGGTGGCCCGTATTGCCGCCGAAGGCCGCATCCCGCTGCCCAAGACGGTCAACGCCGCGCCCGACGACGAGTTCGCCTCACCAAAGAAGAAGGCACCGCGGTTCTCTCTTTCGACAGTGGACATCATCTCATCCGCTGCCAGTGAAGGGGAAATTGAGGAGCTCTCGCTCCAGGTCTCCTGGGAGCGCCAACGTGCGGATCGCGCCCAGGAGCTCGTCGAGTTCCTACAGGCAGAGTGCGAATTACGGTGCTGCCCATGCGCCAAGTCCCACAGGAGAAGAAGCCTCATCTCTCCGAGACAGAGTCTTGCCTCGAACAGAGCAAGCATTTTGTCACCCAAGCGCAGACTTATGCCGCCAGCTGAGATTGCTGATGCCAGTGATCTTGTCCTTCTTCGCGGAGGTAGAGAATCCTCCTCTGGCCGTACATCACTGAGGGCGTCGCTGAGCCCGCCGGTCGAAGACGCGGCTTTCAAGAAGCCGGCGGCCCACAGGAGATCCAAGGAAGAGCGGAGGAGTACAATCTTCTGTGCCCGTGAGGGTATTTTCAGGACTGTGTCGCAGCAAGAAGCCGACGAGCTTGAGGCCCAAGAAGAACAACGAGGAAGACGATTGAACGAATCGAGTGAGGAATCCCCCAACGAACCTCCCACGCCACACGACGCTCCAGAGAGATACTCTCGCACGCCCTCCCTCGAACCCCCAGACTTTGCTGTTCTTGCTCAAGAACGCATGTCACTAGCTTCCCTGCTCAATGCTCCTCACGGCGGTGCCCACGGCGAAGTTCACACTGCACCTCTTCCTTCTATCCCCACCATGCCCGACACCGAGGAACGCCCGGCATCGCGATCTTCGAAAAGTCCTTCGCCGCCACTGGACGACACCCTTCGCCCCCACACCGCCGCAGCCTTCTACACGAAGACGACGACGACAACCGTCCCCGTCCGCGACGACAAGCCTCGACCCCAGCCTAGGTTTGAGCGCGCGCGTACGCCATCTGGCGGTGATTGTCAGATGTCCTTCGACATCAACAACCCCGCCATGACCCCGACCATGACCCGTGAGGAGGCTCTAGCTCGTATCCGCGAACGTCGCGGACGCGCCAAGTCGATCGCGCAGGGCACCGCGACACCCCGCAAGAAGATGATTGAGGGCGCCGGCGAGCGGCGAGATGTTAGCGCCCCCGCCGGTCAGACGGTCCCCAAGGCCAAGGCATAGAATCCCTTTTGGTTCGGAGCGGGTTCGTCCACCTCCAACGAGACAGTGCGGCTGATTCCACTCCCTGAGAACGTTGAACCACCGCAGACCGGCTCTGACGATATGGTTTATCCGAAGACCGCTCAGAGGCACAACGAGGGGACGCGACGTCACCTATGGAGGCTCACCCGGGACTCGCTCTCACGCGGCTCGTTTGGATGGTCGACAGATGTATGAGAATCAGACGTGCATAAAAAGCAGGGCGTTCTTGGTGGATGGGGGGGCCAAATAGGAAAGCACCGGAGCTTCCAGGAGTTTTTTTTTGGGAGGGGGGAAGGAGTTTTGTTCATTCATCCGTCCTTTTTTTCATCCTTTTCCTCCGACCGGTACATCTCGTCTGCATAGTCGCGGCGTTCTTGGAAAAAGGGGAGGGCAAGCGGAGAAACGGCCTCTTTTTGTTTTTTTCCCTCTCTCTCTCTCTCTCTCTCTCATATGACGAGGAGTTCAGATTCCCAACCTTGACGATTGTGCACATTACACATTACATACCAATGGGGGTTTTAGGATTCCTGTTTTCTGTTTTTTGTATGACGATAAGAATGAGGGGTGGTTTTTTGGGGTTGGCTGGATTGATATATTTTTGCTTGTTATTGTGTGTTGCTGTTTCATTGATACGTAATTGAGGTTGTACCTCGTTCTACTCCATTGTAATAGGCTTCCACGAGCTGTAGCTCTACGTACCTTGAAATGACGCTCAATGTTCACGTCTGGCGTTCTGCAGCTGCCGCTGCTACACGTTTCACCGCGATTCATCATAGGGGACCATGCTCAATCGTGAGAACGAGTTTAGGGGTAGATTTGGTCCGTCGTTTGGAGAACTTGAGAACCTGAATTGAGTTTCCTCTAGGTCTATCTTTGCCCTAAGCACGGCATCAGGTGGTCATCCAATTCCTCCTCTTCCCCCTTAAGAAAATTTCCCGTCTCGACACTATTCCCGGATTTCTGGACATGGTACGGAGGTAGTGGTGACGGCATAGGCAGGCAAAGTATAGCAGCATCATTGTCGTAACGTCGTGAAGCGTATCTACTCCCACGGCTTTCCCCTGCAAAAAAAAAAAAAGGGATCCCAGACAACTCCTCATACACATTGGTATCCAACTTTGACACTAATAACGAACGATTGTGAAAGATAAGACCGAAGGGCGGGGGAGAATTCGACGAACGGATCCGTCTCATCCGTTCAAGAAACCCCTGGTGGCATTCCTCGCGTTCTCTGAGCTGTACGCGTCGAGCTTGACGGCTATCAGCACGCACTCCACGGAGCTTTTTCCGCCGCGCGACCCCTGGATCTTGAGCCTCCACTGGCCCGTCCGGACCACCCACTCCTCGGCCGAGAGCGCCGCTTGGCCGTGGCCCGCGGCCACGAAGCCGTGCGTGTCGACCCGTCTCCGCTTGCGCGAGTTGGGCTGGAACGCCGACGCCGTCATTGTCGTGGGCGATTCAGCGGTGCTCGAGGCAGCGGACGTGGGGTTGTTGCTGTTGTTGTTGATGCCAGCTGCGAGTTGCAGGTCTTCAAAGTCTAACGTGTGTGGCTTGCCGTCGAGGGTGATGGAAGTGTCGCTGTCGATGGACACTCGCACGAGGTCCTCGCTCAGCGGGGTGTGTCCCGGCGTCGGAGGTTGGCTGCCGGCGCCGCCCGAGGCCATAAGGAGGCCGAGGGGTTGGGTCGTGGGCGGGAGGTTGAGCTTAGTGGCCACGACCTCGAAGAGGCGCGCCACGCGAGCGCGGGTGTCCTTGAAGAACTCGGCGCGGACGGAGCCGGAGCCGGCGTGGAAGTGGAGACGGGTGCTCTCACCGCCAATCTCGAGGACCAGCTCCGCCGCGCGGTCGTCGACCCAAGGGCGCGCGTAGTTTACCCAGCCGGAGAGGTGATCGGCGGGGGAGGCCGAGACATCTGCCGCGACGCTGATGCCGCTTTTCAAGATGTCCTCCAGGCGCAGGACGATTTCCTCGCGCCGTCGGCTTTGGTTATAGCTGATGTGGTGGGGGATGAGCTTCTGCTCCAGCCCTTTGAAGTTGAAGTAGCGGCAGTCGCGCAGCAGCTCGGCGCGGTGCGCCTCGTTGCGAATCGTGACCGGGTATCCGCGCAGGAGGTGTAGGATCTCGGCAAAGGTGTCGGCAGAGCGGTTCGAGACAGAGGGCGGCAGGATGGAGGGCGGGCGGAGGAGGCCTTCGCGGTCCAAACCGGGGAACAGATCTTCGGGGTTGGAGAAGAATACTGCGAAGCCGAGGGAGAAGAAGTTGGGTGAGTTCCCTGGGTCGGTGAAGATGTCGCGGGGGATCTGGAATTCGCGGTGGCCGATGGAGATGAAGATTGACTCCTCGAAGAGCTGTGAAATCAACTTGGGCACTGCCAAAGTGTTGTGTTAGTCATGTTCCAAGAAGATCCGAGGTCGGCAAAAACGCACAGCTGTAGAATTGAGCATCGGCAAAGAGTCGCACAAAGTGCGTGCCGTCTCGTGGCTTCACATGATAGCCTTGCAGGTGGAGGGAGATGTCGGCAAAGGTCTGCGGATCGCGGTCGATGTACAGGGTGTGTATGGCATTGGATAGGTCCTCGCCGGTTTCCTGTGCCTTTTTGACCTGACAATAAAAATATTGAGAAAAGTACGACGGCGCTGGCGAGAAAGGGTTAGCATGGTGTTTTGTCTCGGGCGCCTTGCCCCGATCGTGGAGCGACGCCGGCCGGCGGTTCCATTACGCAAAGACGGGATTGTAGAGAAGTGGGCGGGCATGGCAGGGATTTGCGGAACGCACCATCAGAAGAAATGGAGGCGCCGGAGAGCTTGAACAGCTCGTTGCCTATCTGTATGGGAAAGACACGCTCGTGAGGCAGGAAGTGCGGGATCTTGGCGACCTGAGCCTCATCGTGGGGTGGCGCTGGGCTCTTTGACGTGTGTTGGGATCTGGCGCTGCTGTTGTTGGCGACGGACATGTCGGCGGCGGCGGATCGACGCTGAGATTGAGGATCGGGCTGCGGTTGCCGGACCAGCGCGCCGCGTGTCTGATCGTGTGCGACTTGAATGGAACTCGGCTGAAGGTGCCGAGATAGAGAGAAGAGTGTGAGTAGACTAGCCGAGTTGAAAGTGGTTTATTTAGGAGCAAAGCTTGCGAGGAGCCTTGTCACCCTGCGCTGGAGTGTCAAAGCACGAACCAACGGCATCAACATTAGACGGAGACGACGACGACAGCGACGGCAATAGTGGCGACGACGACATGACCCAGAGTGCGTTTGGAAAGAGACGTTTGCGCGCGAGCGAGGGGTTGGAGATGAGGGGCCGTGGATTGGAGTTTGTTTTGCTTCAATGGTGTTGTTCCGCGAAACGGAAATCTAGGCGAGAGCAACCCTGCATCTCCGAGGAGGATAAAGTATGAATGCAGCTCTACGATTCGCCCATTACGGCTCGAGAGACTGGGGAGTGGCTTGCGAAATGTACTACATAGTACGGATAAGTATGTAGTTCAAACGGCGCGAGACCGGGGTTCGGGCAGACGAGAAGCTTGAGAGCTTGGAAATAAGGTAACCCAACGTCGGAAGGGACGGAACTTGTCACCGACATGCGAGCGGCACAGCAAGTGCAGAATGCTAAAGGAACGAAGCCAGGATGAATTGATGTGGAACGGTGGAAGAGACGACGGGAAGGGGGCTGAAACCTGGAAGTGGAAAGGGAATGCCAAAATGCCTTGGTACTTTTCCATCCTGCCGTTGCGGCTTGCCTCGAAGGCTGGAATGAACCAACGGGAGGTTGGGTGCACCGTACGGGTGCTCCTCTACCTACCTTATTCCCGACTTTCGTCCAATCAAGATGCGCGTAGCACTGCCAGCCTGCCAGCCAGGTATCTGTAGGTGAGGTGCGCTAAAAACCGGCTCGATGCTCTGTCAGCGCCAGACGTTCGGAGCTCCCGTGGCGCTAACCTCGCTGTAGAAATAACAATGTACTAAGCGAGAACGCCGGTCCCGCTTGGGATCTAGCCGAGGCGCTCCATGTCTGAGGTGGTGGAAAGTGCCTTTTGCTACGGAACCGCCTCCGGTCCCCTACCTTACCTAAGGAACCTTAAGGTAAGGTAAGGTACTAGTGATTTTGTACCTTCCCAGTGCCTCCCCAACACAACGACTTCCAGGTTCTCTGATGGTATTCGTACGAAAACAACAGCACATCGTCGCTCCGGAAATGACACTGAATCCTTTCATCTCGCTCCCACGTCATCGCCGTCGTTCCACTCTTGCGGCTTCCAATGTCAAATACACTGGAGCTGGCACCGAGAAAAGCAATAATACAAGACACTCGGCTGACTTGCGTCTCGACTGGCGAGGTCGCCAAGATGCCGTCTGCTGCAAGGGACCCCTTCAAGTTCCAGAACAATTCTCCAGATTATGCTGCCAATCCGCTTGGTCGTGACTCGAGGTCGTGAAGCCTGCCGGTTCCCTATTTTGTGAACCTGACACATGCAGCGGCAACGGGCGTCGATAACCAGCAAACCCATCTCGACGCTCTCGTGGCTCCCAGGATCCGCAGCATGCACGCACACCAACAAGTTAGCTGTAGTATTTTATTTTATTTTTTGTTTGGTTTTATACGGATACGAATGCTCGAAAGAAGCCGTCAGCTGCGAGCCGAAGCATCATGGCCCCATCATCAGCCTCGCTGTTGCTTCTTACAATGCTACCGTCATTTCTGCCTCCGAATCCTTGCCCCATGTGCTCGAGATCCCGCTCCCATCGACCAGATCACATCAGCTCTTACTTCAGACATGACCGACAAATGTCGAAGCCAGGTCTTCCTCGATCTCGGCAAGCCTGAGCCGAGGCAGACAAACTCGTCACGTCGTGAAGCTTTGCGTCAAAAGGGCCTGCACCGCGGGAGGCAAACCTTCTGTCACCAAGTCGACTGATGATCTGCTGTCCCGTCCTGGGGTCTGTTGGTCGATCGTCATTCGGCGAACCCTACTCGGTCTTCCACCCACGAGCTGCTGTGCTGTTGGCTGTGCTGTTGCGCAGCAACACAACGTCCTCTTTCTGCCCGCTCAAACCGATCGCTCGTCCCCTCTCAGAGTTTACATGGGGACCGACACGAGCTGTTCGCGGCAATTGTCGTATGGGGGATGGCTCATTCCGTTCTTTGACGTTGACGGAACCTACTGCACGTCCATCCATCACCAATCTCAATCTCGGATGCCCTCTTCTGGCGTTGCACCAAGTGCACACGACCTGCAAAACAGCCGCCCGGTAGCTCCAATTAAGTTTGTCGGCCGAGTTGCGGAGCAATCCTCTACTTAGTACTCAGACGCCCGTAGAGTCAGGGCCGTAGTGCGATCGTTCCAGAGCCTGTCCATTGACCCAGAGCTGGATCCTGGAATTACATCCACTGCATCGTGAACCCGATGCCGGAACCGAACTTGCCGCAGGCCCGAGGTTCGAGATCCGACGGTCGAGGTTTGTTGGATTCTTCGGGTGCCTCGGTGCGCGCCAGTGCACCTGGCCCTACCGAATCCTCCAGGGAGAATTGCTCGGAGCCGACTTGAGAGCTTCCCACCACAGACGGGCCACATTTGGGCCCCGCCAACACTGAATCTGAGGGGACTTTCGTGGGGACTTAGTTTATTACGACCCGATATGTCGTGCTGGCCAGTTTCAAGGCCTTGCTGTTTTCGAGGTGCCTCGTGTAGGGCAAGGATGTCTCCTCGTCGACGGCACACGTCCCTGGAACCCGGCCGTTCAACTGAATATGCTGGAGAGATAGCGCCGAACGAGGCCTGGCCAAGGTCTTGGAAGCCATGATCCCTTGTACCGCTTTGCAGGAAACGGCAGCTCTGGCCGATCCGGCAGCGACAAAATTGTCTCAACATGGTCAAGACTCCTTCTTACCAATCATTAATCAACCTCTCCGGCATCCATTGGTGGCATTGAGCCAGACGCGCTTTGGGAGGCCCCGGGAAATCTCGATTGCCAGACCAGATCGGGCACTTTACAGCTCACTCCCGCATTCTGTCTTAACAAAAGATGAGCTACCTAACACACGGAACCGACCTACTTTATTTTTCATCGGCAACAGTTAGACGGACCCCGTCTCTAAATTCAGCCATGATCCAAATAGGTATTTGTTGGACATCCCACCGGCGAGCAATGGCCGCTGAAACGAAATGAGTCGTCTTGGGAGCCCTAGGCGGTGCCGGACAGTCGGACTACCGGCAGAGGCTGGCACTAGTCGGTATTCTCTGAAGACAGAAACAATTGAGGCCGAAATTGGAATACTGACTTTGCCTGCATGCACAGCCTTTATCGCGGGGCAAGTCTGGATCCCGAGGACGCGCGAGAATTCGTCGCAAAAGCTCTCGGCGGATAAAAGGGAAGAATGGATGTGGACCTTGGAGTGATCGTCGCAGAGGATGGGACGAGAGATGGAACATGCCGTCCAAACCGTATTGCTTCACGTTCCGACCTGCCGTGCTGCCCTAGGGGCCCTGTAGGCTTTGGCCGCACCTTTTTTTCCATCAGTCTATCAACTAGACCGACTTGTCATGTGGTACAGGCTCCGGCGAGGGGTGCTGAAAGTGAAGGGAAGGGATTGATCAAACTTTCCCATCCACCCCACCTGGGCAGCAACTGGATCCGAACGATGAATCTGTCTGGAACAAGGGCACCTCGCTAGGGAAACGCCCAGGGGGTGAAATGACCTGCCGAAGAAGATGAATGGGGGCCAGGGCAGGATTGCAGATCGACGAATGAAGCAAAGGAATATGGAAGAAGGGAGACTTGGCTCGGCTGTCTGTGGGAAGGGCAGAAGCGAAGAACCCCGGCGCTAGGCGACAGCAAGCCGCGCGCAGGACGGCCCGGCACAAGGCCTGAGCCTGAGGCGCTCGCAAGATATCCAGGGAAGGGTTTAGTGACTGAACGTGCGATGCAGCGAGGCGACAAGTAGCTCGCCCGTTGCTCACATTGAGTTGCTTAGGTGAGGATCATGTCACTGTCCGAGCTGCGTTGGCACCAAGGTTGGACCTGTCAATGATCTGTGAGAGATACTTTGCCCTACTCTCAGACGGGGTGGGAAAGTGGACGTATCCCTACTTTATTCCCTCTCAGGCTGACGAGGTCGCACGTTCGGGAGTGCGGAGGGTGAGGAGACTTCGGACCACGCTCCGCGGTCTGAAATGATCAGCGCGGCACCACCGAGACGCAGAGGCAGATAGATGTATGACATCCAAGGCATCCCACCAGCCGGAATCACAACATATGCTTGAGGACTGGCCAGGCTGACTCCGAATCTTGGACGGGCACTGGTAACGATCGGATATCAGATGCCGTGCATGCAGATGCCGTATCGCGTAGTTCGGCGCGCGCACGCGGTAGGCGCAGATTCTTACTTTACCAAAACGACACCAAATCAAATCATGCAAAGCATCATCGCCTCAGCCGCCACTGCAGTGCCCCAAACACAAACTCGCAATCGGTAGCTCCCGGCCAGATGGTTCAGCAAAAAAAAAAAAAAAAAAACCAAACCAAATGACTGCTTTCAGCCGGACGCCGTTGACATGACCATCCCTCGAGCTAAGCCGAAGCTCCTTTCAGCAGGTACTGATCATCAGCGACGGCTTTTGACTGCTTCTTCGCACATGAGGTACGTTAATTCACAGATATCAATGATTAGGGCATATTTTTCGGCCCCGTCGTGCTCCTGCAATAGGTAGGCCGAGGTGGTCAACACGAAGGTTTGCAGACCCCGAAATGGAAATACTTCAGGCGTGGCTTTACACAAGCTGCGTGTCTTGCGACCTTGCCAGGCTCATGCTCATTTATCCCAATCTCCCATGGGGAGAGTCTGCTGCCACGACTGGCCTTACAGATGGATCATGGCCATGTTTGTTGGGGAGGTCTTTGACAGGCACTATGCAACGGGCCCATCGCAAGCCATGCCATATCCACTCCTCCCACTTCATCTTGGCCGTCCATCCTCCAACCCTGGAGACGATGTGCAGTTTTGCAATGGCCGGCTTCTGCTGCCTGCACATTCAGACGGCGGGGACAGCTTGTGCTAGAGGCCACACTAGAGCGAGCTTGAGCGGATCAAACGTGCCAGGGGAATTCCAGGCTTAGGTCCAGTCAAGGCCGCTTGGTGACCCCCGCTGACCCCCCAGAAGCTGTGGGTTGTCTCTGAGTTTCTGGAGACATGTCCGCCATGGACACACGGCGTGTTATTTTTGGGAAGTGTCTCTGCCCGGGAACGCTTGAAGCCGTTCGTTCCTCCAAGCCAAGCAATGAGGGTAGGGCAAGGTACCTGCGAATACTTCGAATTGGGGTACCTCGAGTTTGGACTTTCACCTTTGGATGCCTACGGAGTAATTCGCCATGAAATACCATGTATCTGTGCGTGGCTAGCATGCTTCCTGCTTCATCATAGCCGGCCATCCTGGCCACACGTGGTGCCGTCCTGCTGACGAACCTTTGAAAGTCAACGGGAGATTCGAATACATACTCCAGCTATCAAGCAAGCTATCAACGACACACACTGTCTCGTACGGATACATACATACATCTTGCTTGGTTGTTGACTGCTTGAGTGGATAGGCAATTGGCACACTGGACCTTTGACAAGGTTCAGGTAACTCTCTCTCACTTACTCACTCACTCACTCACTTACTTACTCACTTACTCACTATTCCTAATCACACACGAACTCAACAAGCCTAACGAAACAACATACACACACACACACATACACACGCGCGTGCTCTGTCGGGCACAGGCTCTGTTACACAGTCAGTCTCTTCCGCCCTCCCGCTCTTTGCGCGCACGAACGCACTCGTTGGAATTACACGCTCAAGGCAGCACAACGTCGAGACATCAAGATTCCCGACGCCAAAGCAAAGAACAAATTTTCCGGACTCCACCCCAGCGCTAAATCATACGCGAGGACGGTCGAAGTTCCGTTCGGCTCACGCTTCGAAGAAAACGGACAGGAAACAGAGCTTTCTCCATCACCCATGCCGATCAGAGCACACGCGATGGCAACCTTGCAGGTCGTTGCATGTCTGCGTTGCGCGCTAGAAGCAGAGACACCCGCTTCAGCCAGGGTTGCCCTGAATTGTATCCACGTCCGCAACGTATCCGTTCAGAGCACCTCCTCTCTTGAGACCCGACCGTGAAGGAGAGACGACATCCTCTGGGGCTGTCTACATTGTACCGTCCGTTTTCGCTGTATGACTATGCAGCAACTACCAGGTTTCCTCGTGCCCAGCTTTAAACGAATACAGAGATATTTCCGGTAATGCGACAAGGGTACCCGGCACGCCGATCCATCGTCCAGCTTCGTTCTAGGCCCAGCGATGCCCCTCAGCCCGGCGACATGTCTCTAGCGGCCTGGCGCATGGCCGGGGTTTTTGACCAGTGGCAGTCTGCTGCTAGTGCTCCGTCTCAGCTGCTTTTTTTCTGCTCTCGAACGTCTTTTTTTCTGCCCAGAGCCTCGATGACCGCTGCATTGGCGTCCCACTTGCTGGGGCGGTGGAACCTACTCACACTATCCGTCTGTACTATTCACACTACGTTACGGATACCTCGATATCCGTACCTCTCGACCATCTGGGTCTGATCCTGAGCTTCAGGCTTGGCCATGTCTGTGTCTTGTGGCAGGGACGCCTGCCCTACGTCGAAGGCGCTTGAGATTGGAAAGGCAGACCGGCTTCTGTTTATCGGCATCTCACCTGTGCTTCCTCTTTGTCTGTTTCTATCTCGCCTTGTTTGGCCCGTTTATCGAACACTACCTACCTACCCGGCGAAGAGGCACCTCCTTACCGTAAGGACTTGGAGGTTGGAGAGAAGACTGTGAACCAGAAGAAAGGCCCAGAGCCTGGATGTCTCTATCCCCCACCACAGCTAAAACTCCATCCGCACGGAACGGATACAAGCAAGTCTTCACATTGCCCACCCCCCTCTTTCAATACCAGCACCCTACGGATGCCGGGCTACCTACGCTCGCCGTGCCTTTCAACCTGAGGAGGACCGCATGCCGGCGTACCCTCACCCTACCCTACCTGGGCCCGACATTTCACCTCCAATCTCTCCATTTGAATGGCCTGGAACGACCGCCGCGAAGGGGGGTGGATCACCAAATCATCACTAAACACACCACCATGGCCGTCTTTCGCCTGGGTTGCCTTACTCAACCTTCCAAACTTCCCGTCCCGTCCACCACGAACCAGCCCAGACCAGGCCAGGCCTGACAAGGGCAGGCACTGTGTCCCTGCACTTTCGACGCTTTTCTCTCCTCGGGGATCCTGAACATCTCACAACTCGATCTCGACTCTTTCTCTCCTCACTCTTCTCTCTCTCTCCTCTCAACTCACATCAACCCCAGTTCCCGTCCTCTGTTGTGCTTCTTCTATGAGGAGACCGAGAGACAGTAGCAGAGAGCCAAAGTACCTTGGCCAGAATACATCCTCTGGGTAAAGCAGATCAACAACAAGCCCGTAATAGGACTCCACGCAAGCTGGTCTGGGGCACCCCGGGATTCGACGGTCAGCAAAAAGACCAGGTTCAGAGGGCCACTGCCACGGCCACGGCGCGAGTCTCACCTCCAAGGTCGCCGGCCTAGAGATACCTTGCCAAACTTTTCCTCACCTCACCGTCTTCACTCCGTCCCTACCTTGCCTTGCCTCGGACGAGGCAGTGGACCGCACGGCACCCATAGCGCTGCACCACACACCCCCAACGCCCCGGGGAAGCTTGGATCATTCATTGCAACTACCAAAATTTGGTCTCTTTTTTCCTAATCCCATCTAAACCCCCTTCTCCTCTCTTTCCCTTCCTTCCTCACTCACGAACTCCCATCCTCTTCTAAAGCTTCATCCTCTTCATTGGCGACGGTTCCAGTGCCGCTTTTCATTCACACTGGCTACAACCTGCCCGGCCGACGGCTACGCCATCTTTGTTGGACACGACATAGCAATAGCTGTTACCGCCCGCGCAGCTACTTGGACCAGATCGCTTGGTCCAACAACAAGATCGACGTTGCTGCAGCTTCTTCCTCTACTCCCGTCGCTCTCTTCGCTTGCGCCAACGCCGCACCCCCACGACCATCTCTCTCTCCCGCAGTCACAGCATGTATGGCCGGCGAATGACTCGACACCAGTCAGATCCAAGATCCAGCGTCGCGAACCAGAGCAGAGGCAAGACTAGCCGTACCTGGGAACTTCAATGAAACAACGTTGATCATCACGTCGATCTACAGCTGCAACTGTTGTTCTGCCCATTGCCAAAAACCATCCGCTACGTGTGCGCGTCAGAGTCTGCACGAAGCAACCGACAACCTCGAGCTCCGGAACACGAAGCCAGGCACTGCCGTTGCCGCCGCCGCGTAGCTGTGGTGGGCTGCCGAGTGTGCTGCCTGCGCTGCGTTGTGCTGCGTTCCTCGTTTCCGCCGTTCACCGTCTCCCGCTGCCGTTGCCGCTGGTAATTCTTGCCGGTGCCGAACGGGGGGTTTCCTAGAATTTCGGTATCTCACGGTACAAATGGCTGCCGCAACCACTTCTGCCCCGGAAACGGGCACTGTCACAACCACACTGCATCCCAACGCGAACCTTGCTGCTGTTGCTCCCATGGGCTCGATACCCAACGTTACTGCTTCGTACGAAACATCACCATCTCAACCAGCTCCGCACAATCTCTTGACCGGTGCGCCGGGACCCACGCCCGCATCTGCAGGAACCCCTGTACCACCAGCTGCCGGCGGAGCATCAGCCTCGGCGGCGGCGGCGGCGGCAGCGGCGGCGGCAGCGGCAGCATCGGCATCACGCAGTGTAAAGAGGCCGCGTCCCGTCAAGTCATGCACCGAGTGTCGCAAGCGCAAGTTGAGATGTGACCGCAACCTGCCATGCTCGCAGTGTCAAAAGTCACACCGCAACTGCAAGTATGCCGCCGAACACGACTCTTCGATGCTCTCAGATGGCTCGGATGCCGAGATGGGCGATGTGCAGCGTCCCCCAAAACGGAGCTGCCTACCTACAAACGCAACATCGGGACCACCAACGGCCGAGTCGTCTATTGTGCCCTTGCGCAACGGAGAAACAACTGGTCACACTGCTTTGGAGGAACTCACTTTACGATTGGACCGCTTGGAGAAACAGTTTATGATCAGGAGCCCTGCAGGCACGGAATTCAGCGGAACTGGTCAGCGTTTGCCGCTTTCGCCAGAAACAATTCGTGGGCTGACGGTCAAGAGAGGCGCCTTACGGACTCGATTTTTTGGCCAAAACAGCGTGCGCGTCTTGCTGAACCTGGTAACTGTCCCCGGCCCCAATTACCCTCGGACCGTGACTCCTAACCCGATTCTCCCAGTTTGACGAGGCCAAGGATTTCATGGCAAACCAGTCCAAGATCGATGGTATCCGAGACACCATGTATGGTCTGCAGATACTTCACAAGAGGATCCAGGAGGAGTACCGGAAGTCGCTGTCCCCGATATCCGTCTTTGCCGATTCGGTTATTCCAGTCCAGAAGCGTATGCAGGATATTCTTCCGAAGAAGTCGGTATGTGACAGGCTCCTGGCGTCTTACATTGACACGTCCGAGACCATCTACCGAATGATACATGTTCCCACCTTCAAAGAACAGCACGAATTGTTCTGGGAGGGCAAACTACAGGGAGACACATTCCTTCCCCAGCTTCTAACTGTGCTGTCCATCGGCTCGAGGTTCGAAACTAAATCAAAGGGGCTAGGCCATGAGCGCGTCGAGGGGGTCCATATACCCACAGCATGCGCACTGGTCAGGTCGTGGCTGGATGGTTTGAAGGGCAAACAGCTGGTTGATTTGACTACCTTGCAGACCGAGATTCTCTTGGTTCACGCCCAGCGGATGACCACGCCCAGGCCGCAGGACTCGTGGGCTCAACTAGGTTATATCGTGCGCATGGCCATGGGCATGGGCATGCACCGAGACCCATCGGAATTCGAACCTCGAGTGCCCGTTTTCATTGGTGAGCTACGGAGGAGGCTGTGGTTTACTATACTGGATATGGATTTACATCTATCGCTCGCATGCAACCTGTCCTGTCTCGTGCGCGATGGAGACTTCACCTGCCGACCACCGCGGAATCTCGACGACAGCGATCTCTTCTTCGACATGAAGGAGCTTCCGCCAAGCAAACCTATCGACCAGCTTACCGATAACCAGATGCAGGTGTATGCTGCTATGACTTTGGGAGCTCGGATGCAGGTTGCGCAACTGATCAACCGTTTGGATTCGATTCGAGATTACAGCGAAGTCATCGATGTTGGGACGAAGCTCGACCGGTTCCTGGAGGACATCCACTACCTGTTCCCGCGCCACGGCATATTGAACGAAGTCGAGAAGAGCAAGCAGTGGAGGTCTAGGGTCGTTCTCGACATGCACGTTCGACGGCCGCTGCTGGCCCTTTACCGCCCGTTCGCCCTGGGTTTGCCAGATGCGCCGTCCCAGATATCGAGGGCTTACTTGCGGTCGTCAATGGTCATTATGCGATACCTCGACGAACTCGACCCGCTTCTCAGTCATTTCCAAGATGTCAGCGACATGTACCACATGGTACTGAAGAAAGATATCTTGCAGGCAGCCTTCAGCGTGTGCTTTTACATCAAGGTAGCGACCGAATCACACATCAATGGGAATACATTCGGAATAGCATCTACCGTGGCCATGTCTCCGGATCCAATGGACGATGGGGTAACCTTCAGCACCGAAACGTTTGCGCTCTGGTCGCCGTCTCGCTTGGTTAAGACGGTTGAGAAAACACTCAACTTACTGGTACGCAACGTCAACGGAAACGATGTCAAGGATATTGTCGCGCTCGCCGTGGTCCTGGCCTCGGTGCAGTCCACAAACCAAGAACAGAAGTTGCAGGACATTCGACGCAGTCTTCAAGCCGTATTAGACGCTTGCCAGACTGCTACGAACACTAGCCCCGAGAAAATGTCCCTCCCGAATCCGGCCGACCCGATGGATCCCTATATGCAGACGAGAGCACCATTCATGTTTCATGCAAATGCTTCGGCGGCTGCGGTAAGTGACTACGGCGGCTGGGTTCTGTGGGACGGATGGGACTGGGCTGATGCGTGGTCGGCAGACTCCGGATGATTACGCGGACTGGGACTTGGACTACTGGAATCCGATGATACCAGGCCCTTCCTAACATGACATGCGGGGTTGAGGATAGGATATGATCTAGGGAGACCGGATACCCCCAAAAACTGCCCGTACCACGAATACCTTGGTGGCGTGGAGTTTTGTTGGGATTCTGTGTTGACAAATACACGACAAATACCGCGGCAGCGGCACGAAACCCCCCTCCCTCCCCTTTGCGGGTACATCACGGCGATTGAAGAGACCCGTCAACCCTGTCCTTGCTGGGCAATGACGACCAATCACATGCCAACCGACACAACAAACTCGTCTGCCGACGAGTATGAACAAGTTATAATTCCGCAGTTATTACTTCTAGCGCTTCTGTGAGTAAAGGGAAAGCGATGCTAGACAATGATGATTATGCAGACAATCTAGCAGGGGAAGCAGGGGAAGCAGGGGAAGCAAAGGGACACTAAAAGCCCAACGGGCAGGGAGCATACGAGTATAAACTCTGTAAATACAAAACATCGAAGATACCAACAAGCAGCGGAGGAATTCAAAAGAAGGGCGTGGTTGGCATTGCACAACATGCTTATTACTGCAGCTATCTACCACATAGAGCCTAATCAAGCGTCTCTATGGTCACCCGAGTTGACAGAATGACACTAAATTGGAACCCACAGCTTTTTGCTTGAACCTTGACTGACTGACCTAGTTCGTGACCACAGGAGCACTGCGATTCCAGTCGTCCCTTTCGACTGCATCGACCATGAATCCGGCCACGCTTCGCCTCGTGATCTTGGGCAGCCAGCATACCCCGTTGCCGTAGTCGTCGTACACCTTGACCGGCAAGCACTCGCCCTCGGTCAGTATAGGCGGCCTGACCAAGATCCAGTCCACGTCTGTTCCCGCATCGCCCCTGACCAGTGCGTCTACGGCGTTGTGGTCGTCGAGGGTGTGCTTCATGTTGGTGTGTTTGAAGACCGCGCGGAGCGGGAAGATGACGCTTTTGTCGCTGGCGCCCGCGCCTTGCATGCTATTGATGACGAGCTTGCGCTTCGTCCGGGGCAAGTCCTTCATGGCTTCGAGGGCATTCATGACCGAGTCGTGGATCAGGGCGGCGGGGGTGTCTGGGTGGACGGCCGCAAAGGGGGAGTCGGAGACGCGGCGGGGGTTGAGGGTAATGATGATTGCGTCTGGTGTTGGTGGTGTTTGCATTGCTTCGCGGAGGTCGGGGAGGGAGAGGGGGCTGCCCTTTGCGAGGGTGAGGTTTTTGTGAGGAGCAATGGTGGAGGTGATGGTGGAGGGATCGCGGACGAGGGCTGTTACGGTGTGGCCTCGCTCTAGGGCGTCGGCGAGGACGAGGGCGCCGTTGCGGCCTGTTGCGCCGATGATGAGGATGTGCATTTCTTGGATGTGGTGCGTGGAAGGGGCTAGGATGCTGTTGGTGTTGGTCTTGGATATGGCTGCGAGTCGGCACAGTGAGGATGTTACAGCCTTTAGGTTTTGGAGTTGTGAAAGTGGTGGAGATGATGGAAGGCCAAACTCGTCTTCATTGCGAGTTGAACTTATACTTTTATAATCTCTGGCTTAACTAGCTGGCCACAATCGAACCTGCAAGACATTGATAATCATCTTTCGCCCCCGGCCGAGATCCTTTACTCCATTGCAAGAGGGCTTGTTCTTCAGTATCGCTTCTCCAGAATCTATCGGCCGGGAAGGATCCCAAGTCCGAAAGGAATGGGCAGCAGTCGGCGTAATGATTTCGTATCTGCTGACCAAACATCTCAGCTCCGGCTCCAGCTCTAGAGACTGCCGGAGCCGAAGTCCATGCCTGGAGCCGAGATAATGGACTCCCTTTAACTCGGCCGGGTGTGAGCAACCCGCCCGCCCACCAGCGGCACATCGCGGCGTACGGCGTTAATGGAGACGAGAACCGACGCTAAGGGCGTGAAGAACAGAATTTGGAAACCGGTTTCCTTTGTTTTTTGACTTCCTCTTTTTTTTTTCCTTTTCTTTCTTACCGAGATACACACACCTACACACATCCCATGCGCTTACAGTTACATTACCCTTGCTCCCCCTTTCACCACGGCAAAGCTGACAAGGTTCTTGCGTCCGTTCGTGAGGTCGTTTGAGAACGCGAGGGTGAGATGGAAGACATGGGATTGATTGCAACACCGGCAGCATGTTGGTTTGGGACGTTGAGAGCTTATATTTGTGGGATGAAGATGCGATAGGGGCTTGGCACGCAAAACATGACAGTGACAGCAACACAAAGTAAGAAGACGAGGGTTTGTGCAACAGTCGGGCGTGGAAAAACATGTCCGATTCGGGATCACTCGGCCGAGTGGGGGGGTTGGGATATCTAAGTTCACTGCAGCATTGGTTGACGGTTATGACGAGAGAGAGGGTGAGGGTGTACGTGTGGGTGAGGGCGTGTGTTTGTGTGAGGATGAGAGAGAGAGTATCCGTAAGGAAGAGACTATTCTTTCGCCCCTTTTCCTTGGGCTACAGAAAAAAGATGAGACAGGTTCACGGTATTTGGCGGGATTGCCAGAAAAGCGTTCCGCGGAGCCGAGAGGTTGAAAGCAAGATGGAACGATTCAGAGTTTCCCTTTTTGGGTTGAGGTGAGAGTGAGGTGAAAGGGAGGGGTGGCGTGCTCGGAGTTCACATCAAGGCCTAATGTCCGGTTGGGGTCTAGGAGGGACTGAATCTTGTTCCCCCATGGAGGGCGGGGGGTGTGTGTATATGGATGGATCTTTGGGCAGGGTAGCAGTACCAGTACCGGTAGATCACCTTTTTTTGCTGTAATTACATGGTGAAAATAGTGCTTACTCGGGGCGGAGGGGGCAGGGAGGGACGTCCTGACAAAGCAGATCCAAGTGTAGCTTGACGATTAGTAATCTGGGCCTCAGGCAGGCAAAATGAGACAAAGGGAGAGCAGCGATTCGGCGGCTCGGAGGTGGAGGGGGATACCTAATCGCGGACACGGAAACGGAGCATTGACCAGAGCACGGAGGACGCTTAGCTGGATTAGGCGATTCGTATCTCATTCGGCCGAGTGGCGGGTCCGGTCACACGGAGCGGGGGGTTCTTTCGCCCGTGACGCATTCGTTGGCTTTGTGGCTTTTGGTGAGATGGTGTTTGACGGTGGAGATTGGCTCGTTGGAGGAAGCGGACCGTCTTGGAAGAGGATAGTGATGTGTCTTCTTTTTGCTGACTATGGATGAGAGGAATGGTTGGGATGCTGGGCAGGATGGGACATTAGGCGGCGGGATGGGTATAAATGGTGAGATGGTGTCTCTCCGATGTTGGCTTTTTGAGAATAGGCCTTACCATCGTGATTATCTAGATAAGTACACGGCACACAACGCATACTTGGCCTGCTATTGCTCATACCTTATTCTACCTCGCCACGTGCAACGCACTCACCCTCACGCAAGAGACATTCACAATGGCCACAACCACAGCCACTTCCCACGATGACGTCGCCATCATCGGCGGCGGCATCGCAGGCATGGCCTTCGCCCTCTGCCTCAACGCTCACGCCATCCGCGCCACAATCTACGAGTCCCGCAACGAGGTGCCCCTGCCCCACCACGCGGGCGGCGGCATGATGCTCTGCCCCAACGCCCTGCGCATCCTAGAGTCCCTGGGCGTCTACGAGCCGCTCCTCAAGAAGGCGTACAGTTTCGACTATGTCTACTACAAGGACCGCGACGAGGTCACAGTCGACCGGTACCCGCTCGGCGGCAAGGCCGACTTTGGGTACGATGCCGTGCGGATTTTCCGGCAGGAGCTGATTGAAATCCTTACGGGTGCGTGTCGCGAGCGGGGTATTGAGATACGATACGGGAAAAGATTTGTCAACGTTATCGCGGAGGGGGAGAAGGAGGTGGAGTTTGAATTCGCCGACGGGGAGAGGCGGGGGGCAGGGCTGCTCGTCGGCGCGGACGGGATCCACTCCCGGGTGCGGAGCACCTACGTCGCACCGGAAGCGAAGCCCGGCTTCGTGGGTCTCGCGGCGCTGACGTATGCGGTGCCGACGGCGCAGCTGCGGGTGCCGGCGGACAAGGACTACAAGTTCCCCGTGAGCGTGGCGAGCGGCAACGGGGTGTTTGTGCTGGCGCCGCAGGGGCGGGACGGCGGGGAGATGCTGGCGGGGACGCAGGTGCCGTTTGACGCGGCGAGGGCTTCGCTGCCGCGGGAGGCGCTGATGACGGATAAGGAGGCGCTCAAGGCGCGGTTGCGGCGGAACGAGGAGGCGTGGCCTGGGTTGGTGAGGTCTGCGCTCGAAGGGATCCGGGACGAGACGATGAATGTGTGGCCGTTTTTCATGCTTCCTGCGCTGGAGAGGTGGGCTTCGCGGGGCGGGGTGGGGAGGGTCTTGGTTTTGGGGGACGCGGCGCATGCGATTCCGCCGACGACGGGACAGGGGGCTTCGATGGCGCTGGAAGACGCGGCGGCGCTTGCGCTGGTGTTGAAGAGGATGAAGGAGAGTGAGGGGAGGATAAGTTGGGCGAACGGGGTCGGGTTCTGGCAGGGGATTCGGAGGGAGAGGCTGGGAAAGCTGGTGGGGTTGACGAAGATGTTGAATAATAAGAGGCTGCCGAGCGAGGAGATGGCCAAGTTGCCAAGGGAGGAGATTTGGTTTGAGGAGGGGGAGGGACAGATGAGGTGGTTGTATGTGCCTCAGATTGAAGAGCGGGTTGAGGAGTGGGTGAAGGAAAAGTTGCGGTGACCTGGAGACTTTGCCTTTTGAGTATGGTGTTGCGTATCGTTAACATTGGCAGTACAAAATCGCAGATGGTTGAGTTGATGGGGCTTGGTTCTTTCACGAAGCAGCATCAAAGCAGTGGCGTGTGATACTTTGACTTTTGAGTGTTGCGTCTCGATACCATTTGATAAGACTGACTAGTAGTTGAAGCTGATGAGGTTTAGCTTCTACATGAAGAACAAGGTGCTTTGGTATCAAATCAGATGCGAATACGCCGAGTCAGAATATCCGATTCAAGTCAGCATTTCGTTACATTTGCAACTAATTACTTAGTCCCAATGTCCAACGACCAGGTTACCAAAAGGAGACACTGCCCACCACCCCAGCAAAGAGGGACCGATTTTACCTCGGCAAGCGACATGATTGGCCATGTCCTTTGGGGAAGAGCTGCAAGTCAAGCGTGACCGTCTTTAGCGGCCGGGGCCTCGGCATTCTGTGAATTGGAGACGCTGTTTCCCCGCATCGAAGCTCCCCTGGTGCCCCAATGTTACAGGCCAGCTCTGAATTTAGGTGGTGTTTTGACGCCGTTTTGGTCACAGCGGACAGTGCGGAATTGGTGCCGGTAGTGGGGAGGAGGAAACCTGGAGAAGCTCGTCGCTATTCCCGGGGTCAACAGTGGTTGAGGAAGAGGGGGAGGCGAGAACGTGCCAACTTCATCTGTTATTGTTGCAGAGCACATGAAAGAGAGACGTCTTTGTACCTTAATAATCGTTTCCAAATAGCCGGGAGACATATATCACCAATCCCTGGCCCGGCGGCTATTCAATTGACATCTTCCATCCTTAATCATCAAGATTAGCATCCCAAGCATCTTAGAATACTCCCTTTCATAAGCGGGCTCTACCTTTATCACCATATAACAAGAGAACTCCTACGTTCAAACCAGACACATTATCCAACATGGCGCCACGACAGCCCCGCCAAAAGGCGCCCTGCTACGTCCTCGGGGTCGGCATGACAAAGTTCATCAAACCCCGTGGCAAGGTTGACTACACGGAGCTGGGCTTTGAGGCCGGCGTCAAGGCCATGCTCGACGCCCAGATCAACTACGACGACGTCGACCAGGGCGTTGCCTGCTACTGCTACGGCGACAGCACCTGCGGCCAGCGTGTCTTTTACCAGTTCGGCATGACGGGCATCCCCATCTACAACGTCAACAACAACTGCTCCACGGGGTCCACGGGCCTCGCCATGGCCCGCAGCTTCGTCTCCTCGGGCGCCGCCGACTGCGTGCTCGTTGTCGGCTTCGAGAAGATGATGCCCGGTTCTCTGCAGAGCTTTTTCAATGACCGGGAGAATCCTACGGGGACCACCATCAAGATGATGGCGGAGACGAGGGGCATCACCAACGCGCCGGGCGCTGCGCAGATGTTTGGCAATGCTGGGCGGGAGTACATGGAGAAGTATGTCCCCTTTTCCCCCCTTCCCATTGACGGCTTTTTTTTCTTATACACGCATGGCTCATATTACTCACAGGTACGGCGCCAAGGCCGAAGACTTTGCGGAAATCGCCCGCATCAACCACGAGCACTCCACCAAGAACCCCTACTCCCAGTTCCAGGACGTCTACACCCAGGAGCAGATCCTCAAGGCCCCCGAGATCTTTGCGCCCCTCACCAAGCTGCAGTGTTGCCCGACCTCGGACGGCGGCGCCGCGGCCGTGCTCGTCTCGCAGGCCTTCCTCGACGAGCGGCCCCACCTCAAGGACCAGGCCGTCCTCGTCGCGGGCCAGTGCCTCGCCACCGACGCGCCCTCGCTCTTTTCTCGCTCCGCCATCGACCTGATGGGCTTCGAGATGACGCAGCACGCCGTGAAAGTCGCCATGGGCGAGGCCGGTCTCACCCCCAAGGACGTTCAGGTCGTTGAGCTGCACGACTGCTTCTCGGCCAACGAGATGATTGTCCTCGACTCGTTGGGTCTGGCGGAGCCGGGCAAGGCGCATGAGCTGGTGAGGCGCGGGGATATCACGTACGGTGGAAAGTACGTCGTGAACCCGTCGGGCGGGCTCATCTCCAAGGGTCACCCTCTGGGCGCCACGGGTATCGCGCAGTGCGCCGAGCTGGTCTGGCACCTGCGCGGCTGGGCGAATAACCGCTCCGTGAAGGGAACAAAGGCCGCGCTGCAGCATAACTTGGGCCTGGGCGGCGCCGTCGTGGTGACTGTGTACCGCCGGGCGGACGGCAAGGAGGCGCCAAAGGTTGACTCGGCGACGGTGGGTAAGGTGAATAAGTTGGGGTACAATCCGGCGGTCGAGGCCAAGGGGTTCACGGTGCAGCAGGCGGCGGCTGTGAGGAGTAAGACCAAGAGGAGCGATTGGGCTTTGCAGGATACGGAGGAGAAGGTTGAGGCGCGGTTCTAGTCGGGGAGACGCCGTTGTGTTGTGTGGATAGTTTATATTATGAAAATAGCTATGAATGTATGTTGCATTGGGCACACTCGCTGGCTTCATCATTACTAGCGTCGTTGCATTCTCTCGGTGCCCCCTTTTTTGTTTCCGTGTGAGAGATGAGTCAAGCAGTGCTCTCATGGGTCATTGGTCTTCTTGACTTCATACGTCAACAGGGTCACCCAGTAACCCTTGCCTCCGTACTTGGTGTCATCTTGGTAGCCGCGATGGACCTCCTGGAAGCCCAACCTCTTGTACACGTTCAAGGCGGCCTCGAAAGCAAGGATGAACAGGTCAATCCCCGTCTGCTCGGCAAGCCGCATGCCCTCCTGGACAAGGACGGTGGCTATTCCCTTGCCTTTATGGTCGGGATGCACAGCAAGGTAGTCGAGGCCTTTATGGCTTACATCTTAGCTTAGAACTCGAGAAGCAACGCAAAGGAAGGGGTAGACGATGAGTTCGGGCCGAAAACCCTGGGGGTTTTTCAACTTTGCCGTTCACTCCGACGGACTCACTGATATAGGGCTTCTCGGCCATGATCCTCTTCTTTTGGGGTACACAGTCGTCGATCCCGCTCATGTCAATCGGCTTCCACCACGCGGCGTCCGCCTGCGCCTTGATGGCCGTCCTCTCCTCCTCGCTCACATCCGCAATCTGGAAGTCCGCCCACGCTGTCGCTTCCTCATATCCGGACGGCAGCTCCCAGCGCGCGTAACCCACGAGCTCACCCGTCTGCGGGTCGACGGCCTTTTGGTGGCGCAGGGTGGCGCGGTCGCGTATGAGGTTGTTGGGTAAGCGTTTCGTGGTCTGTGTGATGAGGAAGTCGAGCGTCGTGTCCTTGGGCCAGACGAGGGTCCAGTTATGGTTTGTCCAGAAGGCGCTCATGTTATTGCGCGCCAGGACGGGTGCGTCGGCGAGGGTTACGGGCTCGATCTTCCAGGGCGCCATGGCTCTTGGGGGGGTGGGTGGTGGGCTTGAGTGAGGTTGAGTGAGGTTGAGTGTTTATGGGGGCTGAGGGAAGTGGCTTCAATTGCACGACGTTGAGGCTGAGGTTTGGAGCGGGAATGGTTGTGATGGACTGATGTTATTGCTGTCGATTGCCAAGGGTCGTGGGCGATTTATGTAAAAAGGCCGAGAGTTGCAGTCAGTCAATCGTCGCCAGCCAACGAAGCAAGTTGTGATGTGTTCTTTTTTTTTTTTCTCGGATCAGGACAGGTTTCCTCGATTGCGTGAATTACTAGAAGCATGAGGTGCAGAGAAGGGCTAACTGGATCTAGCAATGGTGAAGAGTCACCGACTGATTTGGACGAGTCTCTCGAGGATAGTGATTTGTTGAGACCTTTTGGAAGGATTTCGACCTCCGGTATCCCGGTCTAATCCCCGCAATAGGAGAGATGTGTCCTTCAAGTGGATGGAGTGCAGCGCTTTTTCGCCATGTACACTTGTCTTCATGCTGACTTCACGCTTACCAACGTTGCTGGCCCAGATCCAGAATGACGAAACGCCTAATCTGATCAGTAAACATGCAACTTAAGAAAAGGTCGTCAAGCCTTGAGTCTTGCAATAAGGTATGGAACACCTTCGACCGGGTGTTAATGCGTCTTGGGATCGGGGACTCAGGGGTCAAACAGCCATAAGTCAAAGTTTTCTCATCGCAAATGCTGGTTAGCAGCGGGATGCAATTGCCGATCGGAGCTTAGAACTGACTTATGGTCTGCGAGTGCGCTTAAGCCTTCTCGTTGATCAGCTTCAGTTGAACAGATTGATTCCGCAACTCCTCTTGCAAGGCCGTCAAGCGCATTAGCTTCGTGGGTGGATCAACGACTGTATTCGTCACAGGATGAGATCTTCAGCTTGAAGTAGAGTCGTAGAGGTCAATCTAAGCTTTTCACTAAGGCCTTGGCGTTTACAACGTCAATCAATTACTGTTGGCGAAGACGTGAGCCTGTACGTGAAAAGAAATGATACCGATATTGTGAGTAGCGTGCAGCGTTCTCACCGTGCTTTACATGAGCCCATCTTACTTTTGAACGAGATGCGCGAGTCAGATGATTGTCTGACTCACAATAAATCATGGCAACAAACGGTGTCTACGTGTAGTTATATTGAGTGGGAGATGGGCTGCCGCCACAAAAGATGATGGCTTTTTGTTTTGTACTCGAGATGAATGAAACAAAATTGCATCCGTTGACCTCTCTCTCGGTTCCCCAAGATTACTGCCCGTTATACGAATCGACGGAAAGTTCATGGTCAGTGACTGTTGGACTAAAAGGACAATAGAATACTTTAATCATCCGTTTGGCCTAGTCCGTAACTAAAGCTCTTATGGATGTCAAATTGGGCACCTCTTTTCCTTGAGTCGCCTGCCCATAATCAGATATTGCGAGAGCGAACTCCACGGTACTGCCCGTTAAGGCGGCATCACCGGCCGTCCTTGTATCGAGGGACTACGGTAGGTCCTCGTAAAAGAACTAGAATTGGTGATAGGACGTAATTAATCAATCATCTATTAGCTTAGACCACGCAGAAATTCGACAAAAAGGGGGAGATAGGGGTTGCACACGTTGGTATATAACTACCTAGGTAGGTAGAGGCAAACCTGCTTCTAGGACTCGTACCTGGACCCATCCGCCTTGCTATCCTAGAAACCTGTCCACCTACACCAAACCAGCACATACCAGTACCCCACACCATGAAGCTGTGTTCTTCCCTCCTCTTGATCGCCCGAATGACCGGCTCGGCATTCCTGCTGAGCGGCAATGGGGCCCAGTGCTAGCTCAACATTGAGTGCCCAAGTAGTTCCTACATGCCTCACACTGGCTGGATGGAATTCGTCTGCTGGGGTCAACGCCGCAAGGGAGGTTAGTAGGCTTCGCAAAGCTTCTTTGACAACAATATACAGAGTTGCTAATAAGAGTTTGTTATGTCTAGATTGGTGCAACTTCAACTACAACGGAACTGTGTGCAATAGTGTTCTCAAGTGCGTTTCCTGCCAAGGTCAGTTTCTAGGTATATTCCCTACAAATCAGGCTTTGGTTTAAAGAACGTACTAACACCGTTTATAGGGAGCTGGTTCCTTAGCAAGTGCACTTAGTGTCCATATTGGTAGCTTTGCATGTTAAAACTGGGGCCCCAGTAGGAATAGCTCTGCCAGTGTGTTGATATTTTCATTAGAAAATGCTTAGAAGTCCTGGTGATTCAATGTTCAGATAGAGAAGCCTACATGTAGGCTTCTATGAAGACCAGTAAGTGCCAGAGGCATCTGGCAACTCCTTTCCCAAAGACACGTTGCGTCTCATATACTTGGCGATTAATGATTACAAATGTAGGACTAAGTAGTCTCAGAGGAAGATAGACAGGAGAAGAACGAGATGGGAGAAGCTGGAAAAAGGTGACTTAGTCGAGAAGTGTTTGGTCTGCAAGATGTTTGAAAACCCTACAAACTTACGTCTGGGGATGGCGCAAAATATAGTAAACTAGCTGGTTTAACTGAAAGTAGAGATAGAAGAAGCACTCGTATCCCTGGAGAAGGGTTGCGAAAGAAAACACCGGGCTTGGCAACGTGACGATGGGTAACATATTTAGGTACTAGGTACAGAATTCTGCCGTAACCTTTGAAAAAAGTACCGTATTGCGTGGTAATGCTCCAAGACGGAAGCAGTCTTCTTGCTCTCAAGTGCTCTTTCGTCTATGCTTTGCAGGTCAGATTTAATTTCTTCTCACCTTTAGAAATTCTCTTTGCCTCTTCCTACTACTCAGATTCATTTTAAAATCCTGGTGTTTTCCACTCTGTCTTGTCGCAATATCTCTTGTCCCTGGACCCGAGCGTACTCAGTACTTCCCGATGCTCGTCGCAAATAGCTGCAGGATAACATTATCATGTGGACTATTCTACAATAATAATTACAAAGGTACAAGGTTTCAGCACTTGATCAATATAGAAGTGGTAAAATAGTGGGTTCAAGCATGATCGTGCATTGGCTTTTCAACTTGGAACACCATGAATTCAAGTACGCCCAGGTAGCTCAAGGTGACTCTGACTACTCAGAGAGCACCCTTTACAGCCATCGTTGGCGATGAAGTCGTCGCCTGAATGAAGGGCCTTGTAGAAGCGTGGTCTGCTATACTTGGATCTGGAAAACAAAACTACCCCCTTTCGTGGGCTGCACTTTTTGTGAGCCTTATAATACGAGTCAAAAATACGCCACAAGTTTCGGAAATAGGCTAAAACGTTCTTGATATAAATGCATCAAGAGATGCTGATTGGATTCTTGACGTTCGTCCATCAAAAACTGTTCGAGGATGAAAGCCCAAGCGAGCTGGAAGAAGAAGACGACAGATGCTTTGAAATGGTATTATTATGCGGGACAACCCTAGATCCATGACTACCTTTGCCTCCTGGCTTCGCCTGCCTCCTTGCCCAGCTTTTCCAACGCCTCCTCGTACTTCTGCACTCTCTCTTCCTCAAATCCACCGCTGTCAGGATCTCCGATACGCAGACGATCGACCTTGACCGCGCGGCGGATCCTGCTGCTCGGCTTGGCAATCTTACCCCAGAACCAACCGCTCTCGCCGTCCTCGACCAGAGTCCAGGCGGCGCCGGCGCGGCCAGCACGCGCGGTACGGCCAACACGGTGGACGTAGCCGGCGGCGCTGGCAGGGAGGTCGTAGTTTACGACGTTGTCGAGGAGGGGTAGGTCGATGCCGCGGGCGACGAGGTCGGAGGCTACGAGGAGGCGGAGGCGGCGGGAGGCGAAGGCGCGGAGCGCGCGGCGACGGTCCGAGGTCTTCTGGGTCGAGGTGAGGGTCGCGATGTAGGGGGCTAGGGAGGGGTGGAGGAGGGAGATGAGGCGGGAGAGGCGGAGGGCGGATTCGTTTGATTTGGTGAAGATGAGGGCTGTTGCTGTGAAGGGTTTTGCGGGGGATTTTGCGGTGGTGGCGACGTCTGTTGTGCTGGCGTCTGAGGAGGTGTTCGAGTCCGAGTCGGAATCTGAGTCTGAGGAGGAATCGGAGTCGGAGGAGTCGTCTGATGAGGATGTACCATCATCTTCGGCGGCCGGTTTGGACTCCGTCTTGGAAGCGGTCTCGGACATGAGATGGCCGTCGAGAAGAAGGTCGATGAGGTAGAGCGGCTTGAGGTTCGCATCGTGCACTCTGATGGCCGACTCCTTGAGCAGTGTGGGCAGGGTATGCTCGGCGATGGGCGCCGTGCCGTCGGCTTGGTCACCTTCCAACACGATGAGCTGTGGCCTGCGGAGCTGCAACCCGCTCAGCAAGCTGAGGTCCCGCGTCAGGGTGGCACTGAGGACGACCTTGCGCACGCCGGTCAGGTTTGAGTCGGGAAAGTCGCGGGCGCTGAATTTGTTGATGCTGAGCTTGGGCATGACGGTGTCCAGCCAGCCTTGGAAGCTCTGAGCGAGAAGCTTATCGGCTTCGTCGACAACCATCCAACGCACATAGTCTAGTGAGAAGCCGGGGGTGAGGTTGATGTGCTCGACGAGCCTACCGGGGGTGCAGATCAGGACGTCGACCTTGGACATGTAGTCGACAATGTGATCCGGAAGCGAGCCAGCTGTCGGCTTCGTATCTATTGTGCCCTCAGAATCGGCTGCTGTGTCCTCGACATCCTTCCATGCCTCCAATTCCCTCTGGTGCGCGGCGCGATATGCCTCGGGGTCGTACTTCTCCCCCTTTTCGACTAGACTGTTCTGCTCGTGCTTCAACTGCTGACTACCGATGGATATACCGATGCGCACTCTCTTCTGTTCGCGGCCGTCGAATGCGCTGGCGCAAAGCTCGAATACTTCCTGAGCCTGTTTAACCAGCTCACGCGTCGGCAGGACGACCAGAGCTCGCAGCCTGGTGACGGCGCCTTGGCTGATGTCCCGCACGATGGGCAGGGCGTATGCGAGCGTCTTACCAGAACCAGTCGCCGCCGCAACGAGAAGATCGCCCTGGCGGTGCTTGCACGATGGTAGCAGAAGCGGGAGAGCGGCTGTCTGAACGGCAAAAGCATCCTTGAAACCCTTTGACTCGAGAATCTGGGCCGCTTTCGGGTTGATGCCGATGTCTGCGAAAGGCGTTCGCGTGTCGGGAGCTACGCGAATCGGAGCGGCGAGCCAAGGTGGCAGCGTCTCGTACGAGGGTTTTGAGGTATCGAGTGCAGTCTGTTCGGGTTGTGGAAGGGGCACCAAGTCGTGTTCTTCTACCTCCTCTTCCTCCTCGTCCACATCCATCTTATCTGCGACTTCGTTCTTGGCTATAATCTCTGCTGACTTTTTCAAGTACTTTGTAGCCTTGGCCAAGACGGCCTTGTGCCGTGAGTCGACGGCGCCATCGTCTGCATCCTCGGCCTCCTCACGTTCCTTCTTCTTCTTTTTCTTGTCCTTCTTCTCCTTGGAATTCTCCTCGTCGGCCCCAGCCTCGACGATCGAGACGTCAGATTCGCGCTTCTTCGTTTTCTTCTTTTCTGACTTTGGATCTTCTGGTTGTGTTTTCCTGGACTTGCTTGGTACTGTCTTGTCTTCGTCTGATGCAGCTCCACCTTCTGACTTTCTTGACTTTTTCTTCTTGACGGGGGTATCTACGGTCTCGGCCGGCTCTTCGTGCTTGCGCTTGGTTGCCGGGGAGAGCACATTGGTGTCTGTCGGCGCCGCACTCACAATGGAGGTGCGAGGTTTCTTGGAGGGAACGAATCGTGCATATGGAACGGCCGCCGTGGTACCTTCGGTCACGACTGGCTCGCTTGCCGGTATCGCGGATGGTTCTCGAGCTGGGGGAGGCGCCGGTGATGTTTCGACAGGCGCCTGCGTCTCCTTCTTCTTGGAAGGAACGTAGCGAGCGTACATGATGTCGATTAGGTGCTCCTGAGCCTGGCTGAATCGTCCCAGATGCTGCGCAAACCTCTTTCTTCGCTGTGAGGCGAGACATCCAGGTGCTGGAGGGGCACATGTCGCACCGTCCCGAAAAAAAGTTGGACAAGCCTCCTTATCGCATTTCTGCCAGGTTCTACCGCCTGCCACACTGTGCTTATCGAGCTGCCATGCCGCAGCAGCTCCACCGGAGCTACCTTACAGCAGGCAAGCACACAAGGTACCTCAGCAGGGCCCTGCTAGTTCGAACACCTTGAGGAACGCACCCATCTCCGTCCCCTTTGCGACGACATACTTAGTCCCAAGCTTTGGCGACTGACAACCCGCAATGCTTTACCATCATTTCCTTAGGTGAAAACGGCTCGCGCAGAGCATACTGACAATATGGCTCGAACATACAATATCGCTATGGCTAGCGACTTCTTCTTCCCGCAGCCAGGAGGAGTCGAGAGTCATATTTACCAGCTCTCCACGAAGCTCATCGATCGCGGGCACAAAGTCATCATCATCACCCATGCATACGAGGGCCGCAGCGGTATTCGAAATCTGACAAACGGCCTCCGAGTCTATCACATCCCTTTCCTCGTCGTATTCCGATCGGCCAGTTTTCCTACCGTTTTCTCCGCCTTTCCCATTATTCGCAACATTCTCGTCCGAGAACAGATCGAGATCGTCCATGGCCATGCGAGTTTGAGCACCTTTTGCCATGAAGCTATCCTACATGCGAGGACCATGGGTCTACGGACGGTCTTTACAGATCATTCGCTTTTTGGATTCGCCGATGCTAGCAGCATCTTGACAAACAAGATCCTCAAGTTTTCTCTGAGTGACGTGGACCACGTTATTTGTGTCAGCCATACCTGGTACGTTGCGCCGCGCCCTCGCTCTTGAGAAGAGGAAACTGATCGGGATTACAGCAAAGAAAATACCGTTCTCCGAGCGTCTTTGGACCCCCTCATGGTTTCAGTAATTCCCAACGCCGTTGTCTCTGAAAACTTCCGTCCGCTCGATTACCCTCCTACCGACGCCAATCAGGCTTTTGGCCAAAACCCACCTCCTGCGCATCATCTGGGGCCGAACGATGTAGTCACAATCGTAGTGATATCTCGTCTCTTCTATAACAAGGGAACGGATCTCTTAACGGCTGCGATCCCTCGCATCCTCGAGAATCACCCGAATACGAGATTCATCATTGCAGGCTCAGGCCCCAAGGCCATTGACCTCGAGCAAATGATTGAGCAAAACGTGTTACAAGATCGCGTAGAAATGTTGGGACCTGTTCGTCATGAAGAAGTACGCGATGTCATGGTTCGCGGCCATATCTACCTCCACCCTAGTTTGACGGAAGCTTTTGGCACTGTCATCGTAGAGGCAGCCAGTTGCGGGCTGTACGTGGTTTGCACCCAGGTCGGCGGTATTCCTGAGGTCCTGCCGTCACACATGACTGTGTTCGCCAAGCCAGAAGAAGACGACCTGGTTGCTGCAACTGGAAGGGCGATCGCTGCATTGCGAGCAAACAAGATTCGAACGGAACGTTTCCATGAGCAAGTCCAGAAGATGTACTCCTGGACGAATGTTGCTTTACGCACGGAGCGCGTGTACCATGGAATCACTGGCGAGCTCAGCGAAGCCGAATTTTATGGTTACGACGCCGCCAATTCTTCGACATTCGGCAATAGTCGAGTGCGATCTTTCGCTCTCATCGATCGGCTAAAGCGATACTACGGCTGTGGTATCTGGGCTGGGAAGCTCTTTTGTCTTTGTGCCATTGTTGACTACTTGCTGTACCTGTTTCTGGAGCTTTGGTTCCCACGAGACGAAATCGACATCTGCCCTGAATGGCCGCGAAAGGTCCCCGAAGATGCGGACGACTCCAAGGAAGACTAGGCTTGGTCTCCGTCTGCCATTCGCCCAGCTGGTCGAACTGCTCCAGGAACCCATCGTTCGATTGTCCAGGGACGAAAAGATACGAAATCTAGGCCAAGCTCCGAGTTTGATTGAAATATATCAGGCATAATACCCTACTGACCTATGGTGGCCGGCGTAGACCGGCGATGACCGGCGGAAATCAACGGACATCAAAAACTAGTGATGTCCTGGTCCAGGTGCTCCGCACCCCCGCCATCCCGAGTCAGCCCATCGAGTCTTCCAGATCCGCATCAAAATGCTTCCATAGGCCACACCTAATAATGGAGGAGAACGGGTGGAGGAATCCCTCCAATGATATCAGCCCGAAAGGAAATCAGAATGGAGTCTGGCTCTCAGCGAGCCAGATGGACGACCCGGACAGCGCCGACAAAAGGACGGGATTGGTTGGCATTCACGATATGCACAATGCTATAGCGCAGGAACCATCTTCAACGGCCTGGGTCGGCAGACTACGATGCCTGTTGCGGCCAGGCGCCCGGGTGGGCCATGCGACCATTTGAACCCCCACCACGCGCGCATCTCGACCATCTCACATGCACAGCGACACAAGACAAAATCTAGCGTTTCCCACCCCTCATTTGCGACTTCTGGTAATAGCCACAGCGACTGACAGTGCTCCCCATTATATCCCAGTCGCAGTCGCTTGCTCAACACATCAACACAGCGATTTACAAGTTTCCATCATCACAGACAGACCCCTTGCAACCACTTGCCCGTCATGGCCGCCGCGCAGGATCTCCCCATGGATCTTCCCATAATCGATCTCGATGTTTTTCTCAACGAGCCGCGCGACTCCGCCGCCGTTCGCGACGAGTGCGAAAAGGCTGCTACTGCCCTAATCACTTATGGAGCGCTCGTGCTGCACGACTCCCGCGTCGCTGAATCCGACAACACTACTTTTCTTGACTTACTCGAGGACTACTTCGCCCAGCCGACCGAAGAGCTCAAGAAGGATGAGCGCCCAGAGCTGAGCTACCAGATCGGCGTCACTCTTGAGGATACGGAGAAGCCCAAATGTGCCGTTGACGAGCCCTGCCTGCAGGTTATCCAGCGTCTGGCCGAATCCGAGCGCCCTCTCGACATCTCAGCTCACGATCCCGACCCAAAGTGCCGATTCTTCTGGCGCATGGCTGAGAACCCGCCGTACGAGACTGAGTTTCCCGGGCTCAACGCCCCCAACGTCGTTCCTGAAGCCCCGCATATCCGCGAGCGTTGGCCTCCTGCCATGAACAAGTGGGGAACGTCAATGAAGCAGGCTGTCACGGGCCTAGCGGAGATGGCGGCAGTCGGCTTGGGCCTGCCCGCCGATGCTTTCAGCTCTGCTGGCAAGTACGGGCCTCACCTCCTCGCGCCAACAGCTTCCGACCTGGTCAAATACGGCAAGCAGGACACCATTCTCGCAGGCTTCCACACAGACCTCAACTTCCTGACCATTCACGGTCGCTCTCGGTACCCCGGCCTGCACATCTGGGCACGCAACACGGGCAAGAAGATTGCCGTCAAGATCCCCGAGGGCAACTACTTGCTCGTTCAGGCCGGAAAGCAACTGGAGCATCTGACGGGCGGTCTCATCAAGGCAGGCTTCCATGAGGTTGTGGTAAACGAGAAGACGCTCGCCGTAATCGAGCGCCGCAAAGCCGAGCTTCCCGATCGCCCGCTCGTCCGCATCTCGTCTACGTTCTTCTGGCATCTGTCATCTGACCACGATCTGACACCCATACCTCAACTGTCGGAACAGGCGCAAAAGGTCAGGGCCGAGCAATTCAACCTTGGCAGGGATGAGGGAGAAGAGGTCAAGTATGCACCCATGAAGGTGGGACAGCAGGTGCAAGAGTAAGTCACGCGGCCACCTGATTGTTTTAGGTATTGTCGCTAACAGCTCATGACAGGGAACTTAAGCACATTGCTCTGATGACATGAGAAACAAGATTCTCCATATTATGATAGTACTATTAATGACAAATTACCAAAGCGTGATATGCTTTCAAGCTTGATAAAATTCCTCGCCTACGGCGACGTCCACTTTTTCCTTTGCGACTCTGTCAACCGCCGTCTTGGGATCCTCATCACCGTCCAGCAAGTCAACCCAGGACGTTGTGAAGCTGTCATTCTCCGCAATGAGCGCGGCGACCTCGGCGACGGTCTGCCGGCTCGAGGTGCCCTTGGCCTCCTTTGTCTTTCCAAACTCGACCTTGCCGGCGGGTTCCTCTGTCAGCAGGCCGGGCCGCAGGCTGATGCCAGCAAAGCCATCGGTTCTCTTCTTGGACTCTTGCCAGAGGACCTCGTCGGCGGCGATCTTGGCGAGGGAGTAGTTGTAGAGTTTCTTGTTGCCGTCGAGGGCGTCCTGCCAGGCCTTGTCGGACCACCAGGTCGGTTTTGTCTTGCGGGAGCTTAGGTAGGAGACGAGGATGAACTGCTTAATGGATGGGGTGGCGACGGCGGCTTTGATGAAGTGGATTGCGGCGTCGCGGTCGATTGCAAAGGTTCTCGAAGGGTCGCCCTTGCCGCCGGCGCCTGCGCTCCAGAAGACTGTGTCGGGCTTCACTTCATCGAGAATGGCTTGCGCCTTGGACTGGTCGGTGACGTCTTCGATGCTCCGTACCAGGACGTTGAGCTTGCCGGAGGACTGGCCGGCGCCGAGCTTCTCAATAGCGGGGACTTGTTCCTGGGCGCGGATGATGCTCGTGACGGTCCAGGACTTTTTGAGGAGGATGGGGGTGAGGTACTGGGAGACCTTGCCGTGGCCGCCGAGGATGAGGACGTGTTTGCTCATGTTGAGATTGTGTGTGGTTGATTGTGGAATGCGTGCAGCTGTGTCTTTCGACTTTGCGGTAATGCTCTCGAGTTTTGAGATGGTGTGGTAGGGAGTGAGTACGTGTTGAGGCGGATCTTCAAGTTGCGGCAGACGTCGACTCAAATAGCCCGGAACATCACACCACACGGGGCTTTGAAATCAACCTGGATGGCTTCCCCGCTCGGCCCCATCAAAGACGGCGTTAACGGCGGGCATGACATCTGGCGGTGGATGGCTGGGTTCGGATGCGGGCGGACTGGCCGAGGTGGATGCGCTGTCTCTTTACGAATACAAATACATGTACCTCCGCATAGTTGCCCCCCCGCAGATGAGCTTTTTCGGGGTCCCGGATCACGTCACCGGGGTGTCAGTGACGTACGTCCAGCGAGTTTATTTGCTTGCTCTTCCCCACCAGGTTGCCTAAAAGCCGATTTTGGGGCCTGGGCAGAATGTTCAATTGAGTTTCTGGCTTAAACAACCCCGCGTCAGGATCCGTGGCCATCGGCGTTAGTTACTCAGCGAAATAAACGTCAGTCTTGGCTAACATGTCGTGCCCCTCTTGCCTTCGTCTTTGGTTGGTTTCTCATCCTGATGAAATCACTTGCATTGTACGACGTGTCTAGACTTAATGCATCAAGCGTCTAGTAGATCAAAGTCGCCCGGGAACCCGAGGGCGGCGAGGTCGAACCCCTCAGCCTCGAGGCCCGGGACGCTCGACTGGAAGAAGTGAGGCGTCATGGGCTGGAACATGTCACCCGTGATGCTCGTCCGCGCACACGAAGGCGAGTCCTCCTCGCCGAGCGGGTGTGCCGTACATGTGCCATTGGCGACCATCTCTACCTGAGACTGGGTCCGCGACGCTGCGCCATCGGGCGGCGGACTGGGGAACTCGTCCAGCGCCATTTCTCTAATCATGCGCAGCGTGTTACGGTGCACCACGATGATCTCGAGCTGGCTCATCAGCGCCATCAGCGCATCGGCTGATTCGGCCCTCATCTTGCGCGGGCCCGCTACCGTTACAACATCCGATGGCGTCATTTCAATTGTTGTCGTTGTTGTCGTTGTCGTTGTCGTTATCGTCTCCTCAAAGAGCGGTACCTCGCGCGCCAGGATATCAAACGCATCCCGCAGACAAGCGCTCTGCGGCCACCGCTCCGCGAGGATCGAGAGCACGATGCTGCACGCCCGGACGGCCTCGGAGGCGTCCGGCCCCGCGTATGCGGGCGTCCTCGCGCGGGGCGGCGTGGCGAAGAAGCAGTACAGCAGCGCGACGCCGCACTTGAACTGCGCGACGAGGCCGAGCCAGAGCTCGGCGATGGGCGGGGTGTCGCGCCGCTGGAACTTGCGGAAGATGAGGCAGGCTTGGACGCAGGATTTGACGGTCCAGTCGCCTGCGGGACCGGGGGCCGTGGAGCGGGTGGGTTGGTGGAGCATGGCGAGGCTGTAGTTGTAGATCATGTGTAGCCATTCTGGGTGGGTGAAGCTGCGGGAGCGGGGGCGGGAGCGGGAATGGGATGCGGAACCAGGACCGGAGGCGACGTCGGCACCGTCGGCGTCGGCGTAGCGGTGGCAGAGGGCGCGCCAGCGGTCGAGCTTGTCGAGGACGCGGAGGCGCCAGTGGGGGAGGTCGTCAAAGTGCGTCGAGAAGTCGCGGTGGAGGGTCGTGTTTAGGATCTCGGACTGGATCTGGCGGCAGTAGACCACGTGCAGGGCGGCGGAGACGCTCGTGCGGCGTGGGTGGTCGTGTTTGTCTGGAAAGGAGGCGGCGTCGAGGTCCGCGTCGTCCATATTTGCGTACATTTTGACAGTGATTTGGTAGTCTGGGACAGAAAAGGGGAGGTCAAACATTGTGCCGACGGCGCGGTCTAGGGTGTAGGCGGACCAGAAGACGCGGCGTCGCATTTGGATGCGGATCTTGGCGGCTACGGCGTCCGGACAAGGGACGGACGACGAGGCAGAGGAGGAAGAAGATGAAGAAGAAGAAGAAGATGATGATGATGAGATTGGTGGTTCCGCGTCGGCGAGGTGGAGCTGGGCCATGACGCAGTAGCGCATCGTCGCCGAGGCGATGGAGATGATGCGCTCGGTGGAGGGGGAGTAGATTGCGTGCATGGCGAGGAGGAGATAAGCCTGGATGTGGAGGAGGCGGTCCGGGAGGGCGAAGACGTGGGAGAGGTATTTTGTCACGGCGAGGCGGTAGAGGGTCTGGTGGCTATGGTGTCTAGGGAAGAAGAAGTCTGAATGCGAGTAAGACGACGACGACGATAAGGACGATGGCGACGGGGGCTTTTCGAGGAGGAGGCCTATGGAGAAGATCATATTGGTGAAGTAGGACGCCCACGCGTCCTTTGGTCGCCTCGCTGGGTTGCGGAAGTCATCTAGGCGGAGAAAGGGGTAGCGGCAGTGGACTTTGTCTTGGTAGACGTCGAATAGGGAGTCTTCTGTTGCTCTGTCGAGGAGCACCTCTGGGTCGTCGTGGTTGTGATGGCTCTTGCTGCCGGTAATCTGCGCTGTGCCGCCGCCGCCGCCGTCGTGGAATGATGGAGGAGGTGGTGGTAGTGAAGATGGGTTGTCTTCTTCTGAGCGGGCAAACGTAGCCAAGAGGCCGATCGCGGGTGAGCTCCTTGAGAGTGAGGCGTCTGGTCCGAGTCCCGATGCGAATGAAACTCTGCGTTGATGATTCCCTTCAGAGTGGTGATGCGTATGAGATGCCTCTCGCGCACGGAATGACGACGACGACGGCTCCTGCGTATGGCTGCCATGGCCGTTCCGATCGACGATGGATTGAAGTCGAGCGTTGGTCTCTTCGAGACGCGATATGCGCTCCTCCAACGACGCGATGTCACCCAGCCAGGCCAGGGGCGTATGCGTCGAGGGTTGATGGTGATGGTGGTGGTAATGGTCCGAACTCCTGGAACGGAAGAAAGAGATGGCGCGGCATTAGTCCGTGAATCAACCAGATCGACGGGGAGATCATCATCGCAACCGTCTTCTCTCATCGCACAACATGAAACTCGAAGTCTTCCTTCTTTGGAACTGGGGAGGAAAATAACCTTACAGCGGAGGGAACCCGGGGCCCGGGGGACGGGTTTGATAGGACATTGGGAGCACCGCCTCGTTGCATTGCTCTCCTGACCTGGCGCAGTTGGCGCAGGGTCTTTGATCGTCACATTTTTGCTGTAAAAGATTGTTAGCCCTTTTTTGTTTCCCACTTGGTTCCTCATTCTTTTGGAATCGGGGTGGTGGGGAGGTTTGAGCTCTCGATGATCGGGTCCAAGGGTTACCCAACTTAGGTAGCGAGTGATGTTTCAAAAGGAGTTGAGACCACGGTGCTGCTCTAGGGTAGGTAACCGGAGAATGAGGGGTTCTGGCTCTGACATTACCTTTCGTCGACGGCACCGTGAGCATGCCTGCGTCTTGGTCCGCTTGGCCGGCGGTTCGCCGCGGTCTTCGGTCACGGGTGCGGCGGGTCCGGGGTCGTACGGCGAGCCGATGGCGGGGGCTGGTGTCGTCATGACCGCCCGGGAGGGAGGAGAAGGGGGGGGGGGGGGGGGGGGGGCGGGGGGGGGGGGGGGGGGCGGGGGGGGGGGGGGGGGGTGGGGCGGGGGGGGGGGGGGGGGTGGGGGTGGGTGGCGGCCGGGGGGGGGGAGGGGGGGGGGGGGGGGGCGTCTGATGTTTCTTGTTTCCTCTGACGCTGTTGCTCTATTTATCGGGTACAGAGTCGTTTCGCGTTTAGGGCGATGGGCGGGAATATAGTAGCTCCAGGAGGGGAAGCTGGCATCCTAGAGGTTCAGTCATGTATCTACATCCATGTTGCCACAGACTGCAGTTTGAGTGAGACGGAAAGAAGAATGATTGTCGTCCAACAGAGGTGCGCCGAGGAGATGGTGCGACTGATAAGCGGACATGGTGATTACTCGGCATCCTCCAGCTTTCGGGAGATAGCGGTGGGACTCTGGAGTTGTGGGTCCTTTTCCGGTCTTCTCTGATCCGGAGTTGGCGGTGATAAGATGCAGGAGTAAAGTGTCCGTGTAAGTCAAGTTGATGGGGAATTAAGTGGTGCAAGACAGCTGGAAATTCAATAATGTGCCAAGTACATTTCAATATTATTACAAGTCACCAAGAAAAATATCAGTTGACTCAAGCTGACGATTCTGATTGGTTTTCTCTTTTAGAGGTTTCCCCTTGGACAGGAGGCCACATATGGTCACAATTGCTGCTCTTTATCTTGCCTTGCTCTGCACAGCTTCAAATTGTTTGTTGTCTTGAGACACACTTTTTCGAGGTTGTTTCGAGGAGAATAAGAACACCCGAGACTTTTTCCCATTCAGCTTGAGCCTGGTATTTCAAAGGTAAACTGGAATTTCACAAATACCAGCAAGAGAGCATGGGGCGCATTCGGTTTCGTACGTCATTTGTTTCCATCTACCGCCTTGACGTCCCGTGGCATCAATCGCAGTAGACGCGCGTAGGGAAACCCGAATACGTTCGGAACGTGGAGAAAAATATAATCGTAATGGAAGATGAGATCTCACGGATTTTTTTGTTTCCAATGTGAAAAGTTGGTTTCCAGACTCGCGGTAAGGCACCATGCTTGAATAGGCATTTTTTTGCCGTGTTATCCAGAAATATCCACGCAGTTCTTCCCATCATGGTACCGAGGTTCCCGAAGAGACGATCGACGGCGCAACCCTCGATCAGAATGGTCGCACTCGTAGCGCTTAGTATATCTCTGACATTGGCGTCCCATCTCCGCGGGAAAATTCCCACCACAAGTTGGGATGGATTGCTACATGACGTGCTGCCTTCCTCAATGGAATCGCGAGATCAAGAACGACTACGACAAGTCACAAAAGAACACGCTTCAACGAGAATGAAAAGCGCGACCTCGGACATTGGTCGCCCACCGCCCGAACCAAGGCCCTACCTTTCGTCGCAAGATCTCGGTGGGATGCCGAGGGGCGCCTTGTCCCCACCTCCCCCGGCGAAGGTTTGTTTTGTCAGCCATGTTTTGCGTCTTGACTACTGAGGGCGATGGGCCTCTCTCTATGTGAAATCAAGCAACTGGACCAGGTAACGCGCCGTGTCAACCAAACGCATGAGAATCGCAGGTCTCAAAGAGAAGAAACGGTTGGAGGTAACCGGGTAGGGATGAACAAATACCCTCTGCCTGTCGCCTGGTAGGGCATACGGAGGTGGAGTTTTCTATGGATAGTAACAAACCAGCAAGAGTCTTTGCTTGATTGCCAGAGGAGGATTTCTGTGGTCGGGTACCGGACGGAGATCGTGCAAGGCCACCCCTCTCCCTGATTGACCGAGCTTGGCGGGCTTGTCTGTGTCAGAGGTGTGGCCTGGCAAAACTTGGGATTTAAGAGGCGGCGGCGGCGGCGGCGGCGGCGGTATGAGTTGCGACGCGGGGATCATGCAAGTTTTCAAGTTCGAGGTTGGGGCGGTTTGACAAGCGACGCCGTGACGGGGATGTTCCGACGTCAGGTCGGGCAGCGGTGGTTGCGAAAAGGGCAGACAAGGGGACGGATCCTGGAAGGGTGGACGAGGAGGCTCTTTCCAGGGATTATTAACGTTGGTCAAATCTCATCGCGGCTCTTGAGGGAATGAGAGACAAAATCCGGATTGCCTTACTGAGTCTATTCCTTAGACTATGACGTTGCAACGTGGGATTTGAATGCCCACTTGGTGCTAAGACAATTGGCCCCCCCCCCGATCGAGCTGCCCATTGTCCAGAGACTCTCAGAAGCCGAGAGGGTGTAGTCAAGCCCGAGAGAAAGGATTGATGGAACTTTGAAAGAGACATTGGCGGGACGTGAGGGATGAACCTGGAGAGGGGGTGGTTTGGCGGTCGGAAGGGCGGGAGAACGGTGGGACGAAGTAGGAATTGAGGGTTTCATTGGTCTGAAGAAGATCGACTCAAACATTCCACGTCTGACAGGGGCCGGAGGCAACCCTGCGCGGGGGGCGCACTGGGG